ATACTTGAAACTACCTATTGGTCATTAGTTCAGGGTCAATTATGAAAACGTCCATGTGCCCCCACCTCCCAAAGTCTCCACATGCATGGATGAATCCCTAACATGGCTAGGAAATGGCAATGATGATAAAACATAAAATGGTCCAATTGCATTTGATGATGGTGGAAATATACCCAAAATTGTTTGCTCTGCATCTTTTTTTAACAGGAATGTATAGTACTTCTACAGTATGTCTCTCCTATTATTTTCCTACTGTAGAACATCAGGTTTGTCTTCCCACAGGCCAAATGCTGCAACAGTCTACTAGAAATAGTACCGATTTACACCCAGGCAACACCACCACAGTCAGATACAGTAACTCAACAATTTGTATTTTAGCCAGTTATTGAGCGTCTTTGCATCTAAACCATGACTCGTGTATTGTATTCCCCTGGCTCTCACAACCGTGAACTGTAACTAATAGCTGAGGAATGGGTTATTAAATGATTAGAAAGAGTTGCCCGAGTAGCCTGGAGCCCCATTGATATCATTCCTCCGATAAAAAGAGTGAGTCATGAGAACATTCAAGAGTCGCAGACAATCGCACTCACATAGGCTACGCGCGCGAAAATAACCGTACCGTGGTAGTATCAATGTAACAACAAACGCCAGAGTAGATACATCTAAACACGAGGTTAGTAACCCAGTGACGCCTAAATCGACTTTCAACTCACGAATGCGCGAAACATGTTACCATTTGAGCACACAATAGCCTAGGGGCCACACAAATGATTCTGCTTACCTATTACACAAGGTGCGTCGGTACGTCGGGTACTCCGTGTATCCCAGTCAAATGAATCCCCAAAAGCCGCTGTGTCACCACTCCAGTCACACAAGCCGCGCGCACGTGTCGGGTTCCGAACCAGAATGTCACATGAGCTCCATGTTCAATCCGACGGAGCTCTATACTGCTGCCCGGGTGGAGCCACCCAGTTTGTTCAAGCGCAATACAATAGGACGGCGGGGACGCCTCCACTGAAATCCTGGGACCTGACAACGCTGGCAAATAACCACTTGGTGGAGGCTACAGGCTTCGCAAATATGAGGCGCATCATATGTTACTGTGCGGGTGCACAATGTACTAAAGGACTGTTGGATTTTCGTGGCGGGAGTACAGCAGTGGAAATGTAATGAGGACATATTGCTACAACAGCAGGCACAGTTTTTTGTCCTGACTCAGATTAGGGGCTAGGTTTCCAAGAGCCCGTGCGGATAAGCATGATTTGTCCCAGTAACCGGTGGCTTAAACAGGGGTCCACACAGAGCGTTTCTTGGTAGTCTTAAATCTACTTTGAAACAAAAGTATACACATCACACACATGGTTATGGGCTTAAATTGAAGACACATGTACCATGTATGATAGAGTTGAAATGTATTCAAGTTTGCATCCCAATATTACACTTTATATACATCACAGAAGACTGAAATATAACAAAATGCCTAGTTTGTTTATTGAGCTACACTGAGGTGACTACATTTGAGTCATTTAGCAGACACTTATCCAGAGCGACTTACAGTTAGTGAGTGCATACATTTTTCATACTGGCCCCCCGTGGGAAACGGACCTACAACCCTGGCGTTGCAAGTGCCATGCTCTACCAACTGAGCTCAGCTGGTCAATATTCCCCTCAAGTGATTCCCCAACATCTTGTCAACATGTGCCCTGACAATAGAGCAGATACTGTATCTTATACCAATCTGTCTGTATGTGGTTTTACCCATGAGAAGGCATCTTTAAGTTGTAAAAAACATCTTTAAAATGTCAAATTTCAATTAATTCCTACTTTAGACAGCATTTTTATGGCCAAAATGAAATTCTTTAAACGAAGACAATTTCTTCATCAGTGTTTGGGTTTAGGCCCCGAAAAGAAGTGCAGCCAAGGCAACACAAATCCAAGACAACACCCTCTAACAAAATAAAAAGATGACCCCATTAAATAAATAAGTGTTGACAGAAAACATCCAAATTGACTTGATTTAACTACATTGTCCATGATGCTGAGAAACCCCACTTTGGAAGGTTTTTAATCATGGGCCATGGCATGGGCTCTCACTCTCGCTTCTACCACCAATATTTACTAAATCAGTTCACTATGAATGGAGGTTTCGGTTATTGCAATGTTTATTGGGTTTGGAGATGGACAACACACAACACTGCCACAGGCTCCCATATCCCTCCCACCATCACCAAGGAAACATGGCATTGTTGTTGTTGTGGGAATCATGCTGTGTGCTGTCCCAGTGGTCTGACTTTCTCATTAGGTTCCTCAGCCCCTGCAGCATTTGTCTTATGGAATGCATCCCAAATGACACCCTATTCCCTATATAGTGGACTATATAGGGAATAGGGTGCCATTTGGGACACACACATGGCCAGTGAGATTGTGGAGGGGGAGAGGACCCTTATCTGTGCCTCTAGAAACAGACCTGGGACAGATTAATATAATTGGGCTTCCCATTGTGAATGTACTATAGCTGGCCAACATGGAAGCACAATTGTTAAACACTAAGTTGATGAAATGGGTTAGGGAGTATTGCGCATGTGAGAGGACCACTCTTGTGACCAACAAGACAATATTATTGTAGCATGTTTAGCACCATATCAGTGAACATGTAGGCTACGCATCCAGTTTGGTTCTGAAAGCCTCAGTGTCACCCTATTGCTCTGCGGGGAGCACTCCCCCATCTTCTCCCCTAATCCTGAAGCATTCAACCAGAAGCTTAGCCATTTTGAGGTTAAACCACTTACCCCTCCATATGGGCGTGTAGTAGGAACCCTTCCCCTCACCAGCCAGCCTGGCATCGGAACATAACAGGGTAAGAGGTGGCTAAACAAAATCTGGTGTTCACAGTAAGGGAGCGCCACACAGCTGTTGTAAGGGCAGCAGAATTGATTGGAACACATCTAGCGGGCTCTGGGGATTTCTCATTTTGCCATTGGTTTCTTTATTCTCCATCACAGTAAGTAGACCTCTGCCTTGGGTAGCCTTTGTCAGCTTGTTCTGTGTATATACAGTACCAGTCAAAAGTTTAGACACCTACTCATTCAAGGGTTTTTCTTTATTTTTACCATTTTCTACATTGTAGAATAATAGTGAAGACATCAAAACTATGGAATCATGTAGTAACCAACATTTTAAAAAACAGATTTTAGATTCTTCAAAGTAGGTACCCTTTGCCTTGACAGCTTTGCACACTCTTGGCATTCTCTCAACCAGATTCACCTGGAATGCTTTTCCAACAGTACGGAAGGAGTTCCCACATACGCTGAGCACTTGTTGGCTGCTTTTCCTTCACTCTGCCGTCCGACTCATCCCAAACCCTCTCAATTGGGTTGAGGTCGGGTGATTGTGGAGGCAAGGTCATCTGATGCAGCACTCCATCACTCTCCTTCTTAGTCAAATAGCCATTACACAGGCTGGAGGTGTGTTGGGTCATTGTCCTGCTGATAAACAAATGATAGTCCCACTAAGCCCAAACCAGATGGGATGGCGTATCGCTGCAGAATGCTGTGGTAGCCATGCTGGTTAAGTGTGCCTTGAATTCTGAATAAATCACAGACAGTGTCAGCAGCAAAGCACCCCCACACCTCCTCCTCCATGCTTCACTGTGGGAAACACATGCGGAGATCATCTGTTCACCTACTCTGCGTCTCACAAAGACATGGCGGTTGGAACCAAAAATCTCAAATTTGGACTCATCAGACCAAAAGGACAGATTTCCACCGGTCTAATGTCCATTGCTCGTGTTTCTTGGCCCAAGCAAGTCTCTTCTTATTGGTGTCCTCTAGTAGTGGTTTCTCTGTGAAGCCTTTATTTGGGCTGCAATTTCTGAGGCTGGTAACTCTAATGAACTTATCCTCTGCAGCAGAGGTAACTATGGGTCTTCCTTTCCTGTGGCGGTCCTCATGAGAGCCAGTTTCATCATAGCTCTTGATGGTTTTTGCGACTGCACTTGAAGAAACTTTCTAAGTTCTTCATGTCTTAAAGTAATGACGGACTGTCGTTTCTCTTTGCTTATTTGAGCTGTTCTTGCCATAATATGGACTTGGTATTTTACCTAATAGGGCTATCTTCTGTATACCACCCCTACCTTGTCACAACACAACTGATTGGCTGAAACACATTAAGGAAATAAATTCCACAAATTAACAAGGCACACCTGTTAATTGAAATGCATTCCAGGTGACTACCTCATGAAGCTGGATGAGAGAATGCCAAGAGTGTGCAAAGCTGTCATAAAGGCAAAGGGTGGCTACTTTGAAGAATCTCAAATATATTTTGATTTTTTAACACTTTTTGGGTTACTACAGGATTCCATGTGTTATTTCATAGTTTTGATGTCTTCACTATTATTCTACAATGTAGAAAATAGTAAAAATAAAGAAAAATCATGGAATGAGTAGGTGTGTCCAAACTTTTGACTGGTACTGTACATACACATATTTGGAATCTGGTAGGTGAGATCAATGTTCCATCATGTCAAAAATGACAATTACAGCTTAGAGAGGCAATGGCAGCAGCGTGGTGGTAAGTGGTTGCCATGAGTAACAAGGCTGGTGCCAGTAATGACAATGATAAAGGATGTGTGACGGCATGGGTCAGAGAGACACTGGTGTGACACCCTGAACAAATGCAATTATCACAGTTCCCAGCAGGTTGAATTGATCTCAGAGAGGACTCACGTTGTCAATGGAAAAAGGAGAGGTTACAACATTTTTTCCATGCTTTTGGTATCAGTACACTCAGGAGGTGCAAAGAAAGCTCAATGGTACAGCATATGATGCTAAGAACAAAAAACTAAAATACACTCATTCCAGGTATGATGCTTGGGATGCAAGCTGATTGTAGAGTGCCCTCTACAGGACATACATTGACAGTGCATCTCTGTGTTGAGCGCTTGAGACATTTTGTCTCCGACTCTTGGTGAAAGCGGCAATCAATCACAACGACAACCACTTGTCACATTCATTTTATTTTCATACAACTAATTAAAAAAAAATCTTATTTACAGACATACTATCATTATGGCTTGCAAGGGCGTTTCTAAAATGATGGAATTTACTTGTTGACACCACAGCTCTAAATGCCGATGTTTTCACTTGAGGCGTGTCTTCTTGAGCTTGGAGGAATATCCTGATACTTTGCGCTTGTGGGTGGGGGTGGCGCGGCTGGCGTCTGTGCCCGCTGGCAGACACTGGGCCGCTTGAGGCAGATAGTACATCTCTATTGGTGTAGACGGCTCCTGGACAAAAATACAGACTTTTATGAGAGGTTTAGTATCAGTCTTGATTTTGTTAGTGGAGCAACATGTAATATTTTAGCCGTAATTTAGATTCCTTCATGGTTTTACAAGGACACTGCTTAGAAACGCCTAAAATGGCTTGGTACTGCTTCTTACTTTATCATAATCCACTAAAAAAACATAAGTTGCAAGGATGTGAAGAACTTGTACACACACACACACACACACCAACCGGACCGGCTAGTCATGGAAAAAAAGCTAATTTGCAGTGTCACGCACCTTTCTAAAAATGTTTTACTCTGGTGGATTTCTATTTCTTTGCTACTACTGGTATGTACAGTGAGGGAAAAAAGTATTTGATCCCCTGCTGATATTGTACGTTTGCCCACTGACAAAGACATGATCAGTCTATAATTTTAATGGTAGGTTTATTTGAACAGTGAGAGACAGAATAACAACAACAAAATCCAGAAAAACGCATGTCAAAAATGTTATAAATTGATTTGCATTTTAATGAGGGAAATAAGTATTTGACCCATCTGCAAAACATGACTGCAAAACCCTTGTTGGCAATCACAGAGGTCAGACGTTTCTTGTAGTTGGCCACAAGGTTTGCACACATCTCAGGAGGGATTTTGTCCCACTCCTCTTTGCAGATCTTCTCCAAGTCATTAAGGTTTCGAGGCTGACGTTTGGCAACTCGAACATTCAGCTCCCCCCACAGATTTTCTATGGGATTAAAGGTCTGGAGACTGGCTAGGCCACTCCAGGACCTTCATGTGCTTCTTCTCGAGCCACTCCTTTGTTGCCTTGGCCGTGTGTTTTGGGTCATTGTCATGCTGGAATACCCATCCATGACCCATTTTCAATGCCCTGGCTGAGGGAAGGTGGTTTTCACCCAAGATTTGACGGTACATGGCCCCATCCATCGTCCCTTTGATGCGGTGAAGTTGTCCTGTCCCCTTAGCAGAAAAACACCCCCAAAGCATAATGTTTCCACCTCCATGTTTGACGGTGGGGATGGTGTTCTTGGGGGTATAGGCAGCATTCCTCCTCCAAACATGGCGAGTTGAGTTGATGCCAAAAGAGCTCGATTTTGGTCTCATCTGACCACAACACTTTCACCCAGTTCTCCTCTGAATCATTCAGATGTTCATTGGCAAACTTCAGACGGGCATGTATATGTGCTTTCTTGAGCAGGGGGACCTTGCGGGTGCTGCAGGATTTCAGTCCTTCACGGCGTAGTGTGTTACCAATTGTTTGCTTGGTGACTATGGTCCCAGCTGCCTTGAGATCATTGACAAGATCCTCCCGTGTAGTTCTGGGCTGATTCCTCACCGTTCTCATGATCATTGCAACTCCACGAGGTGAGATCTTGCATGGAGCCCAGGCCGAGGGAGATTGACAGTTATTTTGTGTTTCTTCCATTTGCGAATAATCGCACCAACTGTTGTCACCTTCTCACCAAGCTGCTTGGCGATGGTCTTGTAGCCCATTCCAGCCTTGTGTAGGTCTACAATCTTGTCCCTGACATCCTTGGAGAGCTCTTTGGTCTTGGCCATGGTGGAGAGTTTGGAATCTGATTGATTGATTGCTTCTGTGGACAGGTGTCTTTTATACAGGTAACAAGCTGAGATTAGGAGCACTCCCTTTAAGAGTGTGCTCCTAATCTCAGCTCGTTACCTGTATAAAAGACACCTGGGAGCCAGAAATGTTTCTGATTGAGAGGGGATCAAATACTTATTTCCCTCATTAAATTGCAAATCAATTTATAACATTTTTGACATGCGTTTTTCAGGATTTTTTTGTTGTGATTCTGTCTCTCAATGTTCAAATATACCTACCATTAAAATTATAGACTGATCATTTCTTTGTCAGTGGGCAAACGTAGAAAATCAGCAGGGGATCAAATACTTTTTTCCCCTCACTGTAATTGGCATTTGGGCGCTAGTTGCAGGTGGAAACGTTACATGGGGAACCTTTAACTGGCCAGGGTGGGTATTATAGAGAAGGTTGATCACATAGTATGGTTAAATGAAGGCACCTTACCATTTTATGGATCAAATATTAACCAACTGGTTTCACTTTAGACCAGGGGTGTCAAACTCATTCCATGGAGGACTAATGCCTGCGGTTTTTAGTTTTTCCTTTCAATTAAGACAGACAACCAGGTGTGGGGACTTCCTTACTAATCAGTGACCTTAATTCATCAATCAAGTACAAGGGAGGAGCGAAAACCCGCAGACACTCGGCCCTCCGTGGAATGAGTTTGACACGCGCGTTAGACCTTCCCAAAATTACTTATGGGTGATACTCATGAAACCAGTTTTAAACATGTCTGTAGCAAATTGGTTACAGAACCATGATGCAATTGCAAAAATCAACTATCATTCTGAGGCCTAAGATGTCTTGTTTTTGGCAAAGCGTCTTATTTTAAACAATGTTTAAATTGTTGCCAGAATTTTGTACAGTTTCACCCCAAATTCTCATTACCGAAATGCGTCCAGATTAAATTCTCGGGTCAGTTTATACCATTTTACTTTAGAAAAACCTAACTTATTTGAATAAAACAAAAATGTTGCTGTAGTTTGTCCATAAATCATAAAAAAATTGTATTCATATCTCCCCCTTTCACTTCACCACCCGCCATTTTTAAAAAGACCCGGCGGAGTTCCATTGCTTTCTACAATCATGCAGAGACGGGCAGCATGAAGATCTCATCATTGACTTTGCTGGAAAGGGGAGAAATTCTGCTTTACAATGGTATTCATATTACAGTTGACCTGGAAGTATTACGTTAGCTACTGTTACTAGTTTAAGTCAACATTCAACTATATTTATTATGTACAAACACTGTCTGTGGACATGTCTCATTAACAAAACACTTTTTAAAAGTTCCTGTAAAACTCCAATCAGTTTTTAAATAAAGTTTTATTCACCCATGATGCATCTAGAGCAGCTGGTAGGTCGCGACCCGGGAGGTTTTGAATGGGTTGCGGGTGTCTGAGTAAATGAAAATATATACTCCAGTCTGAACTTAAACCAGGTAGAAAGTGTTTAGAAATGATAATGAACTTACATTAAAAAAAACAGTATTTTTAATATAGAGCTACTAGAAGCGCCATTTTGGTTGACTTTGTAGTCTCAAACCAGTGAGTTTACTAACATTCTTCATCAAGAATATGGGCAACATTTAATTATTGACAATGAAAGACGTGGGAATGTTCTTCCCTTGTCATTTAACTTGCTACATTTAATATAGCATTAAAAATAGTTTACCAAATGGTATTTTCACGATGTGAATATTGGGTCGCGACTGAGACAACCAGGTTCAATTTGGGTCCCGAGGCAAAACCAGTTGAAAACCACTGATCTAGATGAGTAGTCCTTAGATGAGCCACAAGTAAAATTATTTGCTTAAATGCCTTCAGAATGAGGTTCTTATTCTCAAACACCCCCTTTACCCCACTTGGCCTTCTCATTACTGAACCCGCTAAAAAGCTACAAATATTAAAGTGCGATTTAATTTTATAACTGAAATTAATATTTTTATTTTCAATGTCATGTTTAGCTCAGGTCTTTTCATTAGGAGAGCAATGTAAAAAAATTAATAGAAATTGATTCGTTTTTTACTTTTTGGGACTTTTACTTGCAGTAAAGAGAATTTTGTGAGAATTGTGGTAAAATGCATAATCTGATCCAAAAACATAATTATGAAATAGATAAGTACAGATGCTAATTTCAGTGAACAAAGAGGACATTTCGTGAAAAATTATAAATTGGTAAAAGGTCAGTTTTGTGAGAATTACCCAAGGGGTATGAATACTTCATAAAGTATTCATACCCCTTGACTTATTCCACAATTGTTGTGTTACATCCTAAATTCCAAATGTATGAAATTGTTTTCCCCACTCACCAATCTACATACAATACCCCATAATGACAAAGTTTTTAGAAATGTTGGCACATTTATTGAAAATGAAATACAGAAATGTCTCACTTAAATAAGTATTCACACCCGAGTCAATACATGTTAGAGTCACCTTTGGCAGCTATTACAGCTTTTAGTCTTTCTGGGTACGTCTCTAAGAGCTTTGCAACACCTGGATTGTACAATACATTACTCTTTTTAAAATTCTTCAAGCTCTGTCAAGTTGGTTGTTGATCAATACTAGACAGACATTTTCAAGTCTTGCCATAGATTTTCAAGCAGATTTAAGTCAAAACTAACTAGGCCACTCAGGAACATTCAATGTCGTCTTGGTAAGCAACTCCAGTTTACATTTGGCCTTGTGTTTTAGGTTATTGTCCTGCTGAAAGGTGAATTTGTCTCCCAGTGACTGTTGGAAAGCAGACTGAACCAGGCTTTCCTTTAGGATTTTGCTTGTGCTTAGCTCTATTCAGTTTTCTTTTTATCCTAAAAAAACTCTGTAGTCCTTGCCGGTGACAAGCATATCCATAACATGATGCAGCCACCACCATGCTTGAAAATATAAACGTGTTGGATTTGCCCCAAACATAACACTTTGTATTCCGGACAGAAAGTTAATTTCTTTGTCACGATTTTTGCAGTTTTACTTTAGTGCATTAATGCAAACAGGATGCATGTTTTGGAATATTTTGTATTCTGTACAGGCTTCCTTTTCACTCTGTCATTTAGGTTAGTATTGTGGATTAACTACAATATTGTTGATCCATCCTCAGTTCTCTCCTATCACAGCCAATAAACACTAACTGTTTTAAAGTCACCATTGGCCTCATGGTGAAATCCCTGATGACATCCCTGAGCGGTTTCCTTCCTCGCTGTCCAATGAGGAAGTGCGCCTGTATCTTTGTAGTGACTGGGTGTATTGATACACCAGCCAAAGTGTAATTAATAACTTCAACATGCTCAAAGGGATATTCAATGTCTGCTTTTTAAATGTTGTACCCATCTACCAATAGGTCGTTGTGGTTGAATCGGTGTTTGAAATTCACTGCTCGACTGAGGGACCTTACAGAAAATTGTACAGTGCATTCATTAAGTATTCAGACCCCTTGACTTATTCCACATTTATTACATTACAGCCTTATTCTAAAATGGATTAAATAAAAGGTTTTCCTCATCAATCTACACACAATACCCCATAACGACAAAGCGAAAACAGGTTTTTAGAAAGTTTTGCTAAATTATTAAAAATAAAAAACAAATACCTTTACATAAGTATTCAGACCCTTTGCTGATACTTGAAATTTAGCTCAGGTTCATCCTGTTGCCATTGATCATCCTTGAAATGTTTCTACAACTTGATTGGAGTCCACATGTGGTAAATTCAATTGATTGGACATGATTTGGAAAGGCATACACCTGTCTATTCAGTGGGGGAAAAAAGTATTTAGTCAGCCACCAATTGTGCATGTTCTCCCACTTAAAAAGATGAGAGAGGCCTGTAATCTTCATCATAGGTACACGTCAACTATGACAGACAAATTCAGACTTTTTTTCTCTCCAGAAAATCACATTGTAGGATTTGTAATGAATTTATTTGCAAATTATGGTGGAAAATAAGTATTTGGTCACCTACAAACAAGCAAGATTTCTGGCTCTCACAGACCTGTAACTTCTTCTTTAAGAGGCTCCTCTGTCCTCCACTCATTACCTGTATTAATGGCACCTGTTTGAACTTGTTATCAGTATAAAAGACACCTGTCCACAACCTCAAACAGTCACACTCCAAACTCCACTAATGGCCAAGACCAAAGAGCTGTCAAATGACACCAGAAACTAAATTGTAGATCTGCACCAGGCTGGGAAGACTGAATATGCAATAGGTAAGCAGCTTGGTTTGAAGAAATCAACTGTGGGAGCAATTATTAGGAAATGGAAGACATACAAGGCCACTGATAATCTCCCTCGATCTGGGGCTCCACGCAAGATCTCACCCCGTGGGGTCAAAATGATCACAAGAACGGTGAGCAAAAATCCCAGAACCACATGGGGGGACCTAGTGAATGACCTGCAGAGAGCTGGGACCAAAGTAACAAAGCCTACCATCAGTAACACACTACGCCGCCAGGGACTCAAATCCTGCAGTGCCAGACGTGTCCCCCTGCTTAAGCCAGTACATGTCCAGGCCCGTCTGAAGTTTGCTAGAGTGCATTTGGATGATCCAGAAGAGGATTGGGAGAATGTCATATGGTCAGATGAAACCAAAATAGAACTTTTTGGTAAAAACTCAACTCGTCGTGTTTGGAGGACAAAGAATGCTGAGTTGCATCCAAAGAACACCATACCTACTGTGAAGCATGGGGGTGGAAACATCATGCTTTGGGGCTGTTCTTCTGCAAAGGGACCAGGACGACTGATCCGTGTAAAGGAAAGAATGAATGGGGCCATGTATCGTGAGATTTTGAGTGAAAACCTCCTTCCATCAGCAAGGGCATTGAAGATGAAACGTGGCTGGGTCTTTCAGCATGACAATGATCCCAAACACACCGCCCGGGCAACGAAGGAGTGGCTTCGTAAGAAGCATTTCAAGGTCCTGGAGTGGCCTAGCCAGTCTCCAGATCTCAACCCCATAGAAAATCTTTGGAGGGAGTTGAAAGTCTGTGTTGCCCAGCGACAGCCCCAAAACATCACTGCTCTAGAGGAGATCTGCATGGAGGAATGGGCCAAAATACCAGCAACAGTGTGTGAAAACCTTGTGAAGACTTACAGAAAACGTTTGACCTGTGTCATTGCCAACAAAGGGTATATAACAAAGTATTGAGAAACTTTTGTTATTGACCAAATACTTATTTTCCACCATAATTTGCAAATACGTTCATAAAAAATCCTACAATGTGATTTTCTGGAATTTTTTTCCTCATTTTGTCTGTCATAGTTGACGTGTACCTATGATGAAAATTACAGGCCTCTCTCATCTTTTTAAGTGGGAGAACTTGCACAATTGGTGGCTGACTAAATACTGGTCCACCACTTGACAGTGCATGTCAGAGCAAAAAACAAGCCATGAGGTTGAAGGAATTGTCCGTAGAGCTCCGAGACAGGATTGTGTCGAGGCACAGATCTGGGGAAGGGTCCCAAAAAATGTCTGCAGCATTGAAGGTCCCCAAGAACACAATGGCCACCAAGACTCTTCCTAGAGCTGGCCAAACTGAGCAGTTGGGGGAGAAGGGCCTTGGTCAGGGAGGTGACCAAGAACCCGATGGTCACTCTGACAGAACTCCAGAGTTCTTCTGTGGAGATGGGAGAACCTTCCAGAAGGACATCAATCTCTGCAGCACTCCACCAATCAGGTCGTTATGGTAGAGTGGCCAGACGGAAGCCACTCTCAGTAAAAGGCACATGACAGCCCGCTTGGAGCTTGCCAAAAGGCATCTAAAGGACTCAGACCATGAGAAACAAGATTCTCTGTTCTGATGAAACCAAGAATGAACTATTTGGCCTGAATGCCAAGCGTCACGTATGGAGGAAACCTGGCACCATCCCTACAGTGAAGCATGGTGGTGGCACCATCATGTTGTTGGGATGTTTTTCAGCAGCATGGAGTGGGAGACTAGTCAGGATCGAGGCAAAGATGAACGGAGCAAATTACAGAGAGATCCTTGATGAAAACCTGCTCCAGAGCGCTCAGGACCTCAGACTGGGGCGAAGTTTCAACTTCCAACAGGACAATGACCCCAATCACACAGCCAAGACAACGCAGGAGTGGTTTCGGGACAAGTCTCAATGTCCTTGAGTAGCCCAGCCAGAGCCCGGACTTGAACAAACATCTCTGGAGACCTGAAAATAGCTGTGCAGCGACACACCCCATCCAACCTGACAGAGTTTGAGAGGATCTGCAGAGAAGAATGGGAGAAACTCCCCAAATACAGGTGTGCCAAGTATGTAGCGTCATACCCAAGAAGACTCAAGGCTGTAATCGCTGCCAAAGGCGCTTCAACAAAGTACTGAGCAAAGGGTCTGAATAATTACGTAAAATGTGATTTCAGTTATACTTTTTTTTATAAATTAGCAGAAATGTCTAAAAACCTGTTTTTGCTTTGTCATTATGGGGTAGTGTGTGTAGATTGATGAGAAAAAAAGAACAAAAATCCATTTTAGAATAAGGCTGTAACATAAAATGTGGAGAAAGTCAATACTTTCCAAATGCACTGTATGTGTGGGGTACAGAGATGAGGTAGTCATTCAAAAATCATGTTAAACACTATTATTGCACACAGAGCGAGTCCATGCAACTTATTATGGTAGTTGTTAACCACATTTTTACTCCTGAAATTATTTAGGCTTGCCATAACAAAGAGGTTGAATACTTATTAAAGCAAGACATTTCAGCTTTTCATTTTTAATACATTTCTAAAAACATAATTCCACTTTAACATTATGGGGTATTGTGTGTAGGCCAGTGACAAAAAATCTCAATTGAATCCATTTTAACATTCCGGCTGTAACAACAAAATGTGTTAAAAGTCAAGGGGTGGGAATACTTTCTGAAGGCACTGTAAACTGCCTTTAAAAAGTAGTCAGACACATATTCCCTTCAGCATATGTCACTTTGTGAGGCAGTTATGTGCTTTAGTTACAGTCTCACCAACCTGCATGAGGTAATCTGCGATGAACTCTGGCTTCAGACATTTGACTCCCTGGGACATGGCCTCTGGCACGTCCACCCGGAAGTCTCCCGGCTTCAACCGACTGAATTCTGCAAACAGGTGCGTGGTTCCCTTGTACAGAGATGGAGAGGGACTGGGGAGAACCTGGAGAGAGGGTTAGGGAGAACAGAGAAAGAGGTTAGGCAAGAGTGTGGATGGAGTAACATCCAGAAGTGCACACGTTGTCAATATCTACAAAGGTATGGAGGAGATGGGAAGTCAGATACTTGAAAAGCAGAAGTTTCTATCATAAGCTTTCTCCATACTAAGAAACAGTAAGTGAAGAGAAGACAGTCAAGGCCCTCTCACCAAGTCAAAAAATTGTTTTATATGAGCACGTCTTGCTTATGACACCGTTCAAGTCAATTGCGAAATACAGTCCTGCCGCAATCCGTCAATAATTTATTCTGAACATGTTTGATTTTGGAGTCTTTTTGCATGCAAAAATAAATTCTGGAACACTGCCAAAGCTCTTAGCAACTTACCCAGAAAGACTCACAGCTGTAATTGCTGGCAAAGGTGATTCTAACTCAAGGGTGTGGATACTTATAAAAAATTAGATATTTTTGTATTTAATTTTTAATCAAATTCGCAAACATCTCTATTAAAACATTTTCTCTTTGTCATTATGGGGTATTGTGTGTAGATGGGTGAGAAGAAAATCTATTTAATCCATTCTTAATTCAGGCTGTAACACAAAATGTGGAATAAGTCGAAGGGGTATGAATACTTTCTGAAGGCACTCCCCTATAAATTTGAAGCTAAGACAAGGCTTTAATATGTTTCTGGAAAACGAATAATGTGATTTGCTTAAGTGTCTGAGTGAGATGCGTTGCAGGCGGCTTTGATTGATGGGTCCTTTTAGGTGGGTGGGTGTGCATGTATGAGTTACTAATTCTCTATGTCCATTCAGAAAGTTTCCCAGGCCTAGCCTGTCTGGACTTCATCTCTTTTTTAATCAGGTTGAAAGAAAACGGTAGGCAGCAAGCGTCATGATGGTCAGCATATGTGCAAGGAATGACGACAGGTGCCAGTTTTGAGTTTCCTCTCTTATTAAATGGGGTGCAACTGAATGAAATGTAGCCAAGCTCCTTTCATGACTCATCCAATAGAATGAATAGCCTATCCTAATATTTTCAGTAGCATATTATGTTTTCCAGTAGTATAGAATTTCTCTCATTACTGTGTCCTCTCTAGCCACTTTGAACAACATATTGCCACTGAGAATGACCGCAGCAGCGCTAGTGATTTTATGCAATTGTTTTGGATACGTAAAGGGAAAAACGCATTGGACTTGGGGTGAATGGTTTAGTATGTCAAAACTGGAATCTGTATTTTTTCGGAATTAGGAAGAAAATATCTCAACGCAGTTGGTGAGAAAAGGCCTTAAAAGGGCAATTCCGCCATTTTTCAAACTCATATTCATCATCTCCAGCACCAAACCAGTGTCTACATATGTGTGTTTCTATGATCTGTGGTTAAAAAGATAAGGTATTAAGAAATGAGTCTCTGTGACATCACAGGATTAAATGAAAAAATGATTTTCAAAACCTGCAACGAGTTTCTAGCCCAAGGGAGGGTATTTTCTTGCTCCCACGTCACCGTGAATCTCAGAGTTTGAAAATCTAAGTTAAAAATAGTATGTTTTAACTTTTGATTAGGTCATCGGTTAGAACTTTTTAACTTCAAATGTCTTTCTACAAAACGTAGAAATGTGCCGTTTTCACATATGTTGACACTGGTATTGTGCTGGAGATAATGACAATGAGGTTGAAAAGCGGTGGAGTTACCCTTTAAGAGTTTTGTTTGTACCTTTGCTCCACCAGACTGCAGCAGTCGTCTGAACCCTGACTCTCTGGTCTGGTCGATGTTTAGCATGACGGTCCAACCGCTGAACGCTCCCTCCAGGTCATTGTGTTCCTGCAGGTTCCTCCTCCAGCGCATGGCTGCCAATGCCAGCCTCTTCTGCTGGGAGCTGATGGAGGGTAGGGCATCCAGGATGGAGCTACTGCCCCACTCGTACGCATCCTCCTGGAACACACACAGTATGTACACCCTCTCCATTAAAGTCAAGATACATAAACAAGATGTATCTTTTAACTGAGCTGCCCCTTCTTGGATAGTTCTCCCTTGTGAAAGATGTCTGACCTCATTGGGACTTCCTGGTTAAATAAAGATTAAATCCAAAAAGATGGCACTAGGAGTCTGTGGAGGAAATAGTGGCATGTTGTGGTGGTCTGATGCAGATCCTGACCTGGATAAAGTGTCCCACGGAGCGACAGGCCTCCAGGTAGGATCGGTGCAGGATCCACTTCCCGGAGGCCATGGCTGCCAGGTACTTCTCATTCCTCAGGGGGTTCCCCACGATGATGTGGGAGCAGCTGGGGTCAAAGCACTGTTTGTCCAGCACCACGCCCCCTACAGGAACACAGACATGTATAGTCAGACAAAGAGACAGACAGACAAATGCAATAGGGGGACTGACAAACAGACGTCTCAGAAGAGAAAGAAACAATACAATGTTTTAAGACCAATGCAGATAAAAAAAGTAGACACGAGGGTGGGTCCCAAATGCCCCATTTTCCCTATATAATGCACTAGTTTTGACCAGAACCCTATGGGCCCTGGTCAAAAGTGGTGCACTATATAGGGATTAGGGTGACAATTTGAGACGCACCAACGAGTTGAGGCTACTTTTCATTTGGGTCATTTAACAAACACTCGTATCCAGACCAACTTACAGTAGTGAGTCCATACATTCTTATACTGGTCCCCTGTGGGAATCGAACCCACAACCCTGGCGTTGCAAGTGCCTTGCTCTACCAACTGAGCCACACGGGATGACATATGTACCACAGAGACGGTAAAGAAGATAGCGTCTAGTTAGTTAGGTGGTCAGGGAGCAGGATTGAGACTCACCCAGGTCCTCTATGAGGGCGCTGTAGTCTATCCTCTCCTGGGGGTTGAGGGAGGACAGCTGGAACCGAGGAGGCTCCTTCGCCGCCTCACTCTCTTCTTCGGTCTGTTGACAGTACAGACTTTTAGCGTCACTGTCACAGTACACCATTGCGCAGCTAAGTAACAATTCACATCTAAACATTTACTTATAATATCACCTTACAAGAGGGTAGGGAGGGTGTGTGTGGTTACCTGTGGCTCTGGGGGAACGGGGGGGTTGGCGAGGGGGAAGGCGATGCTGGGGGCTTTAGGGGTGAGGAGGTCAGGCTCTGGCACGGTCATCACCTTCTCACCCATCTGCTGGTCAATCATGTCACACTCCGCTGAATAGGAGGGAGAATGTTTTTCATTAGGTAAATATTTGGCACCTCAATAGAAAGAATCTCTTGCTGCAGGTGCGTTGGCATATATAACAAGATTGAAAAACAGAATTTCTAAGTTCTATTGCACTTTCTTTTTAACTCCTTTGAAACTTTACAACTTTAGCAACACTTGAGTATGATTGAAGACAGGGGACTACTTTTTTAATTCCCCTCCTCCTCACCCATTTCCACCATTTCAGAGTCGGTCATGGAGTCCCGGAGTGCGTTTCCGGCATTGTCAGAGTGGGATAGGGGTGCTGCTGAGGGTACAGCCAGGGGCACAGAGTGCTGGGAAGGGCTGCCGGGCCACTGCAGGTTGTCAGCAAGCTTGGCCCTCTCCTCCCGGGCAGTTGGGTCGTCCCACACGATCTGCTCACTCTGAGACGGCTCTGTGTTCAGGTCCACGGCTGCCTGACGAGACATCCTGAGTAACACCAGAAGAGGGAGACACAGACAGAGAGAGTTAGCCCTTTTTCACACTGTAACTATGTACATGCCTTATTTACATGGCAAACAAATATTTACATTGTAAACATCCAACAAACTTACAGCACAAATTCAACTCAGTCTCAAGTAAAATCTAAACATTTGTAGCGCAGAGGAATTTGAAAACCAAACAATGGGATGACTGTCTGGACACAGATCTGGTCATCGGCACAGGGAAACTGAATAGTGAAGGTTAATTGAAGGTTATTTTCACATTTTGCAGCCCCCCGGTCTGTCGGTGTCTCGTACCGCAGTGCTTCCATTGTGCGTCGGACGTTTGCGTTGCGGCCAGGGGTATGGGAGTCTGTCCCCACGGAGCCCAGGCCAGGGGTATGGGAGTCTGTCCCCACGGAGCCCAAGCGGGCTGAAGAGCGCTTGCTGGTGGTCATCTTGGTTGCTGACATGATCTCCTGCAGCTGCCTCTGGAGGTTCTCCCTCATCTCCAGGGTCTCTGACAGGTCTGGGAGACAGAGACGGTCAGAGGATGAGGGGAATGAAAGAAAGTGAAGTGTGTATATATGTATGTGTTTTGGGGACCTGCACTCAGAGATATTCAGTTCACTCCTGATAAGTGCAAACGTAACTTTTTCAGTCAACAGCCTCATATTCTGTATGAACCAGGAGGGGCCATACTTACGAACTCTTGCTTAGACCACAGGTTTAAAGCTTTTACAACTATGCTAGCTGTTAGCTTTTCCCATTGGAAAACGTGCTAATTTTCAGAGTTTGCAGCAAGGGTTCAAATCTCAGAGGATATTTTCTTTGTACTTTGAAATGTAGAAGTTACACTTATTGTGTTAGTGTGTTGAGAAGGGAAGTGCAGCCAGCACCTTGAAAATGAAGATTAAGAATAGATTTAATGAGGAGCTGCTTCTATCTTCAGCCTTGTAGACAAACATACTGCTAATAATCATATATATTGCATACACGTGTACATTTAAATTGTACATTTTATATGCATCATTATAATGTTGTACTTTACTCGAGGACCAGCAGTAGAGTTTGTCGCAAGGGGGACTCGAACCCACACTTACCGTATTCAAAAGATTCCAATCATACCACCTTAATGGACAGCAACTGGCAGTGATAGCAGAGCTGGAAGAGGAAGCGAGACGTCCCACTTGCTCATTTTTCCTGGTTCATATACAGTCAATGAACTAAGCAGACCAGACAGAGCTGCTATCGCATTGGTGTCCATGGGAGAGCCACCCCTTAAGCAGACCGGAACTGGGACCATTTTAAAACGACCTGAGTAAGACATTAATTTATCCACCATCTTTGGTGATAGTAATGGAGGGTAAATTAGTGCTACTTGACAAAGATCATGAGCCTCTTATTTTATTTTAACGATAAACGAATATAAACTTTTGTTGTATAATCGTCCTCCATCTTTTTCCGTAAAAGCACATGGATGTGCGTGAAACATAAGCAAAAACACTGAATTTTGTCCATTAGCTAACAACTATTATAGTTTCTCTAAAAAGTTTAAACCTGTGGTCTTAGCAAGAGTTCACAAGTATGGACCCGGAATGTTTCAATTCAATGCACTTGAGCACAGAAGGGCAGATCAGTGGATCATCAGTGCATAAGAGCCCCACCTTTCTCCTCTGCATTGTCCTGGCCCTGCTCTTGGTCAGTCTCTCCTTCAGTGACGTGATGGGAGGTTGTGGCGTCTTCTACGGAATTATCTTCAATCTGAGGGAGACGAGGTTATGATAAAAAAGCTTTAACTGACAGCCTCCATGCACCATTTCCCAGACACTCAAACCATTGAGCAATACAGGGGCCGTATGTATCAAGCATTTCAGAGTAGAAGTGCTAATTTAGGATCAGTTTTGTCTTTTCAATCACAATGAATAAGATTACATGGACGGGGGGGACCTGATCCTAGATCAGCACTCTTACTCTAAGACGCTTAATACATACAGCCCCAGATCTAGAGGTGAGCGGTTTCTGTAAGGAACGTACCCTGTTCTCTTGGGCCTCAGTGAGGTCTCTGAGTTGTGTGGTGCGGGTGGCAGGGGGAGACCTCCGGCTACTGTCAGGAGGCATCTGGCTGAGGTTCAGGCTCATCTTGGGGTTGTAGGTGAACGGGTAGAGAGACTCCGACACGTGTCTCTGATCCTCAGCACACTGGAGACAGCAATGAGTCAGTATTGAGGACACACACAAACACACACACGAACTACAGCAACACGTTTTGTGACTGTTCAGTCTGATATAAGAATAGAGCCTGCCTGTCGTTTACTTTATGCAGAACATTTGTGTTTAGTGTGTGTGTGTGTGTGTGTGTGTGTGTACTGGAAACCTTCCATACCGCCTGCAGCCAGTGCTGGGACACAACATGCACCCCTTGCTCCTTCACAGCCCTGTACTCCCGCGTGTTGTCCCCCACACGACCCTGGTAGATGTAGTGGGTTACGGTGTCGTCACACGACCACCTGGAACACACACACAGTATTGGATGGCACATCATTAATGGCAAGTGTCGTGTCTGGACCTATGGCAGTCTCTATGGGGGTGCCACAGGGTTCAATTCTTGGGCCGACTCTTTTCTCCGTGTATATCAATGATGTCGCTCTTGCTGCTGGTGACTCTCAGATCCACCTCTACGCAGACGACACCATTTTGTATACATCTGGCCCTTCATTGGACACTGTGTTAACAAACCTCCAAACAAGCTTCAATGCCATACAACACTCCTTCAGTAGCCTCCAACTGCTCTTAAACACTAGTAAAACTAAATGCATGCTCTTCAATCGAACGCTGCTGGCACCCGCCCACCCGACTAGAATCACTACTCTCGACGGGTCTGACAACTACAAATACCTAGGTGTCTGGTTAGACTGTAAACTCTCCTTCCAGACTCACATTAAGAATCTCCAATCCAAAGTTAAATCTAGAATCGGCTTCCTATTCCGCAACAAAGCCTCCTTCACTCATGCTGCCAAACATGCCCTCGTAAAACTGACTATCCTACCGATCCTTGACTTCGGCGATGTCATTTACAAAATAGCTTCCAACACTCTACTCAGCAAATTGGATGTAGTCTATCACAGTGCCATCCGTTTTGTCTCCAAAGCCCCATACACTACCCACCACTGTGACCTGTACGCTCTTGTTGGCTGGTCCTCACTACATGTTCGTCGTCAAACCCACTGGCTCCAGGCCATCTATAAATCACTGCTAGGCAAATCCCCGCCTTATCTTAGCTCATTGGTCACCATAGCAACACCCACCCGTAGTATGCGCTCCAGCAGGTATATCTCAATGGTCATCCCCAAAGCCAACACCTCCTTTGGCCGCCATTCCTTCCAGTTCTCTGCTGCCAATGACTGGAACGAATTGCAAAAATCTCTGAAGCTGGAGACTCTTATCTCCCTCACTAACTTTAAGCATCAGTTGTCAGAGCACCTTACCGATCACTGCACCTGTACACAGCCCATCTGAAATTAGCCTACCCAACTACCTCATCCCTATATTGTTATTTATTTTGCTCTTTTGCACCCCAGTATCTCTATTTGCACATCATCTCTTGCACATCTAGCATTCCAGTGTTAATATTAATTGTAATTATTTTTGCACTATAGCCTATTTATTGCCTTACCTCCATAACTTGCTACATTTGCACACACTGTATATATATTTTCTGTTGTATTATTTTTTTGACTTTGTTTTTTTTACCCCATATGTAACTCTGTGTTGTTGTTTTTATCGCACTACTTTGCTTTATCTTGGCCAGGTCGCAGTTGTAAATGAGAACTTGTTCTCAACTGGCTTACCTGGTTAAATAAAGGTGAAATAAAAAATAAATAAAAATGACTAACATTCTAGACGTAGTTGCGAGTATGTATTGTTGAGTTGAGAGGAGTACCTGAAGCCAGCTCCCAGTGAGGCAGCGATGCCGTTGAGCTCCCGCTGCTTCTTGCTCAGTTTCTTACTCACACAGATCACCACACCAGCCAGGGCAGCAGCCTCCTTCTCCTCCACCTACAGGCACACAAAGAGACACCAGTCACACTGGCATATAAACAACTGTGTATATGAACTTGGCTGTGTCTGTACTGTACTGTCTGTACTGAGATTTCCAAGATGGCGTAGTAGTGCAGTTGTGTTTTTATCGTATGTCTGTAAATAGCCTGTAAATACCCTATTTTTCGTACATATTTCCCTATCAGACTTTTCATCCTTCTACAAGATATACTTTCCTGCAACCCGCCTCACTCAATGTGGAACGGATTCTATTATTGACTTACCTTTATCTAGAATCTAGAATCTCCAGTTGAAACTAGCTAGCCAGCTAACTAGCTACTTGCTATTAGCCACAGCTAGCGGTGTTTCACCCAGAACATTGGATTTTTTTCTGCGGGATTAATTTTAATCACTGGACATTGATCACCGGATATTCGGCCAGTCTGCACAGCGCGTTATCGACCCAGAACATATCAGTTTTTCCGCCGGAATCACTGAATCACTGGACCTTTAACTCCGGATTCATCGCTACCAGCTAGCTACAACAAAACGGACGCTGTGGTCTGGCTAATCATCCTGAGCTAGGCCCATCTCCCGGCTATCTACCTCTCTGTCAACCGGACGGGACCACCTAGTGTTGACACGGAGCCCCGCCGATCCTACACGACTTGTCTGCCGACGAAATCGTCTGATGTGGTTACGACGTTAACCACGAAGATTCCATCCATCTGCTAGCCCTGGCCCGCTAGCACACGCTAGCCGTGGCCTCTTACTCACTAGTGCTTCACCACCGGACCTTATGATAACTCAGCTATACAGCTGATATCTGCTGGACTGTTCCTTTTTACGGTACTACATCCTGTTTATGTTTAGCCTCAGCCCAAACATGGTTAGTTTATTGTTGTTTCGGTTATTTCTAATTGTACTATATCACTGTAGACCCCCCAGCCTAGCTAAACCTGCCTTAGATAGCTCCTTTGCCCCTCCCCCTATACACGCGGAGACCGACTCAATTGATGCCTCCAGCGATGCTATCTCTTTCATTGTTACCCAACGCTTAGGTTTACCTCCACTTTACTCATATCCTTCCATATCCTTGTCTGTACATAATGCCCTGAATCTTTTCTATAACACCCGGAAATCTGCCCCCTTTATTCTATGTACCCAACGCACTAGAAGACCAGTTCTTAAAGCCTTTAGCCGTATCCTTATTCTAGTCCTCCTCTGTTCCTCTGGTGATGTAGAGGCTAACCCAGGCCCTGCAGCCCTCAGTATCACTCCTACTCCCCAGGCGCTATCATTTGATGACTTCTGTAATCGCAAAAGTCTTGGTTTCTTGCACATAAATATCAGAAGTCTACTTCCTAAGTTTGAGTTATTCACTGCGTTAGCACACTCTGCCAACCCTGATGTTCTAGCAGTGTCTGAATCCTGGCTCAGGAAGGCCACCAAAAATTCTGAAATTTCCATCCCCAACTATAACATTTTCCGTCTAGATAGAACTGCCAAAGGGGGTGGAGTTGCAATCTACTGTAGAGATAGCCTGCAGAGCTCTATCATACTATCCAGGTCTGTGCCCAAACAGTTTGAGCTTCTACTTCTAAAAATCCACCTTTCCAGAAATAAGTCTCTCACTGTTGCCGCTTGCTACAGACCCCCCTCAGCCCCCAGCTGTGCCCTGGACACCATATGTGAATTGATTGCCCCCCATTTATCCTCAGAGTTTGTACTGCTTGGTGACCTAAATTGGGATATGCTTAATACCCCAGCCATCCTACAATCCAAGCTAGATGCCCTCAACCTCACGCAAATTATCAACGAACCTACCAGGTACAACCCTAAATCTGTAAACATGGGTACCCTCATAGATATCATCCTGACTAACATACCCTCTAAATACACCTCAGCTGTCTTCAACCAGGATCTCAGCGATCACTGCCTTATTGCCTGCGTCCGTAACGGGTCCGCGGTCAAACGACCACCCCTCATCACTGTCAAACGCTCCCTAAAACACTTTAGCGAGGAGGCCTTCCTAATTGACCTGGCCCAGGTATCCTGGATGGATATAGATCTCATTCCGTCAGTAGAGGATGCCTGGTTGTTCCTTAAAAGTAATTTCCTCTCAATCTTAAATAAACATGCCCCATTCAAAAAATACAGAACTAAGAACCGATATAGCCCCTGGTTCTCCTCAGACTTGACTGCCCTTGACCAGCACAAAAACATCCTGTGGCGTACAGCATTAGCATCAAATAGCCCCCGCGATATGCAACTTTTCAGGGAAGTTAGGAACCAATATACACAAGCAGTCAGGAAAGCAAAGGCTAACTTTTTCAAACAGAAATTTGCATCCTGTAGCACTAACTCCAAAAAGTTTTGGGACACTGTAAAGTCCATGGAGAATAAGAGCACTTCCTCCCAGCTGCCCACTGCACTGAGGCTAGGAAACACTATCACCACCGATAAATCTACAATAATCGAGAATTTCAACAAGCATTTTGCTACAGCTGGCCATGCTTTCCATCTGGCTACCACTAACCCGGCCACCAACTCTGCACCCTCTGCTGCAACTTGCCCATGCCCCCCCCCCGCTTCTCCTTCACACAAATTCAGACAGCTGATGTTTTGAAAGCGCTGCAAAATCTGGACCCCTACAAATCAGCTGGGCTAGACAATCTGGACCCTTTCTTTCTAAAACGAGCCACCGAAATTGTCGCAACCCCTATTACTAGTCTGTTCAACCTCTCTTTCATAACGTCTGAGATCCCCAGAGATTGGAAAGCTGCCGCGGTCATCCCCCTCTTCAAAGGGGGTGACACTCTAGATCCAAACTGCTACAGACCTATATCCATCCTGCCCTGCCTTTCGAAAGTATTCGAAAGCCAAGTTAACAAACAGATCATCGACCATTTCGAATACCACCGTACCTTCTCCGCTATGCAATCCGGTTTCCGAGCTGGTCACGGGTGCACTTCAGCCACGCTCAAGGTCCTAAACAATATTATAACCGCGATTGATAATAGACAGTACTGTGCAGCCGTCTTCATCGACCTGGCCAAGGCTTTCGACTCTGTCAACCACCGCATTCTTATTGGCAGACTAAATAGCCTTGGTTTCTCAAATGACTGCCTCGCCTGGTTCACCAACTACTTCTCAGATAGAGTTCAGTGTGTCAAATCGGAGGGCCTGTTGTCTGGACCTATGGCAGTCTCTATGGGGGTGCCACAGGGTTCAATTCTTGGGCCGACACTTTTCTCCGTGTATATCAATGATGTCGCTCTTGCTGCTGGTGACTCTCAGATCCACCTCTACGCAGACGACACCATTTTGTATACATCTGGCCCTTCATTGGACACTGTGTTAACAAACCTCCAAACGAGCTTCAATGCCATACAACAATCCTTCAGTAGCCTCCAACTGCTCTTAAAACACTAGTAAAACTAAATGCATGCTTTTCAATCGAACGCCCGACTAGAATCACCACTCTCGACGGGTCTGACCTAGAGTATGTGGACAACTACAAATACCTAGGTGTCTGGTTAGACTGTAAACTCAACTTCCAGACTCACATAAAGAATCTCCAATCCAAAGTTAAATCTAGAATCGGCTTCCTATTTCGCAACAAAGCCTCCTTCACTCATGCTGCCAAACATGCCCTCGTAAAACTGACTATCCTACCGATCCTTGACTTCGGCGATGTCATTTACAAAATAGCCTCCAACACTCTACTCAGCAAATTGGATGTAGTCTATCACAGTGCCATCCGTTTTGTCTCCAAAGCCCCATACACTACCCACCACTGTGACCTGTACGCTCTTGTTGGCTGGTCCTCACTACATGTTCGTCGTCAAACCCACTGGCTCCAGGCCATCTATAAATCACTGCTAGGCAAATCCCCGCCTTATCTTAGCTCATTGGTCACCATAGCAGCACCCACCCGTAGTCTGCGCTCCAGCAGGTATATCTCACTGGTCATTCCCAAAGCCAACACCTCCTTTGGCCGCCATTCCTTCCAGTTCTCTGCTGCCAATGACTGGAACGAATTGCAAAAATCTCTGAAGCTGGAGACTCTTATCTCCCTCAATAACTTTAAGCATCAGTTGTCAGAGCACCTTACCGATCACTGCACCTGTACACAGCCCATCTGAAATTAGCCCACCCAACTACCTCATCCCTATATTGTTATTTATTTTGCTCTTTTGCACCCCAGTATCTCTATTTGCACATAATCTCTTGCACATCTAGCATTCCAGTGTTAATACTATTGTAATTATTCTGCACTATAGCCTATTTATTGCCTTACCTCCATAACTTGCTACATTTGCACACACTGTATATATATTTTCTGTTGTATTTCTGACTTTATGTTTTTTACCCCATATGTAACTCTGTGTTGTTTTTATTGCACTACTTTGCTTTATCTTGGCCAGGTCGCAGTTGTAAATGAGAACCTGTTCTCAACTGGCTTACCTGGTTAAATAAAGGTGAAATAAATAAAAAATAAAAAATACCGCTCCGTAGGTCTCCTTGCTGAGCTGGGGGCTGGCTGTAAGGGCCTGGAGGTCAAGGTGGTGGCCGCGGGTGCTGTTGGCCAGGGCCACCTTCAGGTTTCTCCCAATGATCTCTGACAGCGGGGTCGCGACCTTCTGACTCTGCTGTGACCTGCCCCCTGGTGTGTCCAACGCCGCTAACGCAGCCTGGAATGTCATATACAAATACATACTTTCAAGGTGTGTTGTTATAATATAATGCTCAACTAGGGCTGTGGCGGTCATTACATTTTGTCAGCCGGTGATTGTCATGCAAATAACTGCCGGTCTCCCGGTAATTGACCATTAAAAGGGACATGTAAAAAAAAATATTCATCCTCTCCAGCACCACCCCAACATATGAGAAATTGGCGCGTTTCTATGTTTTGTAAAAAAGATAGAGGAAGATAAGTGTTTCCAATGACATCAACCAATTAGTAGACAATGCCTAATTATAATTGGTTAAAATCACACGATGCACACCGATGTCATTGGAAACATTGATCTTCCTCTATCTTTTTTTACTACAAAACATAGAAAGGTGCAATTGTTACATGTTGATGTTCGGGTGGTGCTGGAGAGGATGAATATGAAGCTGAAAAACCTTGAAATTTCTCTAACATAAACACGTTCAGCTTCTCCGGGCTTCTGCGCATAGCCTACAAGCCACTGATGCGGACCTTTGGAACATCTACAGACCTTTGGAACATCTCGAGAACCCATCTGATGTCACGCCGACTCATTGTTGGGAAAAACACAAAATGCAACGAAAATCTGTTTTGTGGAAATCTATCTTTTGGTTGTTTTGGATACTTTAAACCCTTTACTTTATTTTAATGTAAAATATTGATCTAATAAATCAATTTAATATAGCCTACACAATCACAATAAGTCAATTATTTATTTTAGGCAGGTCTAAAGAAACATTATATGAAGAAAATGTAGCCCATTTCAGAAGAACAATATAGCGCATTCTGAGTCATCCTTATGTTAGGTCCTGATCTGGCTATGCCATATGGCTGTAGGCTACACTAGTTCAGTTAGCAGGCAAGATTTGCTATGAATTCCTGTAGCATTATTTTATAGTAAGAAGAATACAATTGAACATAGCTGAATAAAATAGAAAGGATATTTTTCCCCCCCCAAACGCATTTCCGAGGGTGAGCAGTTAACAAAGAAACAGGTCCCTCCTATATGCTTATTTTACAGTTATCTATGCAACTTTAGTTGTGATAAACGTTAGGCTATACGTTTAGATTTGTAATACATTGTAAGGCTGCATAATTATTTTTAAAAAAGTAGCATGAAAGGCATGAGCTCTGCTTTGTTTCTTGCGCAGGCTAAACACAATTCAGTCTCGCATTCACTATTTGACAAGCATTTAATATTCTCACCCAGAATTTAATCTGGTCTTTACATATAGCCTACTAATATACAGTATGGGTTGAATTCTTTTAGATTTAAAATGGTCCACAAATGTTTGTACACGTCATCTGTAGCCTGCACTCGAATAGCGAATGGAAGTTACGTGCGGTTATGTTTTTAATATGCCAGGTAGGCTACACCGGTTATAAAGCAAATTAATGTCCTTAATTTTAAGAATTGAGCAATAAATATAGCAGCACGAGAAAGCTGGAATCCTCTTTTAAATAACGGCCAGTCAAAACTCGATTGCTCAATGACTGGGCTTATGAGAACAAATGTTTCACTAGGCTCTGTAGGCTATGTGCTTTCCAACCGTGTTCCAGGGCGCTGAGTACTAGGCCATTAGCAAGTTTGGAAGGGTACTAATGACCATCAGCGGCATCAGAGTGCAGTTTTGGAGAAGCCTAGTTACTGTGACTCAACGGTCACGTGGAATTTGACTGCGGTCATGACTCGTGACTGCCGGTGTGGTGGTATTACGGTCACCGTAACACCCCAATGCTCAACGCTATTCCGTCAATGAGTGTTTTTGCACACTATTCCATATACACCGAGTGTACCAAACATTAGGAACACCTCCCTAATATTGAGTTGGAGCCCCCCGTTTGTCCTCAGAACAGCCTAAATTCGTCGGGGCATGGACTCTACAAGGTGTCGAAAGTGTTCCACAGGGATGCTGGCCCATGTTGACTCCAATGCTTCCCACAGTTGTGTCAAGTTGGCTGGATGTCCTTTGGGTGGTGGACCATTCTTGATACACACGGGAAACTGTTGTGTGAAAAACCCAGCAGCGTTGCAGTTCTTGACACAAACTGGTGCACCTGGCACCTACTACCATAGCCCCTGTTCAAAGGCACTTAAATATTTCGTCTTGCCCATTCACCCTCTGAATGGCACACATGCGCAATCCATGTCCCAATTGTCTCAAGGCTTAAAAATCCTTCTTTAACCTGTCTCCTCCCCTTCATCTACACTGATTTAAGTGGATTTAACAAGTGACATCAATAAGTGATCATAGCTTTCACCTGGTCAGTCTATGTAATGGAAAGAGCAGGTGGTCTTAATGTTTTGTATACTCAGTGTATAGCGCACTATAGAGACAAGTGAGTTTTACCTTGACATTGAAGGTGGGTCTGAAGAGCTGGTCTCGGCAGAGGAAGCGGGAGGGGGTGTCCAACTGCAGCGCCGGGGATTCTATCTGCCCCCCTGCTTTCCTGTCCCCCTCTTGACCTCCCGGAGAGGTACAGTCCTTGTCTAGCTGGCCTTGGTCAAGCACGGAGCGGAACACCTTACTCTGGAACCGGCCCGTGTCCAGGGGGGTGACGGCCACCCCGCTCTGGGGGCCCAGCAGTGGAATCTCTGGGGACTTGTTACGGGCTGGGGGAGGGGGCATGCATGGCTTCTGTGAGCCCCCCACAAAACTCTCCTCTTCTCTCTCTGGGGAACAGAGGGAATACATAAACTGATTCAGATGAAATATATCACATACAGCAGAGCATTAACTGTTCGTGCAAAACTCATCCCCTCTCAATAAATGAAATGCTAAGGTTTCAACGGCCCAGAAGTTACTAAAAGTTTTGCCAAAACATCATTCATCCCCCACTGCTGTTGGCAGAAAAAAAAAAAAAAAAGGAAAATATGGTTTTCCATTCAATTAAAATCCATTCAAGAAGTCTCTATGATTGCTAGGCAGACTGACCTGGAGAACAGGGCAAGTCCACCAGGTATCTCCCCTCCTCTGCCTTCCGGCCCGTCCTGGCAGACTCCAGCACCCAGCGCAGGGTGACAGCGGGCAGCCCCCACTTTTGGGCCGCCTGGTACTTGGTGCCCTCAGGGCTCTGCAGCACCAGGTGGGTACTAGCCAGCATGGCCTTCCTCTGGTTGGCCATGCGCACAAAGTAGTCCTGGACACTGTCCAGAGGATGGATAGATGGAAAGGTGAGAAAATAGTAAGACATGAGAAACTACGCACAAATATGCCACAAATGTTCTTGTTGCAGGCTTTCAGTTTGACACATAAGCCACAGGTTACTTCGTTCTCAGTGCAATACATGTCTGTTTGTGACAAGAAGGGACTAGTATATCCAGTGTGTGTGTGTGACGGAGTATGATGCAATAATAAAATTAGAATGTCAAAAAAAACAACAAAGCATTTATCTGAATATATTTGCAGCTGTTTTTGCTGCTAATGGTGCCTTCATCAAGTATTGACTTAGGGGTTCCCTAAGGTCTCATTGGAAAGGTTGGATCCACCTACAGCCCTATTGAAAATGTGCAGTCCTTTGATGTAAATGTGTCCATTCAAATGGACACATTTACTATTCAAATGAAGCTATTCAAATGCTAAATATAAGGCAAGGCTGGAACATATTCTGTCCATTCTTAATGCGAGCGTGCAGCCAGCCTCTTACATTTTGTATTGGATTCACCACTGGCGATTGTAAGGCTGCGTTTACACGGGAAGCACAATTCTGATCTTTTGCCCATTATTGGCAAAAGTGCCGATCTGATTAGTCAAAAGACCAATTAGTGGAAGAAATATCAGAATTGGGCTGCCTGTGTAAATGGAGTCTAGGGATAGGCCTATGCCTACAATTCCTCTGAGCAGACAAGCTTTAGTGTGGTTTATAGTGTTTTAGTTGATCAATCGTCTGCGAGTTACCTCCCATTATAGGGCTGCATTCCGTACATCGAGAATACGGCACATCAGAAAGATTCATCTGATGAGTCTGGTAGAATATAGCAGAGCAGACGCACTGAGCTATCCCTTCAGGATCCAATGACTACTACATCTGATCAACAAGTCTTACACTATGGCTTCAACAAATCCCAACAGTACCGTGTGCTCTGTTCAAGAGGAGCTTGATTCTTATGCCCATTTTTTTTGGCACATCACTTCAGGGAAACCCTTTATCCTTTCCATTCTTCTCCTGACTTTACTGGTGAACAGCAACATAATCAACGGATTGGTGAGACAAAGAATGGCTCTGGCAGCCGTCCTACACGTTGTTCAGCAATCTATTGATCTGTGTTCTTCCACAATGCTTTGTTATAGCATTCCCTGTGATGTACTCTATTCTGGGGATGGTGCAAGGCACATTTTGTTATTTTGATATGTTTTTTTAAACTCTCGATGAATCTAGACATCATGGTGATAGATGTGCGTTTATTTGCCACAGCATCCACTACCTGAGCATAATGACTCCCAGGCGTGTGCGGCTTGCCTTGGGGCTAGTCTGGGTGCAGTGTATCACCGTTGGCAGTAATCATCTTGTCCTGCTCAACCTGGGACTGTGCATTTAACAGAGCCACTGCAGGGCTGCTCAGTGAGCCTAGAAGTTTAAGAGCATCTATGAGCTTTAATCCTGTGCAAAAGTGACAGCACCATGGCCCTCCCAGCATCATCATAACGCTTTCAAATCAACATCTTCCGCTTCTGTTATGAACATGTGTACAATGTGGCCCTTCAACTGAGCAACTGCTGAACTTTTTTTTTAAACTGCAGCTGGTGCCATTTATCTACTGTGCAACCTGTATACTACTACAAGAGCAAACTGTGTCCTTCCTCGTGTGTGTGGTGGTTAGGTGGTTACCTGGCTCCCAGGTGTTTGGCCAGCTCTACCAGGGACTCCCTCTCCGCCCCGGTGAACTGGCTGACTGAGAGGACACAGTCACTGAGAGGGGAGCGGCCCTCCATCACTGACACAGGGCTGAACAAGAGGTGTGAGCCCAGCTCTAACACACACTGCTGCTCCACACACATGGCCTACACAAAAGACACATTGCTTAAAACTCACACAATATGGCTTAGTGAAGACTCGCACACACATTTGATAATCCCACACTTGGCCTAAAGAGCCCACCCACACCACACCAGAAAGACAACAAAAACACGGAGCCAGAATGTTTGTCAACATCCCCTCTCTTACCAGCCAAGTATCAGTGACCACCTCGTCCACAGTGGCCTCCACCTCGCAGCCCAGCAGGGGCACCACAGCGTAGTCGGCCACGGCCCGCGTGCGCCCCACCAGGACCTTCCCACAGTTCTCCGTCACCAGCACCGACAGCTGGGCCTCCGCCTCGGCCCCAAAGCCCACCAGGAGGAAGCGTTTCCCCGCAAACAGGCCCGCCTCACCGGCCTCCTGCAGGGTGGAGTCAGCTCCGGCCCCACCCTCGGCTGCAGTAGAAGCCTGGTCTGGGGCTGAGACCCAGGGCTCTGGTGCTGCAGAGCTCTGCCTCCTGTGGCGACTGCTGTCAGCTGGTGGAGGCATCTCCACTGGGGTTGGAGGAAAGAAATGGCGGATGAAGAGAGGAAGTTAGGAGGATATTATGGTGGCACATGGTACCTGGGAGGGCAGGTTCTGTGACTTTCAATCAAGCTAACAGTAACAAGTATGTCAACAGGAAAAACTGTATAGTGGTGATACAACATTAGGCAATGTGAATATCTTAATATTCTTCACAATCATCTCCAATAACAATCAAACATAAACAGAATACCAACATGAGGCTACAGGTGACCCGTGATGTGACTCCTTTGAGTTGTGGTCTTGCTGCTACACTGAGTCTACACAGAGGAGCTCCTCCCTTACCCACTGTCTGGTCATCATCCATGTACTGAGAGAGCATGTCCTCCTCTGCCTTTCTGTGTCGAGGGGTAGCTGGTTCGGGGGCAAGGGGGGCAGCTGAGGAGGTGGAGGAGGGACGGGAAGCGGAGGTGCGGGGGGCAGGCATGGCCACGGTTGAAGGGGCGGGGGGCAGACAGGCTGGGTGGTGGTAGTCCCCTTCGGAGAGCAGGCTGCCTCTGGAGAAGCTGTCCAGCAGCCACTGCACCATCACTACATGGGGCCTGGAGGAGAGATCAGAAAGATAGGATCACATCAAGGCACAAGATACTCCTCATAGGTTATTTCCTACCTGACTACAGGTTGGGTTGCAAAATTAATTTTCAAAAATTCCGGTTTGGTGGAGTCTGGATTTCCTGCCTATTCCCTCCTGATTCCAGAGATATTCCAACTGGGATTTCTGGGAATTTTGAGCACATTACTGGAATTTTGCAACCCTACAGTGGGGAAAAAAAGTATTTAGTCAGCCACCAATTGTGCAAGTTCTCCCACTTAAAAAGATGAGAGAGGCCTGTAATTTTCATCATAGGTACACGTCAACTATGACAGACAAAATGAGGAAAAAAAATCCAGAAAATCACATTGTAGGATTTTTTAGGAATTGATTAGCAAATGATGGTGGAAAATAAGTATTTGGTCAATAACAAAAGTTTCTCAAAACTTTGTTATATACCCTTTGTTGGCAATGACACAGGTCAAATGTTTTCTGTAAGTCTTCACAAGGTTTTCACACACTGTTGCTGGTATTCCTCCATGCAGATCTCCTCTAGAGCAGTGATGTTTTGGGGCTGTCGCTGGGCAACATGGACTTTCAACTCCCTCCAAAGATTTTCTATGGGGTTGAGATCTGGAGACTGGCTAGGCCACTCCAGGACCTTGAAATGCTTCTTACGAAGCCACTCCTTCGTTGCCCGGGCGGTGTGTTTGGGATCATTGTCATGCTGAAAGACCCAGCCATGTTTCATCTTCAATGCCCTTGCTGATGGAAGGAGGTTTTCACTCAAAATCTCACGATAAATGGCCCCATTCATTCTTTCCTTTACACGAATCAGTCGTCCTGGTCCCTTTGCAGAAAAACAGCCCCAAAGCATGATGTTTCCACCCCCATGCTTCACAGTAGGTATGGTGTTCTTTGGATGCAACTCAGCATTCTTTGTCCTCCAAACACGACAAGTTGAGTTTTTACCAAAAAGTTCTATTTTGGTTTCATCTGACCATATGACATTCTACCAATCCTCTTCTGGATCATCCAAATGCACTCTAGTAAACTTCAGACGGGCCTGGACATGTACTGGCTTAAGCAGGGGGACACGTCTGGCGGCGTAGTGTGTTACTGATGGTAGGCTTTGTTACTTTGGTCCCAGCTCTCTGCAGGTCATTCACTAGGTCCCCCCGTGTGGTTCTGGGATTTTTGCTCACCGTTCTTGTGATCATTTTGACCCCACGGGGTGAGATCTTGCGTGGAGCCCCAGATCGAGGGAGATTATCAGTGGTCTTGTATGTCTTCCATTTCCTAATAATTGCTCCCACAGTTGATTTCTTCAAACCAAGCTGCTTACCTATTGCAGATTCAGTCTTCCCAGCCTGGTGCAGGTCTACAATTTTGTTTCTGGTGTCCTTTGACAGCTCTTTGGTCTTGGCCATAGTGGAGTTTGGAGTGTGACCGTTTGAGGTTGTGGACAGGTGTCTTTTATACTGATAACAAGTTCAAACAGGTGCCATTAATACAGGTAACGAGTGGAGGACAGAGGAGCCTCTTAAAGAAGAAGTTACAGGTCTGTGAGAGCCAGAAATCTTGCTTGTTTGTAGGTGACCAAATACTTATTTTCCACCATAATTTGCAAATAAATTCATTAAAAATCCTACAATGTGATTTTCTGGAAAAAAAATCTCAATTTGTCTGTCATAGTTGACGTGTACCTATGATGAAAATTACAGGCCTCTCTCATCTTTTTAAGTGGGAGAACTTGCACAATTGGTGGCTGACTAAATACTTTTTTCCCCCCACTGTATCTACAGGGTTTGGGTCCAAGACTGCTTTCCTGCATCTATATCCGTCAGTGGAGGCTGCTAAGGGGAGGACGGCTCATAATAATGGCTGGAATGGAGCAAATGGAATGGCATCAAACACATTGAAACCATGTGTTTGATGTATTTGATACCATTCCACTAATTCCACTCCAGCCATTACCTCAGGCCCGTCCTCCACAATTAAGGTGCCACCAACCTCTTGTGATATCCGTACTAGAACAAATGATGGTTTAATGACAAAGCTTATCAACCTAAGCGTAATACATTATGGATATGCAATGGCTGTATGTGTCTAATAACAGCCAGTGGTCTTGTTGGGGTGCTGTTGTGACAGCTCTGTGGTACTGACTGACCTGTGTGTGGCTTTGGCCAGGAAGGTCTTGGTGTCCTGGTCAGTCTCTCCCATGACCACGTGGGTGAGCTCCTCGCTGGGCTGGTTGAAGTGCAGGCCACCGGCCATGTTGACCAGGCGACGCAGCTTCTCCAGCCTCATCCCTGGCAGCCCACACAGGTACAGCTACAGGGGAAGACAGCGGAAATTGAACTTGTGTTTTCTAAAACCCTTTACAATAAGAAACCATAAGGAATAAAGAACCATAAGGTATGTGACTCTATATGTCATGTCTGTAAGTGAACGGAATTGAACTTCTGGTTAGCACATTTCTATAAGAGCAATGGAACTGGAACTGAAGGCCTCAGTAAGGAAAGTAACCTGTGATTACTCCATAGAGAGAGTGGCTCAGAGAATTCAAATCAAATGTTTTCTTCTAATAGAGAGTTATAGGATCTCAATCGAGTGGCTCATATCAAGATGAAGTGTTGAGAGGACCTCCTCCTGACCTTGCAGCCGTCCAGCAGGTCATCTGCGGGGCCAACTGTGATGTCCAGCACGTCGATAGGGTCTGGTGTGTCCAGCCGGCTGACCGTGGCATTAGTCAAGGCCGTGTCATTCACCGTCATGCTGCTGGTCACAGAAATGTGGCTCAACCCCAGTAGAGACGCACCCTCTGAAGGAAAACAACAACAACAAATGACCTCATTGTTGTGACCAGGGGCTCTTTCTAAGCACTTTGAAGCATTATAATATGGATATTTGCTGTGTGTGTTTTTATGTATGTATATGTATTTTTACGCTACACGACAATTGCCCTTCAGAGTCAATACAGATCTATTGAATAGGGATGGGGGTTTTAAGTAATTTTACTATTCGAATAGTATCATGAATATCTGTCGGATATCCGGATATTCAAAATACAATTTTTTTAACGTAGCTACGTTTGTAACCTGAGCACTGCTGCGCAAGGGAGAGAGGCTGGCGCTCTATTGAACCCTGGACACTTGCCGCATTCAGACCCTTCTCCTCTATTGCTGCAGCTGCGGAGGGTGGTGTGTGTGTAGCGAGCAGACAGAGGGAGAGCGAGACGCAAAGGCAACTCGGCTACAGCCAAGACTAGCCAACTTGTAGCAGCCACAATGTTATTCATCATCCCATTTAACAGTGCCCGTCTTGACTGGAGTAGCCTAGAGAACCTAGACAGCTATAGCTAGCTAGGCTAATTGAGGCCACATGCTGTGCTTTTTCCCCAACCCCATTCAGATAAAACAGCTTACCTGTTGGTTGCTCGTTATAGCCTACTCCTTCTCATTTCACTAACTTTTAATTTAGTAATTTAATTCCATGTTGCATTGCATTAGTGAGCTCTCACTCCATTTGCTACACACTGAGCCTCTTTGACGCTTTGATTGGCCAATAAACACGCTACACACGAAGGCTACCGTATTGCCGCTTTCCATGTTGTCTGTAGCTTGTGAGGTGTGGAAATACTTTTATGCATTTTGTTTTGTTGCCTTTTGGGCTATTGCTCTGTCTGCGTGCTGCTTGTCCTATGTTGCTCTGCATGTCTGTATTGTTATTGATTTTAATAACCTGCCCAGCAACTGCGGTTGAAAATTAGCCAGCTAGCTAAAACCTGCAATTTTACAGAAATGTTGATTAATGTGCACTGTCCCTGTACAAATGTAAACAAACTCAAACAGGCCGGCTATTGGTCTTTTCATGGGGCGCACCGTGCACGTCATAAAACGTTTGTTTAATTAAATTAATAATTTGAAATGTCATGGTATATCCTTGTATGGAAGAATGCCACATTGATATTTTAAATGTAATTTAGAAAAAGCCTTTTGTTGTTAAATTCCAGTTAAAATAGGCTTATATTGATTTATTTTTGCAAAAATGTATACTCAAGTATTCGAATACAAACATCCATTTGGATATTCAAATAACCGTGCACATCCCTACTATTGAACTGAATAATCAGTCCTAAAATTCTGAAATAAAAATGGAAATATTAAATGTTGAGCTTGGCGCCTCACCCTCTTTCTTCTTGCTGGTGCCGGTGGGGGTAGATGTGTGGGGTTTGCTGGCTTTCTGAGCCCCTCGCTCCACCGTGTAGCGACTCTCGTCCTGGCAGAAGCCCTTCTCGATGCTGTCAAACAGCCAGTTCAGAGACACACAGAAGACGTTCCACTTCTGCGCACACTCATACTTCTGACCTGCAGGCACAGACAAAGAGAGGGATCAGTGAAAGTGATGGAAACTGGGTGGCAGTAAGAGAGACTCAGGAACTCTACGACCTAAAGCTGTTATTATATGAAAGGACATCAGAAGGACAGGGCTAAAGCATGTAGACTGTCCTTGTGATTATGAGAAGAAAAAAAATCTGCGTGGCTGAAGCTGGATTTATCCCTTCTTAATTTCTTTGTATTTGTGATGTGTGCTGAACTGATTCTGAACCTAACTAAGTTGGACAATAACGGTATGGTAAGTTCGACCTACCCGAGGGCTCGCTGACGATGAGGTGGGTGCACTCATTCATCTTGAGCTGTCCGGTGTAGCTGGCCCCGTGCTGCTGGCAGAGCCTCTGCACCTTCTTACGCTCCACTGTGGAGAGGCCTGTGACACAGACGGTGCAGCCCCGGAGCACAGGGCACAAGTAGTCCTCTATGGGCAGGTCAGTGTATCTGAAGAGGCTGGAGGGGGAAAGAGAGACCGGGACAGGGGGATGAGTAGATCTGTTTAAAGCTGCAATATGTAACTTTTTGAGTGACAACCAAATTCACATTGAAATGTGAGTTCTATGTATGCACTCACTAACTGTAAGTCGCTCTGGATAAGAACGTCTGCTAAATGACTAAAATGTAAAAATGTAGATCTGTAATTCTCAGTTAAAGCAAGTCTAAGAAGCAGTAGATCTGTTCTTGTGTGCCATTTCTATGATTTCTGTTCTTAAGCTTTGTTTTTGCGTCTTTTACTTTCAGTTTTGTACACAAGCTTCAAATCAGCTGAAAATACAATATATTTGGTTACTGAAAATATATTTCACAGCGGTTTAGATGGTAATGCATTGCTTGTTCTACACTATGCATTGCTTGTTTTGTCACAAACTGAAATTAGGCGAACTATTAGAATTTTAGCAACCAGAAAATGACTGAATATTGCACCTTTCAATTTATGTCAGTCTGAAATAGAAGTGCAGCTACATACGTAAATACGATGAGATGGCGGTGCTGAGGAAGGCGCGCGTCTTGCCGGTTCCTGCACGACTTTGCTTTCTTATGGCTATTTTTGTCTTATTATTTTGTTTGCTCAGAATGTTCGTGCAATAATTGCCTACGACCGTCAAACACTTCTCGATCATGAATCTGAAGCTACACACTTCTCTCAGCCTCCTAGACCTGGAATACTACATTTGCTCCTTTGTTCCACGCATAGCGGGCTTATCGGTTGCTGCTGACCAAGATGACCGAAGGCAACGCCGGCGACGAAGGAGGAAATGGGGACTCCAAGCTAGCCTGAAAAGATGGGCTACACGACGACCTCTTCCTAGTATCCTGATGGCTAATGTCCACTTGCTGGAAAATAAACATTGAACTTTGAGTAAGGCTTCAATCGCAGAGGGACATCAGGGAATGCTATGTCTTCGTTTTTACAGAGACATAGCTTATGGATGATACACTCGACTCCGCTATTCAACCAGACGGCTTCATCATTTTTCATATGGATCGAACGGCGGCTTCTGTAAGAGTAGGGGGGAGGGATATGTTTCCTTATCAACAATTCCTGGTGTACCGAAGTTGAAAGCATCTCGAGCTCCTTTTCACCCGACCTGGAATGTGATGCTAAAATGCAAACCCCACTATATGGAGAGGGAATTCACGTGTTTTATCACAGCTGTGTGTTATACCGCCACAAGCAAACACCAAGGCGGCACTCAGCGAACTGTACAAGATCATTAGCCAGCAAGAATCCTCTTTATTTTCACTGGAATTTTTTGTTGTTGTTGTAATTCTTACCCCCCTTTTCTCCCCAATTTCGTGATTACGATCTTGTCTCATCGCTGCAACTCCCCAACGGGCTCGGGAGAGGCAAAGGTCGAGTCATGCGTCCTCCGAAACATGACTCGCCAAACCGCGCTTCTTAACTCCCGCTCGCTTAACCTGAAAGCCAGCCGCACCAATGTGTCGGAGGAAACACCTGATGACCGAAGTCAGCCTGCAGGCCCCCGGCTCGCCACAAGGAGTCGCTAGTGCGTTGAGCCAAGTAAAGCCTCCCCTGCCAAAACCTCCCCTAACCCGGATGACGCTAGGCCAATTGTGCGCCACCCTATGGGACTCCCAGTCACGGCCGGTAATGACACAACCTGGGATCAAACCCCAGGCTGTAGTGACGCCGCAACACTTCGATGCAGCGCCTTAGACCGCTGCACCACTCGGGAGGCCGTTGCTGGCGACTTTAACCAAGCACGTTTAAAACACATTTTTTCCAAAACATCACCAACATGTATCCTGCCCCACAATAGGAAACAATGTGTTGGACCATGTATATACAAACATCTGTGACGAATACAAAGCCAACACACGCCCCCACTTTGGCCAATCAGATCACGTCTCTGTTCCTACTCCCCACCTACAAGCAGCAACTCAAGAGAGAGCCATCAATACAGAGAATAGTAAGGCACTGAACAGAGGAGGCAGACTCAATGCTGCAGGACTGTTTTGAGAATACTGATTGACATATGTTAAAAGATTCATCCAACCAGGACTCATTCATCAACATTGAGGAATATACATCGTCAGTCACAGGCTTCATTAGGAAATGTGTTGATGATGATGTACCCACAATAACAATCTGGACATACCCCAATCAAAAATCCTGGATGAACAGAGATATCCGTACCATGCTGAGAGCCTGTACTGCAGCATTCAATGTCAGCAGAACGAACCCCGGTGACGCGTACAAGGCAAGAGCTCCGCAAATCCATTAGGGATGCAAAAAGACAATACAGACTCAAACTTGAATTGATGTTCGACAAATCAGACTCGCAACGCATGTGGCAAGGACTACAGACTATCACAGACTACAAAGGCAAACCCAGGTGTGTGGTGCCCACCGAAGCCTCCCTCCCAGACGAGCTTAACACATTATATTGCTGCTTCGAGGCAGACAATACCGAGCCATCCTAGAAGGCTATCGCTGTTCCGGACGACCAAGTGCTTTCTCTCTCCGAGGCTGACGTGAGGAAAACTCTTTTTTTTTTTTTTTTAAAGAGTGAATACTCAGAGCCGCCGGCCCAGATGGCATTGCTGACCAGTTGGCGGGTGTCTTCTCTGACATCTTCAACCTGTCCCAGGCTGTAGTCCCCACCTCCTTCAAGGACACCACCATTGTCCCAGAGCCCAAGAAAAACAATGTGACATGCCCAAATGACTATCGCCCTGTCTCACTCACCCCAGTCATCATGAAGTGCTTTGAGAGGTTGGTCATGGCCCACATCAAGGCCAGCATGTCAGGGACACAGGACCCACTCCAATTTGCCTACCGCTCCATGGAAGATGCCATTTCCATCGCTATTCACACGGCCGTAACACATCTGGACAAGAGGAACACCTATGCGAGAATGCTGTTCATTGACTACAGTTCAGCATTCAACGCTATTGTTCCCTCCAAGCTCAACACCAAGCTCAGAGCCCTGGGTCTGGACACTACCCTCTGCAACTGGATCCTGGACTTCCTGACGGGCAGACCACTGGCTGTGAGGATTGGCAACAACACCTCCCCCAAACGAACTCTTAACACAGGGGCGTGTCCTCAGTCCAACTCCATCATCAAGTTTGCTGACGACACCACGGTGCCTGAGGAAGGCCTGCAGCATCATCAAGGACCCCACACACCCCAGCCACAAGCTGTTCACACCCTTACGGTCGGCTAGACGGTATCGGAGCATGATGTCTGATACTAACAGGCTCAGAGATCTTCAAGCCGTCAGACTGCTGAACACTTGAACTGACCACCTGCTGATTCTCCGCACCTTAGCACACATGCACTCACTCACACACAAACACAACTGCTGCTACCAGACTCTTATTATGATTGCTAAATACTGCAAAATGTAAACACCTGCCACCCAATCCCCCCCTTCCCCAAAACACGTGTAAATACTGGACTTTAAATTGTGCCTTCCTGTATTATACTTATGCTAAAAATGGTATTATATACACTGAACAAAAATATAAATGCAACAATTACAAAGTTACAGTTCATAGAAGGAAATCAATCACTTGAAATAAATTAATTAGGCACTAATCTATGGATTTCACATGACTGTTGGTCAAAGACACAAAAAAAACTGAAGAAAAAAAAAAGAGGTGGGGGCGTGGATCAGGAAACCAGTCAGTATCTGGTGTGACCACCATTTGCCTCATGCAGCACGACATCTCCTTCGCATAGAGTTGATCAGGCAGTTAATTGTGGCCCGTGGAATTTTGTCCCACTCCTCTTCAATGGCTGTGCGAAGTTACTAGATATCGGCGGGAAGGAGAACACCCCGTCATACACGTCAATCCAGAGGGTGACATGTCTGGTGAGTATGCAGGCCATGGAAGAACTGGGACATTTTCAGCTTCCAGGAATTATGTACAGATTCTTGCGACATGGGGCTGTGCATCATCATGCTAAACCATGAGGTGATGCTGGCAGATGAATGGCACAACAATGGGCCTCAAGATCTCATCACGGAATCTATGTGCATTCAAACTGCCATCAATAAAATGCAATTGCGTTCGTTGTCCATAGCTTATGCCTGCCCATACCATAACCCCATCGCCAACATAGGGCACCCTGTTCACAACGTTGACATCAGCAAACCTCTCAACCACACAACGCCATACACGCTGCCTGCCATCTGCCCGGTACAGTTGAAACCCGGGATTCATTCGTGAAGAGCATACTGCTCCAGCGTGCCAGTGGCCATCGAAGGTGAGCATTTGCTAACTGAAGTCGGTTACGAAGCTGAACTGCAGTCAGGTCAAGACCCTGGTGAGGACGATGAGCACGCAGAGGAGCTTCCCTGAGGCACTTTCTGACAGTTTGTGCAGAGATTCTTTGGTTGTGCAAACCAAGTTTCATCAGCTGTCCGGGTGTCTGGTCTCAGACGATCCCGCAGATGAAGAATGCAGATGTGGAGGTCCTGGGCTGGATTGCGTCCTACCTGACCGGTCGCTCCTACCATGTGGCGTGGCGAGAAGCTGTCTCCGCACCACGTGCTCTCACCACTGGTGTCCCCCAGGGCTCAGTTCTAGGCCCTCTCCTATTCTCGCTATACACCAAGTCACTTGGCTCTGTCATATCCTCACATGGCCTCTCCTATCATTGCTACGCTGACGACACACAACTAATCTTCTCCTTTCCCCCTTCTGATAACCAGGTGGCGAATCGCATCTCTGCATGTCTGGCAGACATATCAGTATGGATGACGGATCACCACCTCAAGCTGAACCTTGGCAAGACGGAGCTGCTCTTCCTCCCGGGGAAGGACTGCCTGTTCCATGATCTCGCCATCACGGTTGACAACTCCGTTGTGTCCTCCTCCCAGAGTGCGAAGAGCCTTGGCGTGACCCTGGACAACACCCTGTCGTTCTCCGCTAACATCAAGGCGGTGACCCGATCCTGTAGGTTCATGCTCTACAACATTCGGAGAGTACGACCCTGCCTTACACAGGAAGCGGCACAGGTCCTAATCCAGGCACTTGTCATCTCCCGTCTGGATTACTGCAACTCGCTGTTGGCTGGGCTCCCTGCCTGTGCCATTAAACCCCTACAACTCATCCAGAATGCCGCAGCCCGTCTGGTGTTCAACCTTCCCAAGTTCTCTCACGTCACCCCGCTCCTCCGCACACTCCACTGGCTTCCAGTTGAAGCTCGCATCTGCTACAAGACCATGGTGCTTGCCTACGGAGCTGTGAGGGGAATGGCACCTCCGTACCTTCAGGCTCTGATCAGTCCCTACACCCAAACGAGGGCATTGCGTTCATCCACCTCTGGCCTGCTGGCTCCCCTACCTCTGCGGAAGCACAGTTCCCACTCAGCCCAGTCAAAACTGTTCGCTGCTCTGGCACCCCAATGGTGGAACAAGTTCCCTCACGACGCCAGGACAGCGGAGTCACTCACCACCTTCCGGAGACATTTGAAACCCCACCTCTTTAAGGAATACCTGGGATAGGATAAAGTAATCCTTCTACCCCATAATAATAATAATAAACAACTAAATTATATAAATAAATAAAAAAACATTGTAAAGTGGTTAACCCACTGGCTATAAGGTGAATGCACCTATTTGTAAGTCGCTCTGGATAAGAGCATCTGCTAAATGATGTAAATGTAATGTAAATGTGTAGTTACACGTGGTATGCGGTTGTGAAGCCGGTTGGATATACTGCCAAATTCTCTAAAACGACGTTGGAGGCGGCTTATGGTAGAGAAATTAACATAAAATTATCTGGCAACAGCTCTGGGGGGCATCCCTGCAGTCAGCATGCCAATCGCACGCTCCCTCAGAACTTGAGACATCTGTGGCATGGTGTTGTGTGACAAATCTGCACATTTTAGAGTGGCCTTTTATTGTCCCCAGCACAATGATCATGCTGTTTAATCAGCTTCTTGATATGCCACACCTGTCAGGTGGATGGATTATCTTGGCAAAGGAGAAATGCTCACTAACAGGGATGTAAACTAATTTGTGCACAACATTGTTTTATTTGTGCGTATGGAACATTTCTGGGATATTTTATTTCAGCTCATGAAACATGGGACCAACAATTTACATGTTGCGCTTATATTGTTGTTCAGTGTTTTTTTCTGAGCTATTTACTTTGTTAGTATTCTTATATTTTATTATTTCTTATTGTTGTTGCATTGTCGAGAAGGAACCTGCAAGTAAGCATTTCGTTGGATGTTGTATACCATGTGTATCCCGTACATATGACTAATACAATTTGAAACTAGATGTACACTTTTAACATACTTGCTATATCATTGGTTGATTACAGACATAGCTTTTCATTAATGTCTCTGGCTAAATGAGAAAGGCATAAAAAGCGCTATTACCTGTCCTGTGATTTCTCCCAGCAGGTTTTGACCCAAGTGGGCAGCAAGATGGGCTTCCCTAGGCTGGCGGCCACCAGGTACTTCTTGCTGCCCACCTCCCCGGCAATCAGGTGAGTGACAGACACGTTAAGGTCCCGATAGACCCGCCCACCCATCAGCTGCACCAGATCCATCACGTCAGCCTGGAAGTACAGAGACAGACACACAGAGTCACTAACAGGCCTGCTACATTGGATGCGTAACCTTTTCTGGGCGTGAGACGCTCCCATTCATTTCAATGTAACCTGGACCTAAGCAGCACGGCTCCGTAAGAGGCTCGCACTGCTCAGTGTAAAATTACGCTCTGGTTCTATTTTCAAGAGTTCCCCTGTAAGGCCATTGATGTGGATTAATTACATAATTGGCATCAAAAACACTTGGCATCATTGTTGACGAGTCAAGCAGAGTAAAGGGGAACGCAATGGATTTACCCTAGCCTCCTTGTCCAGACTGGTGCAGGAGATGGTGACATCAGCCATGGCCATGTTGTAGACAGGCTGCTCTGCTTTGGGCACACAGCGCTGCTGCTGAAGGCAGAAGAGCACCACTAGTGGACTCACCACTCGACAGCCCAACTATTCACAGAGACAAACACAGTTTTACACTACTGATTATTTTTCAGTACACTTCATCGCCGAATGCTGACAGTGTTCTTAACACGTTGTGACATGTGAGGATAAGTACAGTGAGGGAAAAAAGTATTTGATCCCCTGCTGATTTTGTACATTTGCCCACTGACAAAGACATGAACAGTCTATAATTTTAATGGTAGGTTTATTTGAACAGTGAGAGACAGAATAACAACAACAAAATCCAGAAAAACGCATGTCAAAAATATTATTAATTGATTTGCATTTTAATGAGGGAAATAAGTATTTTACCCATCTGCAAAACATGACTTAGTACTTGGTGGCAAAACCCTTGTTGGCAATCACAGAAGTCAGATGTTTCTTGTAGTTGGCCACCAGGTTTGCACACATCTCAGGAGGGATTTTGTCCCACTCCTCTTTGCAGATCTTCTCCAAGTCATTAAGGTTTTGAGGCTGACGTTTGGCAACTCGAACCTTCCGCTCCCACCACAGATTTTCTTTGGGATTAAGGTCTGGAGACTGGCTAGGCCACTTCAGGACCTTAATGTGCTTCTTCTTGAGGCACTCCTTTGTTGCCTTGGCCGTGTGTTTTGGGTCATTGTCATGCTGGAATACCCATCCACAACCCATTTTCAATGCCCTGACTGAGGGAAGGAGGTTCTCACCCAAGATTTGACAGTACATGGCCCCGTCCATCGTCCCTTTGATGCGGTGAAGTTGTCCTGTCCCCTTAGCAGAAAAACACCCCCAAAGCATAATGTTTCCACCTCCATGTTTGACGGTGGGGATGGTGTTCTTGGGGTCATAGGCAGCATTACTCCTCCTCCCAACACGGCGAGTTGAGTTGATGCCAAAGAGCTCGATTTTGGTCTCATCTGACCACAACACTTTCACCCAGTTCTCCTCTGAATCATTCAGATGTTCATTGGCAAACTTCAGACGGGCCTGTATATGTGCTTTCTTGAGCAGGGGGACCTTGCGTGCGCTGCAGGATTTCAGTCCTTCACGGCGTAGTGTGTTACCAATTGTTTTCTTGGTGACTATGGTCCCAGCTGCCTTGAGATCATTGACAAGATCCTCCCGTGTAGTTCTGGGCTGATTCCTCACTGTTCTCATGATCATTGCAACTCCACGAGGTGAGACCTTGCATGGAGCCCAGGCCGAGGGAGATTGACAGTTCCTTTGTGTTTCTTCCATTTGCGAATAATCGCACCAACTGTTGTCACCTTCTCACCAAGCTGCTTGGCGATGGTCTTGTAGCCCATTCCAGCCTTGTGTAGGTCTACAATCTTGTCCCTGACATCCTTGGAGAGCTCTTTGGTTTTGGCCATGGTGGAGAGTTTGGAATCTGATTGATTGATTGCTTCTGTGGACAGGTGTCTTTTATACAGGTAACAAGCTGAGATTAGGAGCACTCCCTTTAAGAGTGTGCTCCTAATCTCAACTCGTTACCTGTATAAAAGACACCTGGGAGCCAGAAATCTTTCTGATTGAGAGGGGGTCAAATACTTATTTCCCTCATTAAAATGCAAATCAATTTATAACATTTTTGACATGCGTTTTTCTGGATTTTGTTGTTGTTATTCTGTCTCTCACTGTTCAAATAAACCTACCATTAAAATTATAGACTGATCCTTTCTTTGTCAGTGGGCAAACGTACAAAATCAGCAGAGAATCAAATACTTTTTTCCCCTCACTGTAGGTAGAAGCCAGGTTTGGGAAAATGTGCGTCTTGAGACAGACCTTTGTGCAGTGGTGGAAGGCTAGGGTGGAAAAGGTACTGAAGACGAATAGAGACTTGTCATTATGGTCCATCTGTAATGCAGTCTCCTCATCAATGTTCTTCAAGTAATTCTCTGACTGGAGCGCCATGATGGCCTGTTTCAGAAGGAGAATAAATATTATTAATTTCAATAACAAACACTGCTGGAGAAACAAAAAGCATGACCATTTTACTATCAAATGTTAGTGGTTAGTCATGGACACTGGTATCATAATCAAAGTGGCACTCACCTCATAGGCCTTGACAGCAAGGTCTGTCTTTTGTCCATTGACTTCTACAAACTTCACAACGAAGCCATCTCCATCTCTTTTTGACATCGTCAACCTACCATGTGACAGAAGTGCATTAACCCGTTATATGGAATTAGGAACAGTCATATGGCTAATACTGGCTCTTTAATTCGTGACATATAGCTTACGTTAGCTAGCTACAGAGAATATAGCTAGTTGCTAGATTACATTGTTAACCAGCTAACTTAACTTATTTTAGTGACTATAGTGTCATCTACATATTTAACGTTAGCTAGCTAACATTAGCTGACAAGTAATTATAACATGGCAGTCACTTTCTGCTATGGCCGCGAATGTGCGGTGTGTATATGCTCAAACGTCTGGGCCATGGGAACAGTTCAGGGCCCGGTTTAAAAAGGCATCCAAGTCCAAGTTTATCGTTAGAACCATAGGATCGTAGCTATGGTTCTAACAATGAACTTAAGCCTTAAGATGTTTTTGGGAAACCGGCCCCTGGTTCACCAATGTTCTTACCTTATTAGACCTCCAATATTATATATTGTTCCTTTAGGAAATAACTAGGTTTGTTAACTTATCTAAAACTAGCAAACAACATGAACAGTTTTAAAAGTAATCGAGCTCGCGAGTGGCCCAAATGAAGACGAGTGGACGACTGCTCGAATCCGAACTCGTCATTCACAGAGCTTGAAGACCATCAAAATAAAATGTTTAAACCTGAACAAACAATCATTGTTATCGTAATTCACAGGTCATTTGCCTCGATCACTTGTGTACAACAACTCTGAAAAAAAGAAAACAATAGTGCAAACATCTTGAAGGTGTTGCTATTCGCGCGCGGAAATGGTAATCAGCTGCAGACGGAAGTGAGGTTGTGGGGGTCCTAAGAAAATAAAGTGAACTTGTATGTGCGCCCTCTGCTGGCAGGCATATAAATAAACTCAAATCCAACACGATTTCCACTTACCGTTGCTGCTGCCTGCTGTGTAGCTGATTCAGCATGCCACCAATGGCACACCATTAAGATGACCCCCCCCCCAAAATGAAAGGGTCAAATCTGAAGCCCAGTTTACTTAAAATATCAGAAATAACTGAAATACTAACAAGTATGAGTTGTACATTGATTAGATGTGTATTGTTAGTATCTGTACTGCAGCCCAAGATTCTGGACCTTTATGGCACAAGAGTATGCTTGTTCTGTCAATGTATGTAGTGTTGCTATGCCCCACTTTGGTATAAAGTTTGACATTTCTCTTATCTGACTGTACTTTATATTGTCATTCATTCTTCTCAGTATCATTGAAAATAGAAACACACATGAAGAGAAAATAACACTGTGGGTTCCCTTTTATTCTTAAAATTGTATGTACAAGTACGACTGATTGAAAAAAAAATGTACATTCAATATAGAAAGTTCATCATATTACATTGAACATTTCACAATTGCACTAGTCATATATTTATAATCAGAGTCAGTATCATTCCTCATGTCTTAGCAGAAGCTCATTTGAGTTGGTAAAGACTTATTTACCTATAAATATTAGAGTGCTTTTTGCATTCTGGGGAAGGAAAATAACATACAAAAATTTTGTTGGTTTCGGCAGAAACGATAAACTCCAAATAGAGTGAGTAGAGCAAAGTATGGAGCAGGATCATCATGATTGGGGTAAGACAGAAAGGAGACAACGAACGCACATATGGCCACTTCAAAAGGGGCAGACAGGGCAAGACTAGACGTCAGCTTCTGTCTCAAATTCCCCGGCGCTGTTCCTTTTAGAGGAAGGGGAGGTCAAAGCAATAATACACCACAGTTCTGTGAGTTCCTCCTCACATTTTTCAACCTCTTCCATACGACACTAAAACATACATTATAAAATTAGGAAAGGTTTGACTGGTCCTGTAAACTGGTGAGCGGAGGAGATTAAGTTCATCTTTGTCCAGTGATTACATGTTCAGGCCAGATACACATACAGTACCCTCCTTCAGGACTAGTGGCTGTGATCTGTGAGGGTGTGTGTTGCCAGGCAGAGTAGTGAGACCGGGCATGATGGAGGAGAGGAAGGAGAAGAGAATGGAGGGAGAGGTAGGCCCAGATATTCTTCCGTTTGTCTTTTCCCCCACAAAAAAAAATTAAGATTAAAAAATATATTCATACAAAAGTAAACTATTTTTGTCTCATTGGAAAAAACAAAGCACAAAAACAGAAGAAAAAAAAGTAGATTCGACAACAAGTGTTATCATTCGCTTTAAAACAATCAAACAAAGGTTTACGACGACTGTTTGGGGGCAGGGGAAGGATAGTGACATTTTAAGCGTTTGATGGCAGACATTTAGGAGACAGTCAATGATAGTCTGTGATGATGTCCCCTGTAGCTCAGTTGGTAGAGCATGGCGTTTGCAACGCCAGGGTTGTGGGTTCGTTTCCCACGGGGGACCAGTATGAAAAAAAAAAAAAAAGCACTCTAACTGTAAGTCGCTCTGGATAAGAGCGTCTGCTAAATGACGTAAATGTAAAATGATGGCCCCCTCTCCTTCCTCCCTCTCTTTCTCCTTCGGGGAGCTGAACAGTCTCTCTGAGCAGCAGCCTGTGAGCCGCAGGGTAGTCTGGATGCCTGAGCACTTCTCTCTCAGTCTGTCTGTCACTCAGTCAATCAACCCGAGTCTCCAATGTCATTGTCCACAGGGGGCGGAACGCTGGGCAGCACTGTGGAGCCGGTTCCTGCTGTAAGGTAGCCTGCTACACCTGGACCTGCAGGAACCACAGAGAGAGAGAGAGAGAGAGAGAGGGGGGGGGGGGGGGGGGGGGAAAGAGCGAGGGGGAGAGAGTGAAGGAGAGAGAGAGAGACAAAGACAGAGGATTAGATAAGAGAGACATACAGTTGAAGTCGGAAGTTTACATTCACCTTAGCCAAAAACATTTAAACTCAGTTTCACAATTCCTGACATTTAATCCTAGTTAAAATTCCCTGTCTTAGGTCAGTTAGGATAACCGCTTTATTTTAAGAATGTGAAATGTCAGAATAATTGTAGAGAGAATAATTTATTTCAGCTTTTATTTCTTTCATCACATTCCCAGTGGGTCAGAAGTTTACATACACTCAATTAGTATTTGGTAGCATTGTCTTTAAATTGTTTAACTTGGTTCAAATGTTTCGGGTAGCCTTCCACAAGCTTCCCACAATAAATTGGGTGAATTTTGGCCCATTCCTCCTAACGGAGTCAGGTTTGTAGGCCTCCTTGCTAGCAAATGCTTTTTCAGTTCTGCCCACACATTTTCTATAGGATTGAGGTCAGGGCTTTGTGATGGCCACTAATACCTTGACTTTGTTGTCCTTAAGCCATTTTGCCACAACTTTGGAAGTATGCTTGGGGTCATTGCCCATTTGCGACCAAGCTTTAACTTCCTGACTGATGTCTTGAGATGTTGCTTCAATATATCCACATACATTTTCTTCCTCATGATGCCATCTATTTTGTGAAGTGCACCAGTCCCTCCTGCAGCAAAGCACCCCCAAAGCATGATGCTGCCACCCCCGTGCTTCACGGTTGGGATGGTGTTCTTCGGCTTGCAAGGTCCCCCCTTTTTCCTCCAAACATAACGATGGTCATTATGGCCAAACAGTTCTATTTTTGTTTCATCAGACCAGAGGACATTTCTCCAAAACGTACGATCTTTGTTCCCATGTGCAGTTGCAAACCGTAGTCTGGCTTTTTTATGCCGGTTTTGGAGCAGTGGCTTCTTCCTTGCTGAGCGGCCTTTCAGGTTATGTCGATATAGGACTCGTTTGACTGTTGATATAGATACTTTTGTACCTGTTTCCTCCAGCATTTTCACAAGGTCCTTTGCTGTTGTTCTGCGATTGATGTGCACTTTTCGCACCAAAGTACATTCATCTCTAGGAGACAGAACGCGTCTCCTTCCTGAGCGGTATGACGGCTGCGTGGTCCCATGGTGTTTATACTTGTGTACTATTGTTTGTACAGATGAACGTGGTACCTTCAGGCGTTTGGAAATTGCTCCCAAGGATGAACCAGACTTGTGGAGGTCTACGATTTTTATTCTGAGGTCTTTGCTGATTTCTTTGGATTTTCCCATGATGTCAAGCAAAGAGGCACTGAGTTTGAAGTTAGGCCTTGAAATACATCCACAGGTACACCTCCAATTGACTCAAATTATGTCAATTAGCCTATCAGAAGCTTCTAAAGCCATGACATCATTTTCTGGAATTTTCCAAGCTGTTCAAAGCCACAGTCAACTTAGTGTATGTAAACTTTGTGATACAGTGAATTATAAGTGAAATAATCTGTCTGTAAACAATTGTTGGGAAAATTACTTGTGTCATGCACAAAGTAGATGTCCTAACCGACTTGCCAAAACTATAGTTTGTTAACAAGAAATGTGTGGAGTGGTTAAAAAACAAGTTTTAATGACTCCAACCTAAGTGTATGTAAACTTCCAACTTCAACTGTACTTAGGGTGGCAAAATTCTGGTAACTTTCCAAAAATTCCCAGTTGTTTCAGAAATTGAGGTTGGAAGACTTCTGGAATCAGGAGGGAATAAACAGGAAATCTGGAGTCCTAACAGGATTTATTAAACCCGAGAATTCTTGGAAAGTTGCCAGAATTTTACAAGCCAAGACATACTAAAGGCCACTGCGAATGTTCAAACTGGGTGACTGAGGAGGCATGATGTGGTGCAAGTGAAAGTCACTATCTGATGCAAGTGCTACATCGTGTGGTTATGCTACAGGGTTGGTTGTATGGGGAGGTGGTACTAGAGATGGCATGGAGGTATATGAGTATATGAACTATTGCTACTGAGAGTGTCAGTGAGCATATTGCCACTGTTTACTTTATTAGGGACACTGTTGGCTTATCAAGGGCAGGGCTGCCACATTACTGGTTCAGAGGATTCACCCATTGATTTGTGCTACAGGAACTTCATCCGTATAGTGTTTTTCCAATCCATGTCTGGAGATGGAGATGAGTGGGGAAAAGTGGAAATGTAAAAACTGAAGTGGCACAAGATGGAGGGTGACAGGTCAAAGAGTGGAGGTGGAGGGTGGCATGACAGCAAGGATAAAGTCTACCTGCGTCAGAGCAAAGAGAGAGGAGGCGCGCTGGGAGGGCCCTGCACAGGAAACTACAGCCCACTCCGCAGGGGGCTGCTGGCTGCCATGAGAGAGGGAGTGGACACACCTGGAGAAGGAAATGTGGAGGAAGAGGAGAAGGAGGAGAAAGGGAAGGAAAGGAGGAAGAGAGGAAAAGGAGGGAGGGTACTAAGCACAAAGTGAAGAGGCAGCAGCCACAAAGTGCCCAAGGGAAGCATAGAAGAACGAAGGATTCAGATTGAGCTCGTAGAATGCCCCCTCTAAACTTACCTTCTTTGTAGTGCATAACATAATGTGTGTGAGCGCGTGAGTGTGTGCAGATTCCTACCTGTGAGGTACCCTGCGGTCTGGGACTCAGAGATGAACAGGTCATGTTTCTGGTCTTTGAAGGCACTCCACACAGTGGACCGAGCCAAGATTTCATTCACCTGCAACACAGGACCACTCAGACTGATACACGTGTACAGTACCATAGCAGTTAAGATAAGATCAACTTTAATGTCCTGAGGGGAAAAGTGTCTTAGACACACGGTACTGCTGTATACAAAATAAACACTGTACACAATACATTACACACAACATAAACACAATACATACATTTCTCTCTTGACACAATGATGAAAATAATCATGGCCTCTAAACCTTCAAGCTGCATACTGGATCCTATTCCTACTAAACTGCTGAAGGAGCTGCTTCCTGTGCTTGGCCCTCCTATGTTGAACATAATAAACAGCTCTCTATCCACCGGATGTGTACCAAACTCACTAAAAGTGGCAGTGATAAAGCCTCTCTTGAAAAAGCCAAACCTTGACCCGGAAAATATAAAAAACTATCGGCCTATATCGAATCTTCCATTCCTCTCAAAAATTTTAGAAAAAGCTGTTGCGCAGCAACTCACTGCCTTTCTGAAGACAAACAATGTATACGAAATGCTTCAGTCTGGTTTTAGACCCCATCATAGCACTGAGACTGCACTTGTGAAGGTGGTAAATGACCTTTTAATGGCGTCAGACCGAGGCTCTGCATCTGTCCTCGTGCTACTAGACCTTAGTGCTGCCTTTGACACCATCGATCACCACATTCTTTTGGAGAGACTGGAAACCCAAATTGGTCTACACGGACAAGTTCTGGCCTGGTTTAGATCTTACCTGTCGGAAAGATATCAGTTTGTCTCTGTGAATGGTCTGTCCTCCGACAAATCAACTGTACATTTCGGTGTTCCTCAAGGTTCCGTTTTAGGACAACTATTGTTTTCACTATATATTTTACCTCTTGGGGATGTTATTCGAAAACATAATGTTAACTTTCACTGCTATGCGGATGACACACAGCTGTACATTTCAATGAAACATGGTGAAGCCCCAAAATTGCCCTCGCTAGAAGCCTGTGTTTCAGACATAAGGAAGTGGATGGCTGAAAACTTTTTACTTTTAAACTCGGACAAAACAGAGATGCTTGTTCTAGGTCCCAAGAAACAAAGAGATCTTCTGTTAAATCTGACAATTCATCTTGATGGTTGTAAAGTCGTCTCAAATAAAACTGTGAAGGACCTCGGCGTTACTCTTGACCCTGATCTCTCTTTTGACGAACATATCAAGACTGTTTCAAGGACAGCTTTTTTCCATCTACGTAACATTGCAAAAATCAGAAATGTTCTGTCCAAAAATGATGCAGAAAAATTAATCCATGCATTTGTTACTTCTAGGTTAGACTACTGCAATGCTCTATTTTCCGGCTACCCGGATAAAGCACTAAATAAACTTCAGTTAGTGCTAAATACGGCTGCTAGAATCCTGACTAGAACCAAGAAATTTGATCATATTACTCCAGTGCTAGCTTCCCTACACTGGCTTCCTGTTAAGGCAAGGGCTGATTTCAAGGTTTTACTGTTAACCTATAAAGCGTTACATGGGCTTGCTCCTACCTATCTTTCCGAGTTGGTCCTGCCGTACATACCAATACGTACGCTACGGTCACAAGACGCAGGCCTCCTAATTGTCCCTAGAATTTCTAAGCAAACAGCGGGAGGCAGGGCTTTCTCCTATAGATCTCCATTTTTATGGAACAGTCTGCCTACCCATGTGAGAGACGCAGACTCGGTCTCAACCTTTAAGTCTTTACTGAAGACTTATCTCTTCAGTAGGTCATATGATTGAGTGTAGTCTGGCCCAGGAGTGTGAAGGTGAACGGAAAGGCTCTGGAGCAACGAACAGCCCTTGCTGTCTCTGCCGGGCCGGTTCCCCTCTCCACTGGGGTTCTCTGCCTCTAACCATTTACATTTACATTTTTGTCATTTAGCAGACGCTCTTATCCAGAGCGACTTACAGTTAGTGCATGCATTATATATTTTTTTCCCCCTGTGGGAATCGAACCCACAACCCTGGCATTGCAAACGCCATGCTCTACCAACTGAGCTACATCCCCTGCCGGCCATTCCCTCCCCTACCCTGGACGACGCTGGGCCAATTGTGCGCCGCCCCATGGGTCTCCCGGTCGCGGCCGGCTACGACAGAGCCTGGATTCGAACCAGGATCTCTAGTGGCACAGCTAGCACTGCGATGCAGTGCCTTAGACCACTGCGCCACTCGGGAGAATATTGCAGGGGCTGAGTCACTGGCTTGCTGGTGCTCTTTCATGCCGTCCCTGGGAGGGGTGCGTCACTTGAGTGGGTTGAGTTACTGACGTGATCTTCCTGTCTGGGTTGGCGCCCCCCCTTGGTTTGTGCTGTGGTGGAGACCTCTGTGGGCTATACTCGGCCTTGTCTCAGGATTGTAAGTTGGTGGTTGAGGATATCCCTCTAGTGGTGCGGGGGCTGTGCTTTGGCAGAGTGGGTGGGGTTATATCCTTCCTGTTTGGCCCTGTCCGGGGGTTTCTTCGGATGGGGCCACAGTGTCTCCGGACCGCTCCTGTCTCAGCCTCCAGTATTTATGCTGCAGTAGTTTATGTGTCGGGGGGCTGGGGTTAGTTGGTTATACCTGGAGTACTTCTCCTGTCTTATCCAGTGTCCTGTGTGAATTTAAGTATGCTCTCTCTAATTCTCTCGTTCTCTCTTTCTCTCTGAGAACCTGAGCCCTAGGACCATACGTCAGGACTACCGGGCATGATGACACCTTGCTGTCCCCAGTCCGCCTGGCCTTGCTGCTATTCCAGTTTCAACTGTTCTGCCTGCGGTTACGAAACCCCTACCTGTCCCAGACCTGCTGTTTTCAACTCTTAATGATCGGCTATGAAAAGCCAACTGAGAGACCTGAGCCCTAGGACCATACGTCGGGACTACCGGCCGTGGTGACTCCTTGCTGTCCCCAGTCCGCCTGGCCTTGCTGCTATTCCAGTTTCAACTGTTCTGCCTGCGGTTATGGAACCCCTACCTGTCCCAGACCTGCTGTTTTCAACTCTTAATGATCGGCTATGAAAAGCCAACTGAGATTTATTCCTGATTATTATTTGACCATGCTTGTCACTATGAACATTTTGTGGAACACTTGGCTGGTTCTGTTATATCTTCACCCGCACAGCCAAAGAGGACTGGCACCCCTCATAGCCTGTTCCTCTCTAGTTTCTTCTAGGTTTCGCCTTTCTAGGGAGTTTTTTTCCTATCCACCGTGCTTCTACACCTGCATTACTAGCTGTTTGGGGTTTTAGGCTGGGTTTCTTGTAACAGCACTTCGAGACTAATTAGCTGATGTAAGAAGGGCTATATAAAATAAAATTGATTGATTGAAATTGATTTCAACTACAAGTTCAAATACATCAAACAGCTGTGCTCTGCCTCAGTATACTACAGGTAGTTAATATTGCGACAATTTAGTCACATTTTGCGTCCTTTTGAGTTGGCTGTGCGAGTTACATTTTTAATTGGTTGCATTGATGCAAGCTGCACATTCTACATGCTCACCTCACTCCAAAACATCCAATTTTTTCAGGCTACTAAAACCATGATTTGTTTAAACAGTGATATGCATTATCCTCATGATTCCTGTAATAAAAGTCTCTGCCCTGTCCCTGTTTCGCTGGGGCCTGCTGCTGTGATGAACGAGCCATTCTGTAAAAGTTAGTGGCACCAGTGCCATCAGGGGAAAATGTTAGTCTGGAGCCCTGTTGATATGTTGGATGATATGTTGGATGATATATTGATTAACATAAAGCCAGTGGTGCCTTACCTGTTCTCCATACTGCAGACTGCGTGTCATGGACTTGAGAGCCTTGACGATCTGAGCCTTGGTGGCCGAGGGGTTGTCTAAGGTCTCCAGCCCGATCCCTTCCAGTAGCCGCAGAAGGTACGGCACCAAATCCACTCTTAGGGCCTGTGTGTGCACGTACAAACACATTAAAACACTCAAATGACATGGAATAACAACACATATAAAAAGGACGGCACACAACATGTCTTTTGCTAAGGAATTAACAGTAAGAAATGGTGTGAGAAAATGAAACCTAAAAAGAGAGAGATGGGATGCATCCCAAATTGCTATCTATTCCCTATAGTGCACTACTTTTGACAAGAGCCCTGGTAAAAAGTAGTGCACTACATAGGGAATAGGGTGCCATTTGGGATGTAACCATAATAGAGATGAGGTACCTGAGCCACCAGGTCAGTCTGCTCTCTCTGGAACATTCGGTTGAGCGCCTCGCAGGCCAGTCCTGCCATGTCCGCCCTCATCTTCATCCCACTCATCAGAGGACCGATGGTCTCCAGAGAGGCCATGGAGCGCACACATTGCTGCACACACATACAGAAAAATGGCATTCAACTTAAATACCTTTCCGCGCGTGACAGAAATAAATATAACACATATTTAGTGTACTTGGGAAGATCGTTGACCTCACAATCAATCAGGACTATTGTAGACTCTGTATGTAGTTTAAGTTGGCTTGGTTATAGTTATACCACTACATTAGCCAATTATAGCTTAAGGTAGTCAGTTTATCTTGCCCATTAAATATCATGAATTTATGTTTGTTGTAGCCCTACACTGTGAACGCACCTCGTTGTCCGACAGCACATGGATGAGGCGGATGGAGCTCTTGGGCACAGCGTTGTTCTTGTGGGTCAGTGCAGCCAGGATGCGAGGCAGGTGGCCCAGGGGAGGGACCTGGTCACACAGCTGGGTCTGGGTGCTGAACAAACACACCGCCGCCGTGGTAACAGTCTCCAGGGCCTCACCCTGTTAGAAACGAGCAGCGAAAGGTTTATCAAACCAAAATGGAGATACAGGGAATTCTATGAGATGACAATAGATATTTTTTTCTGCTCAGTTACAGGAAGTGTGTGTGTGTACCAAATGTGCTTTAAATTCACTCAGCGAGATAATCTCATGGTCGCAAGGAGATGAACACGTGTGTGTACTCACATTGGGGTTGTTTTTCTCGTACAGCTCAGTAAGGGTCTCCAGGAGGGACACTAGGAACTCTCTGGGTTTGCGCAGCACCCAGCCTGGCTGAGCGATGAAGATACGTAGGAAGACTCCGCCCACCGCCAGCTCACCCTGCCCCGCCCCATACGCCACCGTGAACTCCTCTGGCAGCTGTCAACACACCGTATATCATAAACATTAGTACAATGGCATCCCATGTGATTATTTTGTTGTTTGAGCGTTTATTCTTATTCTCTGTAGGCCTACGATGAAATCCACAACATACAGAACAGCATTACATTGAATATGGATACACTTACTCTCCAGTTGACATCAGGATTATCCTTTTGCTGTTTGAAGTGCCTGCAGAGGATAAGGAGGAATATATCGTACAAAAGACACAAATCAAATATACAGTATAAATGGTGTATTACATCATTTCACAGCTAAATATTGTGCTGTCATTATGTCAACACTTTCAGGGTCAGGAACAATTTAGGGCCTAACGACTACAAAGCCACATGGTGTGTGTGTGTGTGTGTGTGTGAGAGAGCGAGAGAAAGGTGGTTGCGTACTCAAGCATCATCTCCCGGACAGTGGTGGAGACAGTCTCCCGGGAGCCGTCGTTCCAGATGAGCTCCGGGTTCTCGTGCGTCCCCTCGAAGATGTGCACTGCTGCCTCCGCGTTGTCCCGCATGGCATCCATGAACACGCCCGGCAGGAAGCGCATCAGAGTCAGACGCACCTGAGAGAGAGAGGGATGAGGGAGAGAGAGGACAGAAGATGTGGGACAGAGAATGAGTGAGGGCAAAAATACTTCCAAATGGCACCCTAGTTCCTATTTAGAGCACTACTTTTCCCTATTCACTAAATAGGGAATAGGTTGCCATTTGGGACGCAGTACTAAAGTAGTCTCTACAGAGGGATAGGTCTCTCCCTTTCATCCTCCACACAGGGACACTGCCTCACCTTGGGCCCCACCAGCTTGTCAGAGGTCATTTTGGAGAAGAGCTCGGCCGTCTGGGAGCGCACCTGGGGGTGGGTGGAGTTACAGAAGAGGTCCAGTAGGTAGATCAACGCACCTGGAGGAGAGAGGGAGGGAAAGAGGGACGGTTACCCATGGCAACAGACGATGATATAAGCCCATATACACAACAGAATATTATACTGTATATTCAAGAACTAACAATAAATCGGCATAATACTGACCCTTAGTCATAGCTTCTTTGACTATCTTGGTGTTGGAGGTCAAGGCGTATAAAGTTTCCAGTACAAGCTGCCGGCCTGAAAGGGATACAGAAAATCAGACAGGTCATTTTTGAATAAAAGTGTATATAGCTAGCAGAAAGGACTAGATGCAGTAGGTGTTCTGTGGTCTTACTTGAGGGCAGAGAGTGCAGTAGCACCAGTAAGTTGGACAGCACCAGGGACTCAGCGATGTTGGCCACACAGTCCTGGTTGGAGGTAACTGTGTTCACAACCTTAGGGAGGACACAAAAACAGGTCTCAGGTCAGGGATTGAAATATACAGTGCATGCATATGGGCTGATTGATTGGTTGATTTCGAAAACAGATACGTTTGCAAGTATATACAGTGGGGGGAAAAAAGTATTTAGTCAGCCACCAATTGTGCAATTCTCCCACTTAAAAAGATGAGAGAGGCCTGTAACTTTCATTATAGGTACACGTCAACTATGACAGACAAAATGAGAAAAAAAAATCCAGAAAATCACATTGTAGGATTTTTAATGAATTTATTTGCAAATTATGGTGGAAAATAAAGTTTCTCAATACTTTGTTATATACCCTTTGTTGGCAATGACACAGGTCAAACGTTTTCTGTAAGTCTTCACAAGGTTTTCACACACTGTTGCTGGTATTTTGGCCCATTCCTCCATGCAGATCTCCTCTAGAGCAGTGATGTTTTGGGGCTGTCGCTGGGCAACACGGACTTTCAACTCCCTCCAAAGATTTTCTATGGGGTTGAGATCTGGAGACTGGCTAGGCCACTCCAGGACCTTGAAATGCTTCTTACGAAGCCACTCCTTCGTTGCCCGGGCGGTGTGTTTGGGATCATTGTCATGCTGAAAGACCCAGCCACGTTTCATCTTCAATGCCCTTGCTGATGGAAGGAGGTTTTCACTCAAAATCTCACGATACATGGCCCCATTCATTCTTTCCTTTACACGGATCAGTCGTCCTGGTCCCTTTGCAGAAAAACAGCCCCAAAGCATGATGTTTCCACCCCCATGCTTCACAGTAGGTACGGTGTTCTTTGGATGCAACTCAGCATTCTTTGTCCTCCAAACACGACAAGTTGAGTTTTTACCAAAATGTTCTATTTTGGTTTCATCTGACCATATGACATTCTCCCAATCCTCTTCTGGATCATCCAAATGCACTCTAGCAAACTTCAGACGGGCCTGGACATGTACTGGCTTAAGCAGGGGGACACGTCTGGCACTGCAGGATTTGAGTCCCTGGCGGCGTAGTGTGTTACTGATGGTAGGCTTTGTTACTTTGGTCCCAGCTCTCTGCAGGTCATTCACTAGGTCCCCCCGTGTGGTTCTGGGATTTTTTGCTCACCGTTCTTGTGATCATTTTGACCCCACGGGGTGAGATCTTGCGTGGAGCCCCAGATCGAGTGAGATTATCAGTGGTCTTGTATGTCTTCCATTTCCTAATAATTGCTCCCACAGTTGATTTCTTCAAACCAAGCTGCTTACCTATTGCAGATTCAGTCTTCCCAGCCTGGTGCAGGTCTACAATTTTGTTTCTGGTGTCCTTTGACAGCTCTTTGGTCTTAGTGGAGTTTGGAGTGTGACTGTTTGAGGTTGTGGACAGGTGTCTTTTATACTGATAACAAGTTCAAACAGGTGCCATTAATACAGGTAACGAGTGGAGGGCAGAGGAGCCTCTTAAAGAAGAAGTTACAGGTCTGTGAGAGCCAGAAATCTTGCTTGTTTGTAAGTGACCAAATACTTATTTTCCACCATAATTTGCAAATAAATTCATAAAAAAATGTGATTTTCTGGATTTTTTTCTTCTCAATTTGTCTGTCATAGTTGACGTGTACCTATGATGAAAATTACAGGCCTCTCTAATCTTTTTAAGTGGGAGAACTTGCACAATTGGTGGCTGACTAAATACTTTTTTTCCCCACTGTATGTGTCCCACAGGATATCACATGAAAGTGTTCTACTAAATGTTCTATAACAAATTCAGTCAATAATGAAATAAAACAATGAATATTTTAGTTCTGTTTTACCTCCAGTGCTAGCTGCTGTACCTTCCCAGCCCCATGAACCCGTAACAAGGAGAACAGCAGCTTGAAATGGCCGATGCACTCCGTCTCCGAACCTGGGGGTCACAAAGAGTCAAGTCAGCAAACCACAAAGACCAATGAGCACACTTTCAGTTAGCTCAGGTGAGGAGAAAAGGCAACGAAGACAGTTCAAAAAACTACTAGGAGGGGCATTTCTTAACTCTCCTAAAGCAAAATGTGTGTGCTTGCTTCAGCAATCTTAAAACATACTTTTCATAGTAGTGGGATAAATGGTAGTAGTCGTTTTGACTGCAGTAGTAGTAGGGGTGACTGTAGAAATCATAGAAGTAGGTTGTTGTGTACCTGGGTTGTTCTTGATGACGTTGCGGAGGGCCTCCAGGGCCATCTCGGCCCAGCGGAGCCTCTCGGCATGCTGCTGGGACTCCACCTTGTTGCTCTGGGACATGGCCAGCAGGGTGGTGAGGTACTGGGCCTGGGAGCCCACGTAGTCCAGCAGGCTGGCTGAAAACGCCTTGGGGTACTGGACCATGGAGACCAGGGAGACATGGTTATAGGCTTATAATACAGCTTATAACACCTTGTATCTGGCGTTTCAAACTAAATCTATGGATGGATATAGCAATGGAAATACAACAAATTACTAGCGTTCTATTTAATGATATTATTGTAGCTAAATACCTAGGTATTACCAGATAATTACCTGCAGGTTTTCAGATATTACTGTGAGCTGCATGAAGCAAATGGATTACCGTGACTGAGTGCTACTTAATGACATGACTATGAACATGACAATGACTACAATGTTGTTAGTAGCAATTTGCTTGAACAGTGGTTGACAGTAACTGGGAGGAGTATGGGGCAAGGTCAAACGCTACACCGAGTGTTGGGGCTCACCTCCAGAGGATAGGCAGGCTGCTCGTTGTAGACCCTGACAAAGATCTCGCCCACGATCAGCTCTTTACCGTGGTCGCTGAACACAAACTCTGAGCCAAAGCTCTTATCGTTCTCCCCCTAGGACAGAGAGAGACATGACTATACTCACAACACAGGATGCCCAATAATACAGAGTCATGTTCATTAGGGCATGCAATAGAAAACATTCCAAAACACTGCAACGGAAAACAAGAGTTTCTAATTGGGTAGTCCCTCCACATTTCAGACCATTTTCTTTTGTATGGTGCCTAATGAACACGACCCAATTCTACCGCGATAACGGACGTCCATGCTGAAACATATGATAGAGCCAGTCCGTGTGCTCTGCTCTGCTCACCCTCCTGATGTTGGCCTCCTGCTGGTCCTCTAGGAACTCCAGCAGCTCGGCCCGGGTCCCGTTGTTCCAGATAAGGTAGGGGTTCTCGGAGTTACTGTTCAGCAGCTTCAACACCTAGTAGACATGGAAACAGAAGCATGAGTGAATGTGTGTGTGAAGTGTGGCATATCATAGTATATCGTCAAGAGTGTTTTAACTAGTGGGTCTATGAGTATGTGTGTTATTGTGTCTAATCTGCATATCTACCTTTTACAGTTTCCCATATCACTAACCTCAGCCGGTGCCACCGACCCTAACCTCTTTGAAATATAGGGGGTGAGCATGGCTGCCAGGCTCTTACGAATCGTCGGGTTCTCCGGGGGTTGCCCCTCCACCCCGTTAGTCTCCACTACACCTCCCTCTCCGGGGGGTGGGGGTGGCGGGGTGTAGCCTCCCAGACGGCTAAGGGCCACTAGGCTAAGCTTGGCCAGGCTGTTGGCCACCTCCTGCTGGTTGGTGTCCTGGCTGGTGGCCACGCCACTCTCCTCCAGCGTGTAGTCGTAGTTGAACAGGTGCACCAGGAGGTGCCAGAGCACGCCGGCATGGTACAGGTGCGTCTGCAGGAAGTAATCCACAGCGAAGGAGCTGACGCACTGCACAGCCAGCGCCGCCGTCCGCGGGAGACCCTGAGAGAGTACAAGAGAAATTGCTTTCAATTTAATGTATAGGCTCAATTTTAAAATCTCTTTATTTTTATTTTTATGTTTGCCCTTTCTGCATTGGATGATGGAGTGGTATCACAGTGTATACAGAGCCAGCGATACAAGGCTGTTGTTACATGATTAAGTAGAGATCTCACCTTCCCATAGTAGAGCACGTGACACAGGTCCCTGATGATGTTAGGGAGCTCGATTATCTTCTCCCGGCACTCCTCAAACTGAGCCGCTACACTGTAGCACTTACACACCTGGCCGCACACCTAGGCACAGGCAACACAACTCAGCCCCTTTCAACACTGAACCACTAATGTCCAGCCAGACATGTATGGGTTAGAATACAGTGCTAATAATGTGACATAGATGTTTGTGGATGTTGTGTATGCTTACATATATATGAATACACAACATCCACAAACATCTATGTCACATTATTAGCACTGTATTCTAATATATATGTATATATACACTACCGTTCAAAAGTTTGGGGTCACTTAGAAAGTTCCTTGTTTTTGAAAGAAAAGCAATTTTTTTGTCCATTAAAATAACATCAATTTGATCAGAAATACAATGTAGACATTGTTAATGTTGTAAATGGCTATTGTAGCTGGAAACTGCTGATTTTTAATGGAATATCTACATAGGCGTACAGAGGCCCATTATCAGCAACCATCAGTCCTGTGTTCCAATGGCATGTTGTGTTTGCTAATCCAAGGTGATCATTTTAAAAGACTAATTGATCATTAGAAAACCCTTTTGCAATTATGTTAGCACAGCTGAAAACTGTTGTGCTGATTAAAGAAGCAATAAAACTGGCCTTCTTGAGACTAGTTGAGTATCTGGAGGATCAGCAATTGTGTGTTCGATTACAGGCTCAAAATTGCCAGAAACAAAGAACTTTCTTCTGAAACTCGTCAGTCTATTCTTGTTCTGAGAAATTAAGGCTATCCATGCGATAAATTGCCAAGAAACTGAAGATCTCGTACAACGCTGTGTACTACTCCCTTCACAGAACAGCGCAAACTGGCTCTAACCAGAATAGAAAGAGGAGTGGGAGGCCCCAGTGCACAACTGAGCAAGAGGACATATACATTAGAGTGTCTAGTTTGACAAACGGACGCCTCACAGGTCCCTCAACTGGCAGCTTAATTAAATAGTACCCACAAAACACTAGTCTCAACGTCAACAGTGAAGAGGCGACTCCGGGATGCTGACCTTCTAGGCAGAGTTGCAAAGAAAAAGCCATATCTCAGACTGCCCATCTTAATCTTTTCTTTTTATTGGCCAGTCTGAGATATGGCTTTTTCTTTGCAAATCTGCCTAGAAGGTCAGCATCCCGGAGTCGCTTTGTTTCTGGCCATTTTGAGCCTGTAATCGAACCCACAATTGCTGATGCTCCAGATACTCAACTAGTCTCAAGAAGGCCAGTTTTATTGCTTCTTTAAATCAGCACAACAGTTTTCAGCTGTGCTAACATAATTGCTAAATGGTTTTCTAATGATCAATTAGGCTTTTAAAATGATCAACTTGGATTAGCAAACACAACGTGCCATTGGAACACAGGACTGATGGTTGCTGATAACGGGCCTCTGTACGCCTATGTAGATATTCCGTTTCCAGATACAATAGCCATTTACAACATTAACAATGTCTACACTGTATTTCTGATGAATTTGATGTTATTTTAATAGACAACAAAATTGCTTTTCTTTCGAAAACAAGGATATTTCTGAGTGACCCCAAACTTTTGAACGGTAGTGTGTGTGTGTGTATATATATATATATATATTTATTTAAGAATACACAACATCCACAAACATCTATGTCACATTATTAGCACTGTATTCTAATATATATGTATATATATATAAATAAAAGGGGATTTTACACTTTATTCAGACAGTAAGGAAATTAGAGGGGAAGACAGAAACAGTGGAAAGGGTAGACACGAGGAATGAACCCCAGTCTCCGGTGGGGGAATCGTATATGTGTCTCGGCCACGGCTCTACACTGTGGATCTGGTGGTCTTACTTGAACAGCCATGTCATCAGACTTGCTGGAAGCGGTTAAAACAGCGACACACCGGGATAGGGCGTCCAACAGAATCTGGCGGAAAGGGTGGGGGATACTTTTTTTAGATCATGTTATAAACCATGAAAGTATGAATGTAGGAATGTCGATCAGAAAAGGTGAATATTGTTGCAACAGTAGTATCTGAGTCGTATTCATTAGTGCACACTGTTTCAAAACATAGCAACACTTTTTGCAATGGAAAAGGAAAACTAGCATTTCTTATTGGACAACTCCCTGTTTCAGTCCGTTTACTTCCGTTTGGTGCCTAATGAATATGATCATGATATCCGAATAGCCAGTAGTGTTGTTAGTTATACCTCAATGCCGCTTTCTCTGCGTAATTCCTCAGCGTTTAGGGCGGAGCAGTTGACCGTGTGGAAGGCCAGCTCGATTGCAGCCGGGAGCAGGGGGGAAGTCTTGGAGAACAGCTGCTCATCACCCGTCTCCATGGTGATGGTCTTGATGAGCATGGGGTAGCCGGCGTACTTGTAGGGTTCAAGTTCTGTTGACAAGAGGACAACAACAGTTTACATTAATAATACTCTTGGAAAGTATCAAAAGTGTCAAAAAGTAAACACTACTGGAGACACCTTGCAGTTTTGGAGACAGCGTCACGTTTGCTAGCAAAGAGATTTGCGGTGGCTAATGACCCAGACGCTTAGCAAACCAGCCAATGGATTTTTTAAATATTTTTTTTATACAGCTAGTTAGCGATTGCTCCTACACTCTTTTGCTAGCTACAGCAACACTGCCACGTCAATATCATGCCTCCAAAAATGATGGTGTCTCTAATTGTGTTTACATTTAGCGATTGTGACGCACCTTCCATGTGTATTCACTTTTGATGCGTATAACATAACTACAGACAGTGGAGAAAACTGCAGAGAGTATTAGTGCCAGACCTTGTTTGTGTCTGTTGAAGAGGATGCTCTGGGCTTTGAGAATGAGGATGATGTTCTCGGGGTCGGGGCCGTCGATGATGCGGGACGACTTGGTGCACAGGAACTCATAGGCCTTGTTGACCTTCTCAAACATATCCTGAACACACAGAGACAGTTATTAACACACACCCCTCTGAACAATGAAGGTAATGCGTCAAGACAGGGATGGAAAACTCCTCAAACTCGGATGATGTCTGTGTCCCAAATGGCACCTAATTCCCTATATAGTGCACTACGTAGGAAATAGGGTGCAGAAATGGTGACGTAACGTACCCTGCCCTCTGGGTTCTTGTCCGGATGGTACTTCTGGGCCAGTCTGAAGTAGGCCTTCCTGATCTTACTCTCCTCGTGTCTGTGGAGAAACCAAAATCAAACATATTCCATATACAGAGTACCGATAGACCTCTTGTAGAGGAGAGGGAGAAGCTTCTTCTTTATGTTTGCAAGGCCACTTACTGTCCCTGTCCCTTGAGCAGGTTGAGGACTTCGTAGGCGTCGTCCACAGACATGGAGGGAGGCTTCTTCTCCACCTCCCTCTTCCAGGCCTCCAGGGTGTCTTTCAGCAGCTTCACCTGCAGGTGGCAGACAACAACACAGAGCACTATTAACAGTCTCCATCTCGCTCATACACTAACACCTTTCATACACACTTTCACTTCAAGCAACTTCAAATCAACCTTTCACAAGCCCCTTCTCTCAAGACTCACACAGTCAATACCCCCCCCCCCCCCCCACACATACAGACATTGAACATACGGGCTCTCGGATGGGCCAGTTGGGGAAGCGGTTGGCGTCACACAGGTGTCGGAGGTAGTAGATGTTGCAGAAGAGCTCGTTCTCCAGCTGGGGGAAGCTGACTACAGGGATGGGGCAGTACTGGTAGAGGGCCCGTGTGTTGCTGTACAGCCGTGGGCTGAAGTCAGCCAGGTGGGTCGCAATTTTCTCAATCATCATCCGCCTGGAGGGGGGCAGGGGGGATGACACACACATCAGACACACAAACCAACACACAAGAGGTAGATGTAGACAAACTTATAGAAAAATCTTCTTCAAAACAATTGTTAGACCTCCCCCCAGACAGACAGCTTGTGTCTACCTCATCTCGCTGCTCCAGATGGCCTCCGGCGTGTCAAACTCTCCCAGGAAGATCTCAGAGAAGCGTTCTGCCTCGTAGTTCTCCAGGTAACACACCATGGCCTCAGGCAGCACCGGCCCCAGCACACTGCGCTGGACGATATCTGTACCTTTGGCCTCCTCTGACTTGAAGGCCTGCTTCAGGTGACAGTACTTCAGGAACCTAAAGAAAAACACAAGATGTGACAGAGTCCAAACGCACAACTTAAAAGACCTATCTGAAGAGCAAAGTGTTAGTGCGCATGTGTGTGTATGACATGCGTGTGTGTACATGTGCATCTCGGACCTGGCCACAGGCAGCACGTTGGAGCCGGTGTACATCATGATGAAGAAGAAGATGCCGGTGAGGTAGAGGCGCTGCAGGTTGGGGTTATCCTGCATCACCAGGTACAGCACGTTGGCCACCTTCTCCACTAGGATGGGGTCAAAGGTCAGTAGAAGCTGATTGGAGAAGGGAACAGAAAACATGACATTTGCTCAATTTTTTAAATATATTTTTTTATCCAGCTCACTTTTAATGTTGATTCCAACAATTGAATGGATCTTATTTGACCAACGTTTTGGTCTCAAGCAACCTTCATCAGGGTATTTTTTATATAGGGAGGTGAAGAGAGGAAATATTACACATTTGACCTTTATTTAACCAGGAAGTCCCATTGAGGTAGGAAGGATAGACCTAATAATAGGCTGGTTCTGCTCACCTGGACAATGTGAGGGAGGCAGGTGTTGTCGCTGACCATTCTCTTGATCTTGGGTAAGGGACGAATAATGGCATTGTCCTGGTCCCTGGGGAAAGACAGACACATTTTCACATTTTCAACTTTGTGTCAGCAAAAGAGAGAGAGGGGGATGGTCGAGTGAGAGAGAAGAAAGAGACAGTTAAAAAAAAGAGTTATAACTGAGGATCTTCTCCCTACCTGCTGGGGTAGTAGGAGCACATGGTGATGAGCATATTGAGGATGAGCGTGGCCAGGTCCGTCTCGTTCATCACCGCCTGTCCACTGGCCAGCAGGCACCACTTGAGCTGCGGGATGGCCTGCAGGGGGCGCCAGCCATCCATGCCCTGGGCCCAGCACCGCGTCTTGGCCGTTAGCACGCCCTTGCTCCAGAACTCCTGCATCTGATGGGCGAAATGTGGATATCTTCAGTCATCAAGATAGCATACTTACGGATAGTTCACCGATGTTACAAAATGAACATTGTCTTGGATACCAAAAAAGACCTAATCAATGGCACTGGATCAAGAGAAACAGACCTATTGGGGTAGAGCAGAGTTCCCCAACTGGGGGCCCGCGGGCCAAATATGGCAATATTATTTGGCCCCCCAAAGCAATTATGAATATTTTTTTCATTAAATAAAATGATCTTGGACCTGAGATGCAAAAAGTCCCAAATGCAATGTCCCAAGAAGGAAGTGACCCTACCTAAATAATGCAAAAGTTACATTTTAACTTAATTAATGAGGAGTGAGAATGCAGGAGACAGTCAACTAATAAAGCAGGCAGCGGACCATTTGTGGTGCTGAAACGTAAAGCTGCAACCGCAGCGCAATCAACATCGCGCTATCGAGCAAGAGCATATTGGATTTTCTGCCGGAATCACTGAATCACTGGACCTTAACACCAGATCATCGCAAGTAGCTAGCTGCAACCAAATGGCTGTTGTCGTTGTTGGCTAATCACCACTGCCCTGAAGCTAACCCCAGTTAGCCTTGAGCTAGCCTCGAGCCAGGCCCATCTCCCGGCTATCTACCTCTCTGTCAACCGGACGGGACCTCCTAGTGTTGACACGGAGCCCCGCCGATCCATCACGACTGGTCTGCCGACGTAATCGTCTGATGTGGTTTCAACAGGCTTCCCGTTGCGACGACCACGAAGAACCATCTGCTAGCCCCAGCCCGCTAGCACACGCAATCAACAGCCGTCCCTCCAGCTCGCCTGTAGCGTAGCAGCCACTGAACTGCTCCCGGACTTACTTATTGCTGTTCACCGGACCTTATGATCACTCAGCTACACAGCTGATGCCTGCTGGACTGTTCCTTTATACGGTAACCCATCCTGTTGATCTGTTTAGCCTCAGCTCAAACTTTCGTCGCCATTACCAGCTGTTGTCTTAGCTCTCTCGAATAACACCTGTGACTGCTTTATGCCTATCTCCCATGTCAATATGCCTTGCCTATTGCTATTTCGGTTAGTTCTAACTATACTTTTTCAATGTAGAGCCCCCAGTCCTGCTCAACCTGTCTCAGATATATACTTTGTCCCACCCCCCACACACGCGGAGACCGGCTCAATCGGTGCCTCCAGTGATGCTATCTCTTTCATCTTTACCCAACGCTTAGGTTTACCTCCACTGTACTCATATCCTTCCATATCCTTGTCTGTACATAATGCCCTGAATCTATTCCGGAAATCGCCCCCTTTTTTTCTCTGTACCCAACGCACTAGAAGACCAGGTTTCTTGCATGTTAACATCAGAAGCCATCTCCCTAAGTTTGAGTTATTCACTGCGTTAGCACACTCAGCCAAACCTGATGTTCTAGCAGTGTCTGAATCCTGGCTTAGGAAGGCCACCAAACATTCTGAAATGTCCATTCCCAACTACAACATTTTCCGTCTAGATAGAACTGCCAAAGGGGGCGGAGTTGCAATCTACTGTAGAGATAGCCTGCATAGCTCTATCATACTATCCAGGTCTGTGCCCAAACAGTTTGAGCTTCTACTTCTAAAAATCCACCTTTCCAGAAATAAGTCTCTCACTGTTGCTGCTTGCTACAGACCCCCCTCAGCCCTGAACACCATATGTGAATTGATTGCCCCCCATCTATCCTCAGAGTAGTATTGCTTGGTGACCTAAACTGGGATATGCTTAACACCCCGGCCGTCCTACAATCTAAACTAGATGCCCTCAATCTCACACAAATTATCAAGGAACCTACCAGGTACAACCCTAAATCCGTTAACATGGGCACTCTCATAGATATCATCCTGACTAATTTACCCTCTAAATACACCTCTGCTGTCTTTAACCAGGATCACTGCCTCATTGCCTGCGTCCGTAATGGGTCCGCGGTCAAACGACCACCCCTCATCACTGTCAAACGCTCCCTAAAACACTTCAGCGAGCAGGCCTTTCTAATTGACCTGTCCCGGGCATCCTGGATGGATATTGACCTCATTCCGTCAGTAGATGCCTGGTTATTCTTTAAAAGTGCTTTCCTCTCCATCTTAAATAAGCATGGCCCATTCAAAACATTCTGAACTAAGAACAGCCCCTGGTTCACCCCAGACTTGACTGCCCTTGACCAGCACAAAAACATCCTGTGGCGTACGGCATTAGCATCGAACAGCCCCCGCGATATGCAACTTTTCAGGGAAGTCAGGAACCAATATACACAATCAGTTAGGAAAGCAAAGGCTAACTTTTTCAAACAGAAATTTGCATCCTGCAGTACTAACTCCAAAGAGTTTTGGGACACTGTAAAGTCCATGGAGAATAAGAGCACCTACTCCCAGCTGCCCACTGCACTGAGGCTAGGAAACACTGTCACTACCGATAAATCTACGATAATCAAACATTTCAACAAGCATTTTGCTACGGCTGGCCATGCTTTCCACCTGGCTACCCCTACCCCGGCCACCAGCTCTGCACCCTCCGCTGCAACTTGCCCATGCCCCCCCCCCGCTTCTCCTTCACCCAAATTCAGATAGCTGATGTTCTGAAAGAGCTGCAAAATCTGGACCACTACAAATCAGCTGGGCTAGACAATCTGGACTCTGTCAATCACCGCATTCTTATTGGCAGACTAAATAGCCTTGGTTTCTCAAATGACTGCCTCGCCTGGTTCACCAACTACTTCTCAGATAGAGTTCAATGTGTCAAATCGGAGGGCCTGTTGTCTGGACCTCTGGCAGTCTCTATGGAGGTGCCACAGGGTTCAATTCTCGGGCCGACTCTATTCTCTGTGTATATCAATGATGTCGCTCTTGCTGCTGGTGACTCTCAGATCCACCTCTACGCAGACGACACCATTTTGTATACATCTGGCCCTTCATTGGACACTGTGTTAACAAACCTCCGCTTCAATGGCCTCCAACTGCTCTTAAACGGTAGTAAAACTAAATGCATGCTCTTCAATCGAACGCTGCCTGCCCGACTAGAATCACTACTCTCGCCGGCTCTGACTTAGAATATGTGGACAACTACAAATACCTAGGTGTCTGGTTAGACTGTAAACTCTCCTTCCAGACTCACATTAAGCATCTCCAATCCAAAGTTAAATCTAGAATCGGCTTCCTATTTCGCAACAAAGCCTCCTTCACTCATGCTGCTAAACATGCCCTCGTAAAACTGACTATCCTACCGATCCTTGACTTCGGCGATGTCATTTACAAAATAGCTTCCAACACTCTACTCAGCAAATTGGATGTAGTCTATCACAGTGCCATCCGTTTTGTCACCAAAGCCCCATATACTACCCACCATTGTGACCTGTACGCTCTCGTTGGCTGGCCCTCACTACATATTTGTCGCCAAACCCACTGGCTCCAGGTCATCTATAAATCCCTTCTAGGCAAATCCCCGCCTTATCATAGCTCATTGGTCACCATAGCAACACCCACCCGTAGTATGCGTTCCAGCAGGTATTTCTCACTGGTCATCCCCAAAGCCAACACCTCCTTTGGTCGCCATTCCTTCCAGTTCTCTGCTGCAAATGACTGGAACGAACTGCAAAAATCTCTGAAGCTGGAGACACTTATCTCCATCACTCTTTAAGCATCAGTTGTCAGAGCAGCTTACCAATCACTGCACCTGTACACAGCCCATCTGTAATTAGCCCACCCAACTACCTCATCCCCATATTGTAATTTACATTGTTATTTATTTTGCTCATTTGCACCCCAGTATCTCTATCTGCACATCATCTTCTGCATATATCATTCCAGTGTTAATACTAAATTATAATTGTAATAATTTTAACACTATGGCCTATTTATTGCCTTACCTCCATAACTTACTACATTTGCACACACTGTATATAGATGTTCTATTGTGTTATTGGCTGTACGTTTTGTTTATTCCGCACTGCTTTGCTTTATCTTGGCCAGGTCGCAGTTGTAAAATAAAAAAGGCCTAATAGAAGTGGGATTTATTTATTTATTTATTTATTAGGCCTACTTACAATTGCAACTGGCCAAAAAGGTTGCATCCTACATAAAACAATCATTTAAAGAAAAAAAGGCGATGTCTGTGTCTGAATGTCTGTATCGGGAGTCTCGGGATAACCTGCTACTGTAATGACAAAACAAAACAGAAAATACTGTCAGCATGAGACCTAAAATATCCCTGGATAACCACTAATAATAATCACAATAATGTCAGTAGCCTATGACTATTTATTAAATACTAAGTTACTTACTTAACGGGAAAGTTGCACAGTCCGCCCAGCTCAGTTTGAATTGCGGCCAGTTCCAGCGAGGGTATCGTTTTCTTAGCAAGAGAGGAGAATTCTCCACCTGGGCGGACTGTGAATGGATCACGTACAAACGCAATGATATCCTTGGTCACGCTGTAGTCTTCAAATCTGGTGGAGAAGTTGTCCCTCAGCTGCTAGATGAAATCTTCCATCTCTGACAATGCTGCGGCCTGGTCCCTCTGCCTGTCGTTTCTTCAGTGTGCTGAAGTGCAGTAGCCTTCCGGATGACAAGTCCAAATAGAACAACTCAAGCTTCTTAGTAAAGGCCTCAAGTTGTTCCACCATGTCCACGACTGCTGTCCCTCCTCCTTGTAACCGCAGATTTAACCCGTTTAAGTGACAGAATATGTCAGCCAAAAAAGCAACAGAGAGGAATTCCTCAATTTCCAGAATACGAAGGCGGTCAACTGCTGCCCTCATTTGGCTTTTTCTGAGAAAATCCACAACCTGGTCATGTAGTTCACAGAATCGTTCTAGAGTTTTTCCTTTACTCAGCCAGCGCACGTCGTTGTGAAAGGAGATCATCGTGGGTGGCCGCCTCTGATTCTGTCACAAGCTTGCGGAAAATACGTTCTTGGGTGCGTGAGGTCTCCCTGACAAAGTTGATTATGCGCATTACTTTATCCATCACATCTTTTAGCTCACTGTTTAGTCTGGCACACAGGCCACTCTTGATGGATGAGACAATGCAAGCCATTCATTTGTGGGGCAATTTCCTTCAACCTGCTGACCAGGCCCCTGTGTCTACTCACCATAGCAGGAGCCCTGTCGGTGACCACAAAGTTGACTTTTTCGAATGACAGGCCATGTTGCGTAAACAATTCTTCCAGCTTTGTGAATAGGATGTCCCCAGTGGTGTGTCCTTCGAGGGGAATCAGTGGCAGTAGCTCTTCTTTAAAGTCATTTCCATGAAAATAACGGACATATACACACACAATTGTGCTACATTGGTGTTGTCAGTACTCTCATCACTAGCCAGGGAAAAATGCTCAGCCTGACTGAGCCCCTCCAGAACAATCCTATGCACATCATCCACCAGTGCATGGTGGTCCTCAGTAGCTCAGCTGGTAGAGCACGGCACTTGTAACGCCAAGGTAGTGGGTTCGATCCCCGGGACCACCCATTCACAAAAAAATGTATGCACGCATGACTAAGTCGCTTTGGATAAAAGCGTCTGCTAAATGGCATATTATTATTATTATAGTGCATGGACGCTGCGGCCGGCTGTTGACGCAGACATGGGCACCTGTTTGACAGACGCAATTATGCTATCCATAGACTTGTCGGTAACCAATTCCTCCAAAACTGTCAACATGCACTTTTTAAATACCTCTGCATCTGTGAAGGGCATGTTGTGTTTGGTTAGAACCCAGGACGCTTTTAGGGAGGCACTTGTGACCTTCTGTTGTTGGGTCAGGCCACGAAGGAGGATTCTTCTGCTGTGTGTGTAGCTTACAGTTAGTGCTTAAATGTTTCTGCGTCGGGCCTCTGTCTGGAGCGGGAAGGCCACTTTGAAAGTACCATGCTTAGATTCATAAAGCCGTCTGAGATTGAATTCTTTGCAAAACAGCGACATTTTCATTGCAAATAAGACACAGTGGCTTGGCTTTGGAGAAAGGTGGTAAGATGAAGGCATATCTCTGTCCATCCATGAAACTTCAATTTTTATTATCCACCTTTCTTTTGATACTTTTTGAGAGCAACATTTTCTCTTGCTATCAAGCTAATTGTTCTGAACAAATGTTGACATAAAAGTAGTGTAGACTACAGTAGGCTACGTAGACCTGTTTTTCCCCACCAATCAACGCACAGAGGAAAAACATACCTTTTTTATTTTTTATTTATGGAGACATTGGTGATTTTATGAGCTTAAATCAGATCGAAATTATTATGTTATTGTCACTGAATTTATTATGTACTACGCAGATGTGTTAAATATTTTGTTCAATTTGTAGTGTAGGCCTATTAATTGTGCTAATATGATATGCTAATTATGTTCTGGCCCTCCGACTATTAGCTCAGAGAAAATGTGGCCCAAGGCCAAACCTAGTTGATGAACCCTGGGGTAGAGCTTAGCATCAGTCTTGGTTTTGCATTCAGTAGAAACGTACCTCTTCAAAGCTGAAGGGGCCCCTCCTCTCTTTGTCTGCGTTCCCAAAGTACCACTCCTTCTCGCTCTCCCTCTTCATGTCCGCCCCAGCCTCGATCACGTTGCTCTGACAGACAAAGACGTACGTTATTAACATGAAACCAGACAGACTGGCCTGTAATGGAAGCATATAGCTGTCGAAATTCTATTGGACTTCCGACAGCTATACGCTTCCATGGTCTGTAACTGTATCAAAACATACGTTAGATACATGATGAGAAGAATATGCTACAATTTGGGTGGTTCAGACAGGGCAGTTGTAAAGACCTACCTGTAGTGGGACGGTGGCTCGGCTGGTGTGTAGGTGGGCCAGGGTGAGCAGGTCCACTAGGATACGGACTCCATTGGAGTCCATCACCTCCTTTACATTTTTCTTGTTGAGGATGAGTTTGTTAAGGAATAGGATCAGTCTGTCTCTTTCCAGTTTGTCTGTAGACTGTAAATACAGAGGGGGAGAGAGAGAGACTGTTACCATTACAAAACTGTCCCAACGGATCTCTGACAGTTTGTGTGTGCCACAGCACTGACCCGGTCCAGCATGCCCATGATGTACTTGGTGTCGGTGAAGGGGCCGATCTCCTCGCAGCACTTCCCATAGACGACAGTGAGAGCCTGCAGGCACAGGCACTTCATGGAGACTTTGGGGGTGAGCAAGAAACGGTGGTAGAGCTCATTGAAGAACTCGTACCTGAGCGAGAGCGAGAGGGAGGGAAATTGCTAAAGAAACTCTGGGGAAATGTAACAATTTGAACATTTTACTTTATCCTTTCGATTGGATTTAAGAGCAATATTCTCATTAGATGGGTTAGACATAGCTGATTGTGCTGTAGGTAGCGGATGTCTTACGATCTCTTGATGGCCCCCGACTCGTCCGTCTCATCCTCTTCCAGCAGCAGACGCAGGTAATAATCACCAATCTTAATCTCATCCGAAAGACACTCGTACTTCACCTGCAACACATACGCAAACACCCACCACAAGTCAGCTACCAATCCACACGATCAATCAATGATCATAATATAATATGGTCATAATTTGGTTTGACCCCTGACCTCAAACTCCTGGTGGTTCCAGGAGATGACGCTAGCGTTGCCCAGCTCGCGGTCCACGCCGAAGGCCCTCATCTCTCCCTCCAGAGCATCCCGCAGCTCCTCCCGCGTCTTCAGATTCCAGATGAGGTTGGACCGCGCGTGGTCCAACTGGAACCTAGGACACCGGAGAACCAGAGATGGAGATGGGACTACTTATCCAAAATCAAAATATTCACTTTTAATGCATGAATTGATTGATTGAATTTATTTTATCCTCTAAAGTAGAAGGCTGCTCCAACCTGAGAAACATTAAACATTTTTATATAGAGGATAAAACACAAAAGTCTATATTAGTAAGAGAGACAGTAAGGTGGCCATTTTGTGAGTAAGTGACCAAATGTACCTGTAGTAGAAGAGCTCCCAATTGGCTTCGATCTTGATCCTCTGTCTCCTCTTCCTCAGAACGACAGGTTTTTGGTTGGGATTCTGTAGTACAGCCAAGAACAATGGCAGTCACTACTACACTAGACCTTTCCAATGGTCAACTCTGCGTTGTTGGACAACTGCTCTACATGAGTGGATGATACGATGTGATTGGATGACTGCAGCTACGATGATTATGACACCACTAACACCAGCGTTCACAATAGCATGAATTGACTGGCACTCAGGCTATCAGGCCAATTTCCTGTCAATCATTGTCATGCCAAATTCTCATCTTTGGCTTGATAATGACAGCAATGGAGTTGGCAAGGGGAACATATAGATCTTGATCTAGACAACGTTCAAGGTACAACAGAGTCAGGTATGGCATGTAGGTATGGGTTGGCATGTATTGAATGGCATGTATTTTATCTATCACAATGTTACAATATGTTTTTTTAACAAATACCTTTTTTACTGTATTAATGAATTCAAACGTTTAATGTCACTGACCACCAGGTGAAAAATACTGTCATGATAACAAACACCAACAAAAACACACAACCTTTGACATAAACCGTGACAAAAATCAAAATACAGAGATGGGATCCCACAACATGTGTTACATGAGCTCTAAAACTGACAGGTAAGAGTGGGAGGGGTCAAAAAGGAGGAAGAGGGGTTCCCATTGGTCAGTTCTACTTACCAGGTTATTTCTGTCCTGCTGCATTTGATTGACAGCAAAGAACAACAACAGACAAGAGGGGGAGGATGGGGCAAGAGACAACACAGAGAGATTATTGGTCCTCAGTCGGATCAAACAGAGATGCTTCTCAATGAAGTTAGAAGGTCAAAGGCAATCTGCATCATACAATCAAAATCTATATCGACAAAAACAGTAAGACAGCCTCCAGTCGCGATGACATAGGGGTTCATTATTTTACTGTATCATCAAATTAATAATAATGGAAAGGAAATCACAACGGTTGTGGTAGCGATTGTAGAGTGTGTGAGGTGATTGGTTCGCAGATAAAGGAAAGAAAGTTCAATTAAATGATTGATTTGAGCTGGAATCACCTTCACCCACAGTCAGCCCTCTAACAATAGTCTCGTTCAGAATCCGCACTAACAAGTTCCTGTTTATTTTGGTACTTAGACAAACCTTGTGTGGTGAGACAAAAACCCAGGAAAAACCCAGTGATGGTCATATAAAGTATAGGTGAACTTCGGTTTGTGGCAGCGTTGTGGCACAGTTGATTTAAAAGGAGATTTGATTAAAGATTTGTGCCAAATGAGAGGCGCAGCTGTGGCCCGTATAGCAAAGGAGAAGAGGGCAGAGAGAGTGTTTTCTGTTAATAACTGGCCCGTTCAGATGGTCGGCTCTACTCAAGGACACACATTAGTCCTTTAAACAAGACATCTCTCATTTACCGTCTTGGCGACATTAACTGTTACTGTAAATGCTTGCATTTCATTCTGTCACCATAATGCACAGAATTTTACTCAGTGGCATCATTCATACCCTATGTTGCTCTAAGTAGAAGTCATAACTGCACCAAGAGTTTTAACATCAATCCCAGCAACACTACACTTCCAAGATCTCTGTGGATCCCTCTGACGCATTCAAACGAGGGCAGACGCAACACAAAGCAAGCGGCGCATATCTGTTCAGCAGCGTCAAAAACAGCAAAGCAGAGGATTTGTTAGAATGCGGTTCAGAACCCACTGGTTCCCAGAGTGTCTCCCCCATGGCAAAGCTGCAGGGTGATAGCGATGCTAGCCATGCTAACTGGTACTACAGTACCTGGACCAGTCCAGCAGATGGCTATGGAAGCAGTAGAGCTTGCAATACAACTCAGCACCAGCAGGAGGAGCAAGAGCCAGAGGAGCCGGAATGAGGGCGTCACCATTAGTGCTACTGGGCCAGAATGAAGCCCCTGAATGGGGGGAGAAAAGTGAGCAGTGAGTCCCTCCTCACCTCCTTCTGGGCGATACCCATCTTGTCCCTCCAGTGCATCAGCACGATGTCAGCCTTCTCCTTGGCAAACTTCTCCACCTCTTTGGCTGCCTTGCCCGCCACCCGCTGCCAGTCGGGCACCTTTTGCTGACCAAACTGGTCCTGTAAGGACCAGACAGGAAAAGGCCAGTCAGTAAAAAAATATATACAGTACTAATAACATCCAAGCATACATGCATTTCTAAAGGTACCACAACGGTGTATGGAGTGCGTAAAGGGGAATGTCATTATTGTCTCTACTGCAGATTACCGTGGCGATTTTGACATTGTCCCGGATGTGCATCCTGTCCACATCTTTCTCCGGGACAGGATCAGGGCTGTCCAGGTACGCCAGCAGCCCCGTCGGCTGCGGGGAGAGAGAGATGGAGAGAAAGAAAGAGAGAGATGGAGAGACTGTACACTATCAAATTCCCTGCCTCTAATCGTATGGATGGTACACAAGTGAATTGCCTGAACACTAGGGTCGGGACGATACCAGTATTGCGATACTCCTTACCATCGTGGCAAGGAAACAAAACACGAAGCAGATTTATGTTGGAAACAAACATCATTATGTTGCAATCCAGTCACATGTATTTATTTTCTAAGCTATAGCACACAATATTTTACATACAGCAGGTTTTTAAAGGACCAAAGAGGGCGTCGTGTTTTCATTTTCGCCATGAAAAAAATATTGCAATACTGGTATCGTCACAGCCCTACTGAACACCTGTCGGGAGCCTAACCAGTATTCTCTTGAGGAGGCTCATGGCGATGGGGTTCTCTGCTGTCCACAAGCCCACCAGGTGACGACTCAGCTGCCTGTAGGAGGAACAGTTTCAAAACCATGAGTGAATTTGTCAGAATCCTAACTTGAGATAAGGATGTGTAATTGATTGAGTAAATCATGCATGGACGTTATGGGAGATGTACGTAAAAATCTGACGTAAACCGATTTGGACCCTTAGTCCTTTACCTGTTGGTGAGCATCCTCTGGTCTGAGCTGATGGTGAACATGGAGGTGTGCAAGTGTCTGGGCAGGGCCCCCTCACTCAGTGCCAGCTCCTGCATCTTAGTGGCTATCTCCTTATCCCCCTCCTAATAAAGAAAACAATCATAATTTGTTGATCATCGCCAATATAATCATAATAATTATCCTTTGTCATATCAAGTCCTGCTCCCCCCAACCTCACCTCAATGATGGCCTTCATCACCAGGCCTGCTCCCTTCACAATGGCCATAGAGGGGTGCTGGAAAACAACAACAACTCACTGAGACAACGTTAAATGAATCCCGTCAAAACAGATCGTCACACATACCTTATACGGTTTCCTTTTCTCTTATTCTTAGCCTGGAACCCAAACTGAAACGGAGCATATCAGTTATGGATTCCAGACCTTTCTCTCGCCCCTCCTAGCTACCTGGAAGAGTTTGAAGAGGGTGCGCCCATTGGAGGCCACCATCTCCAGCAGCATGTCAAACTGCTGGCCCTCGCTGGTCTCGCTGTAGGGGGCGCACAGGGCAAAGGTCAGGAAGTCCAGCAGCGAGCTGATCACCAGTGCCCCTGTGCCGTGGTCCTGGAGGGAAAGGGGGAGTATATAGAAGGGGAAGAAAAAAAAGAGTGTGAAGGAGACTGTTAATAAAGAAGCAAGATGGCTTCCTTTGGTTTCGCTCCCAGGTTTCAGCACCAATATCAAAAAAGGTTAGTAGAGGCTGAGGCTGAAACACGTACCACGTTGCTGACAAACTTCTCTAGAAGGTTCTCCAGGAACTTCTTGGAGGACATCAGGGAGGCCTTGTTCAGTTGCTCCTGTCGCAGGTCATAGTCATCGTGCATCGGCTGGAAGGATGCAAATAAAATTGCAATTAAATGTTGTAAATGTAAATTGTGCATTTACAACGGCAGTCACATTCTCGGTAGTGTCATGTCGCCACACCAGAATTGTGTGTAAGATCGTCTGTGTGAGTGAACTTTCAGCTCAGGGGAATCCAAATGGCACTTACACACATAAGAGCACAGAGCATGTCTATAGCGGCGTGTGTCACTCCGTTGTTGTTCCTCTTCAGAGCTTTCACCGTCTTCACCCCCAACTTCTCCCGGAACCTGCAATACACACACACACACAACACAACACAACACAACACAACACAGCACACCACACACACACTGATTAAACTAGACAAAGACTCATTAATTCATTTCATTGACATGATATGGAGACAAGGGGGACACTCATTGACACTGGAATTTCAAAAAGGCAGACAAACAGCCTCATTTTTATGGCATCTCTGGTCTACAAATATCATTTTAAAAGGGTCTGGGGGTTCATTCTCAACTATACAGGAACAAAGAATGGAAATCCTCTCATACATCTCAGTGACCCCAGAGGAGAGAGAGACAGTGTCCTGGATACATGAGAGATACAGATCAGGAGAGAGACAGAGAGCGAGAGAGACAGAGAGCGAGAGAGACAGAAAGAGATGGGCACACACACGAAGAAAGAGGTGGAGAAGAGAGATGGATGACGTCACCTCTCTTTTGATCTCCCTGTGTGTGACACATGAAAGGAGAGTAGTAGACGGATGAAAGGAGAGTAGTAGACGGATGAAAGGAGAGTCGTAGACGGATGAAAGGAGAGTCGTAGACGGATGAAAGGAGAGTCGTAGACGGATGAAAGGAGAGTCGTAGACGGATGAAAGGAGAGTCGTAGACGGATGAAAGGAGAGTCGTAGACGGATGAAAGGAGAGTAGTAGACGGATGAAAGGAGAGTAGTAGACGGATGAAAGGAGAGTAGTAGACGGATGAAAGGAGAGTAGTAGACGGATGAAAGGAGAGTAGTAGACGGATGAAAGGAGAGTAGTAGACGGATGAAAGGAGAGTAGTAGACGGATGAAAGGAGAGTAGTAGACAGATGAAAGGAGAGTAGTAGACGGCTGAAAGGAGAGTAGTAGACGGATGAAAGGAGAGTAGTAGACAGATGAAAGGAGAGTAGTAGACAGATGAAAGGAGAGTAGTAGACAGATGAAAGGAGAGTAGTAGACGGAGAGAGAAGACAGGGAAGACAGACAGAGGGCAGACTGAGATGTATGGATTAATATTTACGTTCCATCTGTGAATCCAGACCCTTGACCAGACCTTGGAATGACAGAGTACGTCTGTTACCTACACACTTCCCACAACACCGCTACACAATACTGCATAGCAACAACTACCAGTAGGAGAGGGGGATGGAGAGGGGAGCAGAAGGACTGGGAGAATGTAGCAGAGGAGGGAGAAGTGAAAAGCACAATTAGACAGTCAGAGCTTTGAAGAAGGGAGAAAGGGGTAGTGAAAGGAGAGACGGAAAGTCAGGAAGAAGGGGCAGTAGTGTGTGTGTGTGTGTGTGTGTGTCGGAAGCCTTACTTGGGAAGCTGTGTGAACGCCTGGAAGCCGGCCTTTGAGGCCACCAGGCGTCGGAGGGCCTGGAAGTGGCTCTCCAGCTCAGCGTTGGGGCCCGGCAGCTCACACTCCTGGGACAGCAGGGCCAAGACGGCATTGCTTATCAGCTTCTCCTTGTTCTCCGAAAACAGACCCTGAGAGACCGGAAGAGGAGAGGAATGTTAAAAATAGGCCTAGTACACTACCAAACACACACTGTGGCTTGGTAGGTTTCAACACACTGTGGCTTGGTAGGTTTCAACAAACTGTGGCTTGGTAGGTTTCAACACACTGTGGCTTGGTAGGTTTCAACACACTGTGGCTTGGTAGGTTTCAACACACTGTGGCTTGGTAGGTTTCAACACACTGTGGCTTGGTAGGTTTCAACACACTGTGGCTTGGTAGGTTTCAACACACTGTGGCTTGGTAGGTTTCAACACACTGTGGCTTGGTAGGTTTCAACACACTGTGGCTTGGTAGGTTTCAACACACTGTGGCTTGGTAGGTTTCAACACACTGTGGCTTGGTAGGTTTCAACACACTGTGGCTTGGTAGGTTTAAACACACTGTCGCTTGGTAGGTTTCAACACACTGTGGCTTGGTAGGTTTCAACACACTGTCGCTTGGTAGGTTTCAACACACTTACGTCTTGGGTGACGGCGTGCAGCACACCGCTGTAGGATACGTTAGCGTTGAATCTGAACACTGCGTCTGCAAAGTTTCCATCTGAGGGACAGGGACACATGTTCAAACCCTCAGTCCTTTAAAGATATAATATTAAACTGGCCATTTCAGGTCACTGATAAAACCTGGGTCAAACGAAAAACATTTTGCAACTGAAAATGGCTTATTGGACAAGTTCAAATAGTTTGGTGCTTAATGAATACACCCGTGAAAGGTGTTACTCACTAGGGGGCACTGCCAGAAATTTGAGGTGCAGGCTCTCCACTTCCTCATCCACAGGCATGCTCAGTAGGCCCCAGCGCTGGCCCCGCTGGGTGGGGGCCATCTTCACACACACATCCCTGTTACCCGACGCACGAACCCCGTCCAGCAGACTGGCCATCAGGGAGTCCCTAAACACACACAGCAGATTCAGTCAATAAGATGGAGAGGGAAACAGATATGACCCACAAATACACACACTTATAAACAATAGAGAAAGACAGATGTGGGATGGGTTAAATATAACACACATGAACACATGAAGAACAGCAGAGCAGAGTGAGACCGACAGATTTGGTATAAAAAGAAAAACCTGTGGAAGGAAACTGTAGAGGGCAAATATGGCACTCATGATACCGTATGTGTACAATAGGAGCTGTGTGTTTCACTGTACCGGTCTGTGGAGCAGTACTTCCTGATCTGGCCTCTGATGAACTCTATGGTGAACACCTGGGGGTTCTCCGCATCGCAGATGAGAGCAAACACCTGCAGATACACACACAGACACACACAGCGTTTACCCCAAATTACACTAAAACAACAGTGCTTCAGTCCAATTTATTTGAAAAAGACAAACATGGCATTTAACAGAGCCTGAGGCAGAGGCCGGGCCATAGAAATAGAATGGATAAAACAGACAGAAATCCACATTATAACACATCATGGAAAATTCTTCTTCTACCAATTCTATGAGTCAGCCCCAGTATTTATGTAGGAGTTGTAGCAGCCACCCACCTCTCCAAAGGGCTTGATGGTGACTATGTTGTAGGAGGCTGGATCTCTCTCCACCAGACATGTCTCTGTCAGGCACAGGATCCTCTTAACGGGCTCCTGTCAGAGACAAACATCACAGAAGAAGTTAGTCTCAAGTCTATAAGGGCCAGTTGACTACAAATAACATTTTCATCTCGATGTCATAATAAAGAAAAATTGCATCCTCATAAAAGGTCAACACAGGTCAAATAAACAGGTCATATATAAAAGTAATGGACGGAGTGATCGGGATAGGAGTGATTCTGACCGAGTGGCGTGGGGAGATCTTCTGCACCACAAACTCAGCCAGGGAGGTGATGGACTCGTCCGAGCCGTACTTCCCCAGTCGATCCGTCACAAAGTCCTCGAAGGTCAGCGGGTCCTTACGCAGCCGCAGTGTGATGCCGATGAAGTTGCCCGCATGCTCGATGGCGCTTTTGATGATCTCGTCCCGGTGCTCTGACGCAAACAGGTGCTGAAGATGGGATGGAAAGTTGGAGAGAGAGGGATCGGGGGGAAAGAGATAGGTAAGAGAGGGAGGGATGGGACGGTAGAGAGAGGGGGATGGGAAGTATGGGCAGAGAGAGGCAATAGGAAGGTGAATAAAGGGATGGGATTGGGTTGGGGTGCAATAAGAATGGTGAGTCAAGTCCTGGACAGTAGGATTTCTCAAGGGCATAAACACATTTGCACACAGACAAACAAACCTTTAGAGCAGGGTGTCATGTAAAAACCTTCCCAATCATTCTGATCGTGTTCTGATTGTGACGTCATGCTGTAACATTTCTCCCAGCGTGAAAATGTTCCCAGTTGAATAATTGCACAAGCATCTCTTTACGCGGATGTTTCTCACACCCTCCCTCGACCTCGGAAAACTGTTCTGTGGGCACGCGCATTTGCTTCACACATCTGCCAATCAATGGTGGCCAGGAGTATTGACTCTGACCAATCTGAAGCTTGTCGACTCGTGCTGAGGGTTGATGTGCTGAGGGTTGATGTGAGGAGAGATTTTTTGCGATTGCAAAGACTTGGGCGCTACGTTTTCAATTGACAGTACATATATATTTGTTAGTTAGTTAGCTATACAAACAAGTTCAAACTGCACACCTCTGAGAACAAGCCATCTCGACCAGTTTACAGCTAATTAGGCTTGCTAAATCAAGGGCGAGGGGGTGTAAGAGAAACATCTGCACAAGCTCAGCCATCCACACAGACGCGCGTGCAATTATTGACTAGGGACATTTTCACGCTGTGAAAATTTTTACAACATGACCTCGACAATCACAACACAATCAGAACAATTGGGAACTATTTCACACTGGGAAGAGTTTTACATGACACAGGGCTCTCCCACCCTGTTCCTGGACAGCTACTGTCCTGTAGGTTTTCGTTCCAACCCGTTGTAACTTACCGGATTCAGCTTATCAACCAGCTAATTATTAGAATCAGGTGTGCTAGATTAGGGCTGGAGTGAAAAACTACAGGACAGTAGCACTCCAGGAACAGGGTTGGAGAGCCCTGGTTTAGAGAGAGAGACACACACACACTACCCTCCCCCCTAGGTACGTACCAGGCGGCTGAAGCCCCCATAGAGGATGCAGAAGCCCCCCTGGTAGTCGTTGACCTCTGCAAAGCCCTCCACGGAACGGTAGTCGTAAGAGCACACCACCCGGTTGGTCTGGGGGTCGATCTGGTCGATGCCCCCCGGGGTCACCTCCAGGCTCACCGACTTCCGCGTGTCGCTCCAGTGGTGCTTGTAACAGTTGTAGCGCTGACAGGAGGGACACAAATGTTAACAAAGTGGACAAATGTCATAGCATCACTGCATGATATAGCTCTGAGCATCATCACGCCTAGCTCTGGTCCGGGGCATTACGTGCGCAACGTCGGCAAGCAGCACGTACAGTAATGCCCTGGACCAGAGCTAGGTAATGATAATGCTTAGAAACCCCCTTAGAGACCCATAGGGCTCTGGTCAAAAGTAGTGCACTATATAGGGAGGCATTTGGGGTGCAACCATTGTGCTCCTCTTCGATGAGATCACCAAGAATTTGTATTGATCTGTGCTGTAGATGAAAGTCACCCTTACGGGAGCAGGCGAGCTGCTGTTCTATTCCAACCTCTCTCCCCCAAGGAAATGGGATTGTGCTGATGGAGGAGAAAACAAACATGGACAGAGGCTCTGTCCCTAATGGCACCCTATTCCGTATATAGTGCACTAACTTTGACCAAAAGAAGTGCACTACATAGAGAATAGGGTGCCATTTTGGAACACTCAATAAAACCCTCAGGGTTCCTGATCGCGTCTCCTAGACTAGCTCAGCGCAGGAGAGGGAAAGAGAGAGAGAACACAGATCCTATTATTATCAACTCAGGAAGAAGAACTAGAGGCTGCTCCACTATGCCCTTCCTCCTCCCCCTCTCTGCTCTACTCAACATGGCCCTGGGATGTGTGCAGTGTTTGTTTACTCATTTGTTTTGCTCCCCCTCCTCCACCTTATATTCATTCATATCGGCATTCATATCATTCCATTCTCCTCTGTAGTGAGGTCATGCATTCTGTTCTCCTTTCACTCTTTCGTTCAGGTCTTCATTCCCTCGCTCCTTTCTCCATTACCTCACTCAATACTCACCCTGCCAGTTATCTTTCCCTCTGAGAAGTCTGTCCTGAATCTCTGCAGAGAGAAGGGGAGATCAGATTAAACATGTATCCATTGTAATCTGGGCCCGTATTCATAAAACTTCTCAGAGAGTGTTGATCTAAGACCTGTTTTGCCTTACAGATCATAATGAAGATTACGTGGACAGGGGGGACCTGATCCTAGATCAGCACTTTAACTCTGCAACACTTTATGAATACGGGCTGTGATGCATTGCCATCCATTTAAAAAAACCTCCTAATGCACTGTTTCTTTTTAGTTAGATGATTGATATCATCCTTTGAATAAGTTTAATTAGGCTGTTGAACACAAACGTGTGGAGTTTGATTGAAAAGATTGGCCTTCTTGATGTGTGGGTGCAGGACGCGAGCCCTGATATGTTGTTTCTCACAGAGACTTGGCTGAATGATTCGGTGTCGGATAAGGACATTGATATTTGTGGTTACAATATTTTCAGTTGTGATAGATTGCAAAAAGGGTGAGGAGTGGCTATTTATGGAAAAACACAGGTGTCCTTCCTAACTCATTTGCAGGAAAGTAAGGAAACCCCTCAGCGATTTCCCCATGAGGCCAATGGTGACTTTAAAACAGTTACAGCGTTTAATGGCTGTGATAGGAGAAAACTGTAGTTACTCCACAATACTACCCTTATTGACAGAGTGAAAAGAAGGAAGCCTGTACAGAATAAAAATATTCTAAAACATCCCGTTTGCAACAAGGCACTGAAGTAATATTGCAGAAAATGTGGTAAAATAATTAAGTTTTTGCCCTGAATACAAAGTCTTATGTTTGGGGCAAATCCAATACATTACTGAGTAGTACCACTCATTTTTAAGCATAGTGGTGGCTGCATCATGTTTTGGGTGACTTGTAATCGTTAAGGACTGGGAAGTTTTTCAGGATAAAAATTAAACGGAATGGAGCTAAGCACAGGCAAAATCCTAGAGGAAAACCTGGTTCAGTCTGCTTTCCACCAGACACTGGGAGATTAATTCATCTTTCAGCAGGACATTAACCTAAAACACAAGGCCAAATCTACACTGGAGTTGCTTACAAAGACAACAGTGAACGTACCTGAGTGGCCGAGTTACAGTTTTGACTTAAAATCGGCTTAAAGATCTATGGCAAGATGTGAAAATGGTTGTCTTGCAATTATCAATTTGTTCTTAACTGACTTGCCTAGTTAAATAAAAATAAAAAAAAAATAAAAAAAAAAATAAAAGGTTGAGAAGAATATGCTGGTCTAATTTGCATTTACATTTACGTCATTTAGCAGACGCTCTTATCCAGAGCGACTTACAAATAGGTGCATTCACCTTATAGCCAGTGGGATAACCACTTTACAATGTTTTTTTTTTTTTTTTTTTTTTGGGGGGGGGGGGTAGAAGGATTACTTTATCCTATCCCAGGTATTCCTTAAAGAGGTGGGGTTTCAAATGTCTCCGGAAGGTGGTGAGTGAGGGAGCTTGTTCCACCATTGGGGTGCCAGAGCAGCGAACAGTTTGACTGGGCTGAGCGGGAACTATGCTTCCGCAGAGGTAGGGGAGCCAGCAGGCCAGAGGTGGATGAACGCAGTGCCCTCGTTTGGGTGTAGGGACTGATCAGAGCCTGAAGGTACGGAGGTGCCGTTCCCATTTACTCACTAGAAAGAGGAACTTTGGAGTCTTATGGGAAATATCAGACTCATTAGAGAGAGAATCTCTTACACCTCCTCAGAATACCAATTTCATGTCATCAACACATTTTGTTTTCTGCGTGGTGTGTCAAGGGACCTGTAACTTGCAAGCGCTATAATTTTTTGCTACATTTTTAGACAATGAGCGTTTTTGCAGCAAAAATGTTTCACCTCCACTGCAATTTAGATGTGTGTGTGTGTGCGCACTTTTGACAACTTAATTGCTTTTTGTTTATCGCCGTAAAATGTTTTGACGCTATTAATCCTGTCTCCATTTCTTCACCGCACTGAACATTTTAACCCCCTAGAGTCTAAGGGGGATTCTTTAGGCCAAGATATGGAATTGTTTTAAGATCGTCATACCAAGGATTATTTAGCAATTAGATTTTTAATTTTAGAACCCATTTAGGTATAAAAAAATATATATATACTTTTTTGGGGGATAAATTTGGCAATACTGCTATTAGCCCATAGAAACGCAATGAATAACAGACTCATACATTGAAAAACAGATAGTCCAAAAATGTATCAAAAGGAAGTGTCTGTCCTATAGCTGAGAGATAAGAAAGATCAGATAATTATTTATAAAACTACTTCCATATATATTTCCATATTTAATTTTTTTAACTGGTACCGGGCTACCTTCAGACTATTCTTGTGATGCTTGTGGGCATCCCAGAGCAAAACAACGGACGTGTTAGTGAGTTTCACCTTTTCACAGAGGGGTCATGTTAGTGTGTAGGCCAAACTTTCGGACTCTACAGACAGAGGTAGGCAGATCGGCAGCACCGACTTCAGATGAGTCCCGTGACGCTTGTGGGGGTCATAGAGCAAAACGGAGAACTCCATTGTTTTCGTGAGTGTGTCATCTTTCCATAGAGGGGTCAAAACCATTCGAACGCTACAGACGTTTTCTTGAGAAGACCGATTTTTGGGATGTCTCCTGGTCTGACAAACACCGCTGTAGCTCTGCCACCTTCCACTGCAGATGCGGAAGGCCGACAACGGCGGATTGAGACCTAGCCCATGCAAAAAAACAGATCCCTAGCTTAAACAGATGTTTTATCATGCTAATTAGATTTTGGCGGAGGCATGGACTCTAGTTAAGCACACTAATTTCCTCACGGACCCTTTTAAGCGCAGAACACAAAACGGAACACAGCTACAGTCAATGCTTGCACCTGATTGAAGCCTCTAGACAAAATCATGTAAAAGTTATGCCCAATATTACCAGAGCTATGTTTTTTTTCTTTCTGCCGCAGATTCTTGCGCATGTCGCAGGCTGTTTTAAACTACACGCAAGCAGCTATTTGTTGGTTTGATAACAAACATTGTTACCATGTTACCAAGCAACCTGATAAATTGACCACTGACTAGGCTATGCCCAAATTTGGATGGCACAGGAAGAACTGAAAAGGGATAGCCTACTCAAAGAGATGCTTCAAAAGGTAGGCTGCATATGCAATAGTGGGTTGTGTATGATTGTGTGTGTAGTTATCTGAAGAGTACAGACGGTTACAGTGTGTTCATAACATTGTTGGACAAGTTTAAAAGCTCTTTGTTCTTTGTATCCATAGAGCCAGTTATTTTTTCCTATAGTCACACTCATTTAGAATTCCTGAAGCTTTAACAGTACTTAAAGCTGTGTGTGCTGTGTGCAGGTGTTAACCTTCAAGAACATTGATAAGAGGGAGTAGGCCTACCTAAACACCTAAGAGGGAACATTAATAGCTTGTATGTTAGAGGGACTTTTGTGTTGTTTATGGTGAACATGCGATTACAACATTCTAATGTAGATAATTGTGTTTCCGTCCCTTACAATCAAAGCATAGTATGCCTGTAACTCAATGCACTGCTTTTAGAAATAGACAAATATTTTCTTTAGGGCCAAATTTGAGGAAATTCAAAAATTAAGTAATGCCATTAATGCAATTAATCATTTGACAGCCTTACTTTTATTGTATGTGATGGTGTTTCTAAAGCGACCAACAGTCGGCCACTGTTGCTAATGTGTTGTGAGCATTCTCATTAAAAAATAATGGCTGATGCTACACATGGGTGCTGGTGGTAGGAGGTGAGTGTAGTTCCCCATTACAACATATTGATTAAAGGGGCAACCTGGGATTCAAAGAACTACTAAGCAGTCATCTCACCACTTTCTGGGGTAAACAGCTGAGGGGTGGGGCTTAAGAAATGTAACCCCTCTCAAATGTATAGATGGAGCTATGGACTGACCACCCATGAGATCAAAATGCTAGCTTTAGCCATGTTTTTGAAGTTATACAATGTTTGCTTAAAAGGTTTACAAACATTAGACTAAAAAAACTTATATTTGGGTTCTGATGCGGTAAGGCAGTTGAACTAAGCTACTCAGGTATTTATAAAGTATATTCTTCCAGAACCAATGGTGTGTTCTCTCACCAGTGCCTCTGTGAGCAGCTCGGTCCGGTGCTCTGTTGAGAACTTGAGCGTTTCTGACTTTTTGCCACTGCCCTTGCGGAATGTGAGGTTGAACTCGGTGCCCTGGCCCTTGCCCACCGGGGTGATGCCACAGATGTCCCCGTATGGCCACTACAGGGCACCACAGAGAGTGAGACAGAGACAGAGAGACCAACATGTCGCATGTCAACAAGTCACATTCCATAACAGTGAAAATGACAGGTCATAGATATTCATCAAGTTGGTGACAGGAGATATGCTGAACAAAACCATAACCACTGGGATATTTAGGACTAAACAGAAAAAAATATGTTGACAGTCATCACATAATGGTACTTATCACATGGATTTCACATGACTCAGACTTTGAGAAAACATGACAGGATTAAAGGTGAGTCCACTGACCTGGTTTGTGACTTCGAGCGTGGTGGGGTTGTACGTGGTAATGCCATGAGTGCCCACGGAGAAGACTCGTTTGTACCTGGAACAGAGAGGAGGAGAGCTCAGTATGTCAGATATCTACTTACACAACATCTGTTATACAAGGATCTACAAGACACAGGAGGTAGCTTAACAGCCAAAACAATGTCTGCATCTCAAAATGGCACCCTATTCCCTGTACAGTGCATTGCGTTTGACTAGAGGCAGAGACCTATGGGCCCTGGTCAAACGTAGAACTGTATATAGGTAATAGCAGGGCTGTAACAGTCATGGACTTTTGGATGATGGTTATTGTTCTGCCAAATGAATGCAAGGCAACCAAAGTTATGTTGTAAAGAGTCCATGTTACTGCGGAAACGGACTCAACCACACGATTGCCCAGCCGTCCTGTCTTCAGTCAGCTGTTCGTACCACACACACAAAACAATATATCTTTTTTACAGTTAGGACAGTTCTTTTATTTTCATGACGGTGTTCATCCATAAAATACGGTAATTGTGCCAGCCCTAGGTAATACGGTACCATTTGGGATGCAGACAATCAGTGTGGAGTGGACTGTGGAGCACTGCAGTGAGGTAGGTGGTGGACATGATTGCCCTTGCTGTAGCCTAAGAGATGGTACTTCTGAAGTGACAGATGTTAGCTTAGCATTGGCTTGGCTTGAGAATTCCATTAGCATTGATGAATTGATGCTAACCTTGTTCCCCCATCAGTCAATGCTCCACGAAATACCTCCTGAGCTGGAAATAACCATGGCAGAAATAAAGACCTTATTATGTCTGGGGATGGCTAGGGGGTGGCAGGTAGCTTATTGGGTAAGGGCGTTGTGCCAGTAACCGAAAGGTCGCTGGTTCTAATCCCCTAGCCGACTAGGTGAAAAGTCTGTCGATGTGCCCTTAAGCAAGGCACTTAACTCTAATTGCTCCTGTAAGTCGCTCTGGATAAGAGTGTCTGCTAAATGACTAAAATGTAAAATGTAAATGGGGAGTTTGACACTGGACAGAGTGAGACCAATGGAACAGGGAACTTGTGTGTATCCCAAATGGCACCCTATTCTCTAGTGCACTATAAAGGGAATAGGGTGCCATTTCGGAGGCGGACGTTTATTCTGTACCGGATGAGTGGCGCTCTGAAAAACTGCTAGTGTTTTGTCACTGGAACTGAATAACCATACAGTGAGGGAAAAAAGTATTTGATCCCCTGCAGATTTTGTACGTTTGCCCACTGACAAAGAAATGATCAGTCTATAATTTTAATGGTAGGTTTATTTGAACAGGAAAAGACAGAATAACAACAACAAAAATCCAGAAAAACGCATGTCAAAAATGTTATAAATTGATTTGCATTTTAATGAGGGAAATAAGTATTTGACCCCCTCTCAATCAGAAAGATTTCTGGCTCCCAGGTGTCTTTTATACAGGTAACGAGCTGAGATTAGGAGCACACTCTTAAAGGGAGTGCTCCTAATCTCAGCTTGTTACCTGTATAAAAGACACCTGTCCACAGAAGCAATCAATCAATCAATCAGATTCCAAACTCTCCACCGTGGCCAAGACCAAAGAGCTCTCCAATGATGTCAGGGACAAGATTGTAGACCTACACAAGGCTGGAATGGGCTACAAGACCATCGCCAAGCAGCTTGGTGAGAAGGTGACAATAGTTGGTGCGATTATTTGCAAATGGAAGAAACACAAAGGAACTGTCAATCTCCCTCGGCCTGGGGCTCCATGCAAGATCTCACCTCGTGGAGTTGCAATGATCATGAGAACGGTGAGGAATCAGCCCAGAACTACACGGGAGGATCTTGTCAATGATCTCAAGGCAGCTGGGACCATAGTCACCAAGAAAACAATTGGTAACACACTACGCCGTGAAGGACTGAAATTCTGCAGCGCCCGCAAGGTCCCCCTGCTCAAGAAAGCACATATACATGCCCGTCTGAAGTTTGCCAATGAACATCTGAATGATTCACTGGGTGAAAGTGTTGTGGTCAGATGAGACCAAAATCGAGCTCTTTGGCATCAACTCAACTCGCCGTGTTTGGAGGAGGAGGAATGCTGCCTATGACCCCAAGAACACCATCCCCACCGTCAAACATGGAGGTGGAAACATTATGCTTTGGGGGTGTTTTTCTGCTAAGGGGACAGGACAACTTCACCGCATCAAAGGGACGATGGACGGGGCCATGTACCGTCAAATCTTGGGTGAGAACCTCCTTCCCTCAGCCAGGGCATTGAAAATGGGTCGTGGATGGGTATTCCAGCATGACCATGACCCAAAACACACGGCCAAGGCAACAAAGGAGTGGCTCAAGAAGAAGCACATTAAGGTCCTGGAGTGGCCTAGCCAGTCTCCAGACCTTAATCCCATAGAAAATCTGTGGAGGGAGCTGAAGGTTTGAGTTGCCAAACGTCAGACTCGAAACCTTAATGACTTGGAGAATATCTGCAAAGAGGAGTGGGACAAAATCCCTCCTGAGATGTGTGCAAACCTGGTGGCCAACTACAAGAAACGTCTGACCTCTGTGATTGCCAACAAGGGTTTTGCCACCAAGTACTAAGTCATGTTTTGCAGAGGGGTCAAATACTTATTTCCCCTCATTAAAATGCAAATCAATTTATAACATTTTTGACATGCGTTTTTCTGGATTTTTTTGTTGTTATTCTATCTCTCACTGTTCAAATAAACCTACCATTAAAATTATAGACTGATCATTTCTTTGTCAGTGGACAAACGTACAAAATCAGCAGGGGATCAAATACTTTTTTCCCTCACTGTACATACATACATAAACCAAGTAGTAGCTGACACTGAGGGAGAGGGCGGTTGAGTTAATATATAAGTCAAGGGAAGTGTGCTCAAGATCTATGAGAAATGTGACTGCCTGCCACATTCAGAGGGAGTCGAAAAGGGCAGCCACAGTGAAGCGGACTGTGTTTAAAAAACAGAGTAAAAAACATTAGGAATACCTAATATTGAGTTGCACCCCCTTTTGCCCTCAGAACAGCCTCAATTCGTCAGGGCATGGAGTTTACAAGGTGTTGAAAGCGTTCCACAGGGATGCTGGCCCATGTTGACTCTAATTCTTCCCACAATTGTGTCAAGTTAGCTGGATGTCCTTTGGGCGATGGCCCATTCTTGATACACACGGGAAACTTGTTTGACACACAAACCGGTGCGACTGGCACCTACTACCCAGGGTTTCCATTAGCCGTTAGACTTTTTAGCCTTTTCATTGATGGAAATACCAGTCGATGTAAATACATTTGACTGATCATGCTTATCGGTCTATAGGTTAATTAGCATAATTGTGTGGAATTAAATTGGCGCATGTACAGTATATTCATTATTTATCAATATTTACATTGACAATATACCACAAACTCCGGAGGTGCCTTATTGCTATTATAAAACTGTTTACCAATGTAATTAGAGCAGTAAAAATAACTGTCATACAAGAGGTATACGGTCTGCTATACCACGGCTTTCAGCCAATCAGCATTCAGGGCTCAAACCACCCAGTTTATAATTGTGATTTTTTGCTGGTGAGTTCTCTCTCCTGTACCCGGCTCCCAGACACACGCCACACACCTCCTGCAGCCCCGCTCCCAACCACTCAAGGAGGCTGTTCTTCGAGGCTTGACCACACCGCAAATGGCACTCGCATGCAGTCAGCATACTGTCAAAATCCACATTTTCTATGCTCTACTATTCGTTTGTGTATCTTATTCTATGCAAAACGCTAGTTAGCATGCTGTCTGTGCTTACAAAATTCATTAGCCGCTAATGCCAATCGCTAGCTAGCTAAATCACAGATGAAAGGGGAAACCTAGTTAATTATAATAATATTTGGCTAAATGCACTGAGCTCACAAATGTTTGCATACCCTAGTACCCGTGATGGTGTGTAGAGTAAGTACATCAGCATGTGTTTGTGCAATGACATGCCTTGTTCTGAATGGAACAACTTCTTCCTGGCTTTTTCATTGCCAAACCATTGAAAGGATACTTCCTAAAGAAATTGTGTGTGCTTGGTTGTTTTGAAGTTTTTATATAACATCTAAAATAATGTTCATATAGAACAGCTTGTGATCTCATTTTAGATGGGCCGTTTTCTACTTTGACACTTGTTTTAACCATGTCTCATAGAACTATCAAGTTTTCACCAACGTGAATGAAAATCACAAAATGGCTATTAGATATGTCCAAATCGTGCAGCCCTGGTGTGTGTGTGTGTGCGCAAGTTTGCGTGTGTCCGGGAGGGGGGGGGGGGGGGGGGGGGGGGGTCTGATGTTCCAGCCATTTACCCCCCACCCTAGCTACCTCAGACCGGCTGAAGAGTTTCCGCTAAGCTGCACCCCTGATCCCTCTCCTCTACATCAGACTGCCACGCTCAGACAAAGAGGGGGAGACTAGGCTAGCTGGGAACGTCGCCACTCACACAGAGAAACACACTAGGGCTAAGGCCGCTAAACCTTAACTCACTTCACCACCAGCAGCCAAATGCTGAAAATGAAATTAAGTGCGATACTGAGGAGTAGCATCACATCCCAACAAATATCCATCCCAAATGGTCAAAAGTAGTGCACTACAAAGGGAATAGGGTGCCATTTGTGATGCAGACAAGACCTCAAATCAAAAAGGATGGATTTATTTATTTGACAGGGGCAATGTACATTAATTAACATTGCTGTAAATGTGCCACATTTAACGAGCTAGCTAGTTTTCATCTGTAGTCCCTGGGCAGATACTGTAGATACAAACATGTAGATGTGTAGAGGCTGGGGGCAGACTACACACACACACTAACCTAAATGCTACTTGGGCACCGAAACTGAAACTGACAGGATAAGAGAGAGCTCTGAAATGAAATATTCGAGCCAAGATACTATAGCAACAAAAACCTGTCCACAACTTTTCATCTGAACTGAACTATAACACTAAACCAGGCTGAAGTCAGACGTGAGGCTCAGATGTTGCTAAGCTAACCGCCAAAGGACTTATTTCCTGGGTTGTTTAATTGGACAAAGTGAATGGACTGGACTTTTCTGGCTACCTTCCAACATACTGCTAACCATGCTGGGGTCACGCTGATGCTTTTAAAATGTGCTGAATGAGTGAGGCAACAGATTCGGTGGAAGCTGACTGACTGACAGATGAGAATAAGAACATTGACCCAACACAGGAAGGGTGAACCGGCCTTATGACGACAGTCATGCAACCTTCCTTGCTCTGCGTCTCAAAATGACTACGATCACGTAGACCCTACATTTTCAACTACTTATTATTTGGCTTTTTTGTCGTCTTACAATCTTCTACCTACACACATTTAGGCATAGGCATATTCTCATGAGAAGACTGTCACGCTTGTAGACCTTGACTTCACACAGAGTTGCCTCTCTTCAACAGCTGCACGGAGAGTGTGTATGAGCTGAAAGGAGCACTTTCAGCACCTCCTAATCACCGTTGTCCCCAACACAAAACATTCTGACGTGTGCCCTGTGCACACACACACACACACACACACATCTTCACTAGGTAAAGAGAAACAGAAAGTGGATAAAACAGGTAGAAAGGCCACATCTGAGTGTGCCCAGATATCAGTATAGACATCCAGAGGTAGATTGAGAGTAATCGGAGTCAAGGTTTGGGTGGAATAAATCCCAGTAGCAGAACTGAGCTCCCTCTCCTCCTCTATCATCATGCAAGCACATGGTTTTCCTTTCATCCTAGCCTGAGCCAACTCCACCCTCCCTCGCTCTCAGCTCTAAGTACACGACTGGTTCATTATTCATCCTCTCCAGGCAGAGACAGCCACTCACCCAGCCCAAGTTTAGAACAGCCCAAGACAGGTACCGGTCCTGTAGTAGCCAGGGCCAGGGTTGTTTTTCTACTCTGGGCCCAGGTTAAAGGCTTTAAATAGGGGCTCAGTTGTTTTCCTGGGCAGGTCACATGGTCAGGAAACTCTACATAGCCATAGCCTATTTACATGGGTCAGAGGTTATGTCATGTACAGGGCAGGGCATGATATGCTGCTCCTCACAACAACAGTCATCATTCAGTCTCCCCCACCATGACCTCAGAGATAGCTTTATATCATTATAAAGGCACTGCTATGAAAGTTCATACGAGTGTTATTGGAAGCAGTGGAACATTTAATTGGCAGTGATAAAACTCAGACTAAAACAATAGGTTAGATGGATAAACTATTCATTATTACTGGAGATGGGGGTGAAGGCTTGATCTTCCCCACCTTTGCTGTTTGGTTTGAATATCTAGATTTTCTCGAAAGCCGTACCACAGCTAAGCCCAGAAGATATCCTGAACAAGAGATGAATTCCAAGGCCAAGCTTTATTTCCATTAATAGACAACTAGAGTAAAGTATGCAGTATGCATATTAACCCGAGTGAGACTTTAGACAGGAATCACTCTCACCTGACGGGACTGGCCGCCACGGAGGGTAAAGTACACTGGGTATATAAAAACAAACACACTAGTGTGCTGTTGTGCTGTACACAGCTTCTAGAGTTGCGCCGAGGCCTAATGGAAAGCAAGGCAGTGATAAGCACTTAGGCACTGGGGTATTGACTACAGCTGGAAAATCTATTGTCTACAGTCAGCCAGGCTTTGGTGCATGATGTACACACAAGCACATACAGTGGGGAGAACAAGTATTTGATACACTGCCAATTTTGCAGGTTTTCCTACTTACAAAGCATGTAGAGGTCTGTAATTTTTATCATAGGTATACTTCAACTGTGAGAGACGGAATCTAAAACAAAAATCCAGAAAATCACATTGTATGATTTTTAAGTAATTAATTTGCATTTTATTGCATGACATAAGTATTTGATACATCAGAAAAGCAGAACTTAATATTTGGTACAGAAACCTTTGTTTGCAATTTCAGAGATCATACGTTTCCTGTAGGTCTTGACCAGGTTTGCACACACTGCAGCAGGGATTTTGGCCCACTCCTCCATACAGACCTTCTCCAGATCCTTCAGGTTTCGGGGCTGTCGCTGGGCAATACGGACTTTCAGCTCCCTCCAAAGATTTTCTATTGGGTTCAGGTCTGGAGACTGGCTAGGCCACTCCAGGACCTTGAGATGCTTCTTACGGAGCCACTCCTTAGTTGCCCAGGCTGTGTGTTTCGGGTCGTTGTCATGCTGGAAGACCCAGCCACGACCCATCTTCAATGCTCTTACTGAGGGAAGGAGGTTGTTGGCCAAGATCTCGCGATACATGGCCCCATCCATCCTCCCCTCAATACGGTGCAGTCGTCCTGTACCGTTTGCAGAAAAGCATGCCCAAAGAATGATGTTTCCACCTCCATGCTTCACGGTTGGGATGGTGTTCTTGGGGTTGTACTCATCCTTCTTCTTTCTCCAAACACGGCGAGTGGAGTTTAGACCAAAAAGCTCTATTTTTGTCTCATCAGACCACATGACCTTCTCCCATTCCTCCTCTGGATCATCCAGATGGTCATTGGCAAACTTCAGACGGGCCTGGACATGCGCTGGCTTGAGCAGGGGGACCTTGCGTGCATTGCAGGATTTTAATCCATGATGGCGTAGTGTGTTACTAATGGTTTTCTATGAGACTGTGGTCCCAGCTCTCTTCAGGTCATCGACCAGGTCCTGCCATGTAGTTCTGGGCTGATCCCTCACCTTCCTCATGATCATTGATGCCCCACGAGGTGAGAACTTGCATGGAGCCCCAGACCGAGGGTGATTGACCGTCATCTTGAACTTCTCACCAAGCTGCTTGCCTATTGTCCTGTAGCCCATCCCAGCCTTGTGCAGGTCTACAATTGTATCCCTGATGTCCATACACAGCTCTCTGGTCTTGGCCATTGTGGAGAGGTTGGAGTCTGTTTGATTGAGTGTGTGGACAGGTGTCTTTTATACAGGTAACGAGTTCAAACAGGTGCCGTTAATACAGGTAATGAGTGGAGAACAGGAGGGCTTCTTAAAGAAAAACTAACAGGTCTGTGAGAGACGGAATTCTTACTGGTTGGTAGGTGATCAAATACTTATGTCATGCAATAAAATGCAAATTAATTACTTAAAAATCATACAATGTGATTTTCTGGATTTTTGTTTTAGATTCCGTCTCTACACGCTTTGTAAGTAGGAAAACCTGCAAAATCGGTAGTGCATCAAATACTTGTTCTCTCCACTGTATACACGCGCACACACACAAACTGAAAGAGCCTTTCCATTGACTGAATCCATGTCTCTTCCCTTCTTTACAATTCCTCACTGTTGCCTGGGACAGAGGAGGAAGGCAGGGGGTGGTTATGGTAGATTATGTTACCAGGGTGTAACAGAGACGAAGGTTTTACCCTCCAGTAACGGGAGTTTATATGAGAGCAAGCACAAGATGCAGCAGAGTGCACAGTCCAGCCCTCAACCTCACTGACACCCTCCAGTAACGGGAGTTTATATGAGAGAAAGCACAAGATGCAGCAGAGTGCACAGTCCAGCCCTCAACCTCACTGACACCCTGCAGTAACGGGAGTTTATATGAGAGAAAGCACAAGATGCAGCAGAGTGCACAGTCCAGCCCTCAACCTCACTGACACAGCAGAAAACCCTGTGAGAAATGAACTAGGCATAACTGAAGTGACCACTTCTTCAGTCATCTATGCCTTTTAAAGCCATCCCTCCTCCACTCTGTACATACTTTGGGGTTTTGCTTTCCTTTCCTTTCCCGGCCTCAGATTTCAGAATAACGCATCACTTTAAGCAACTTCCTGTGTCTGCTGGAAACCTTGGTACAACCACTTCTCTTTCGCAGCTCACACACAAACCCCACATCTCTAATGGTAAAATCGAACATAACTGAATCCAAATCATTAGGAATGTTGCTATGTGCAACCCGCCAAACATTTAGCCAACATGCTAATGCTAGGAAAATCCAGTAGCCATTTAAAACAGACTTTGTAATGGACATCTGCACAAACTGAATGAGACGTCCATGTGCATGGAAATCTGACTTAGCCTAGAAATGTTGAACAATTTAGGGGGCTTTCACACCGAATTGGTGTGTTTACCCTCTTAGTTTGGTTCATTTGGACTGGTGTGAACACTATCCATACTCGGGAGCACACTAAAAAACGCACCGTGGCTCGCTCAAAAAGGGTGGTCTCGGTCCGATTCAATTCGTACCATGGTGCAGTTCACTGCAGGTGAGAATGCAGTCCAGACCAAACACACGAAAAGAACCAGTCGCACAGTATTATTGGTTGTTTGAGTGCAAACATTTGATGAAATGCAGCACGCATCATCATAACTTAATATCGCTGAAACATTCTGTGAGTATAGCAGCGCATTTATGAGCGACCCGATTTAGATTAGGAGAGACTGGGGCTATAGGCCACTGCAAATAGCCTAGTCACGTTGCAGTTAGAGCGGCTATTGCGCTGTTTCCTTCTGCATGTTGTTGGAAGACCAAAGCGAATGTAATATGAAGATTGGGACACACAAGTGAAGCTTCATGATAAATCATACATGGATTGATAATAATAGATGAGCATTTTTGTCCAATAAACAACTGACTTGCATGGACACGTGGTTTGTTGAGGAATTTTTTTCCATTTGGTATTTGGCCAGTGGTGGAAAAAGTACCCAATTGTTATACTTGAGTAAAAGTAAAGATACCTTAATAGAAGTGAAAGTTACCCAATAAAATATTACTTGAGTAAAAGTCTTAAAGTATTTGGTTTTAAATATACTAAGTATCAAAAGTAAAAGTATCAAATTCCTTATATTAAGCAAATCAGACAGCAGGGGCACACTCCAACACTCAGACATAATTTACAAACTAAGCATGTGTTTAGTGAGTACGCCAGATCAGAGGCAGTAGGGATGACCAGGGATGTTCTCTTGATAAGTGTGTGAATTGGACAATTTTCCTGTCCTACTAAGCATTCGAAACGTAATGGGTACTTTTGGGAGTCAAGGGAAATGTATAGAGTAAAAAGTACATTATTTTCTTTAGGAATGTAGTGAAGTAAAAGTGCAAGTAAAAAAAATATATAAATAGTAAAGTAATGTACAGATACCCCCAAAAACTACTTAAGTAGTACTTTTAGTATTTTTACTTAAGTACTTTACACCACTGCATTGGCAATGTGAAATCAACCGGAACCCCCCCCAAAAATACAATGTAACAAATAATCAAACCCTGATTCAAAGTATAGCTCAAAACTGTGAGAAAACGCCATTAGACTACAGGTACAGTGCCTTCAGAAAGTATTCACACCCCTTGACTTTTTCCACATTTTGTTGTTTTACAGCCTGAACTTAAAATGTCTTAAATTGACATATTTTGGTCACTGACAAAGTGGAAAAAGTAGAAAAGGGGTTTTCAAAATTCTTACAAATTAATTAAAACTGAAATGTTTGTTATGGCAAGCATAAATACGTTCAGGAGTAAAAATGTGCTTAACAAGTCACATAATAAGTTGCATGCTCACCCTGTGTGCACTAAGTGTTTAACATTCTTTTTTTTAAAGAAACCTATTGGTAGATAGGTATGAAAAAATAAAGCAGACACTAATATCCCTTTGAGCATGGTGAAGTTATTAATTACACTTTGGGAAGTGTTTCAAATATCAATACATGCAGTCACTACAAAGATACAGTCATCCTTCCTAACTCAGTTGCCAGAGAGGAAGGAAACCGCTCAGGGATTTCACCATGAGGCCAATGGTGACTTTAAAACAGTTACATAGTTTAATGGCTGTGATAGGAGAAAACGGAGGATGGATTAACAACATTGTAAATAATCCACAATACTAATTGACAAAGTAAAAAGAAGGACACCTGTACATAATACGATTATTCCAAAACATACATCCTGTTTGCAACAAGGCACTATAATTCACTTTTTGTCCTGAATACAAAGTGTTATGTTTGGGACAAATCCAATACAACACACTACTGAGTACCTCTCTCCATATTTTCAAGCATAGTGGTGGCTGCATCATGTTATGGGTATACTTGTAATCATTAAGGACTGGGGAGGTTTTTCAGGATAAAAAAGAAACAGAATGGAGCTAAGCACAGGCAAAATCCTATAGGAAAACCTGGATCAGTTTGCTTTTCACCAGACACTGGGAGATGAATTCCCCTTTCATCAGGATAATAACCTTAAACACAAGGCCAAATCTACACTGGAGTTGCTTACCAAGAAGACAGTGAATGTTCCTGAGAGGCTGAGTTACAATTTTGACTTAGATCTACCTGAAAATGGTTGTCTAGCAATGATCAACAACCAATTTGACAGAGCTTGAAGAATTTTTAAAATAATATTGGGCAAATGTTGCACAATCCAGGTGTGGAAAGCTCTTAGAGACTTACCCAGAAAGACTCACAGCTGTAATCGCTGCCAAAGGTGCTTCTACAAAGTATTGACTCAGGGGTGTGAATACTTATTTTAATGAGATATTGGATAAAAACAATAAATTTAATCCATTTTGAATTCAGGCTGTAACACAAATTTTTTTGGAATAGGGGGTATGAATACTTTCTGAAGGCACTGTAAGTTGACATTTTAACAAAAGCCTCCCTTTGGACAGCAGCCTCCATTCCACTTCATCATACAGGATGAGATATGTAGTCTGAGCCTTGATTGAATCAGAAGAAGACAAAAGAAGCAGTCCGTCAATCAGATTACTGAGTAATGGAGCTTTCACTCCTTCACTGGCGGTTAAGCTAAGCTAAATGAAGCTAGGTGACGCTAAACTAAGTGGTAGACTACTGGTTAGGCATTAGCTAGCTAGCTACCACACTGTTATAGATCCTCATTAAGATCCCATTAGGAAAGTATGCGCCTAGAACAACTTCAACACTTATCTTGGAAAGCACTTGTCCTCATAACCTTGGCTTGACCTTAAGGGTATTAACAATCCAATAAAGCAAAACCAGGACCTGAGGCCTTCAGAATCACCACTGGCCAAACACACACTCCTTACACAAAACACATGGCTGCCAAAACCAGTTTCCTGGTAAACTGGTTTTGGCAGCCGTGTGTTGTGTGTAAGGAGTATGTGTAAACTGTAGCCTAAACATAACCTATGTGGTCTGTGTGTGTAGAGTGAATCCTTCACACTCGGCTCAGAGCAGATTCGTCATGGCAGCAGGGGAGCGGAGATTCTTGACGGTCCACGATCCAGGCAGCGATGGCTCTGAGAGAGGTCCTTTGTGTGGCCACAACATTGAGCAGCCTGTTTGCCACGCCGGGCCAAATCTAATACAGCCTTAAGATGCCAGGAGCCACAGGATTTAAAAGGACTAAGACTACACAAGGGACACAGCCGTGGGAGAGGAAAATACTACTACACACACATCAGAAAAAGCCCTTTGAAACCGTGCAATCGGTGGAGAACCTTTTCTACCAAGGCTTGTAGCTAGCTTCTTCAAACTGGACCTGCTCTCTACTGTATTTCAGGACTAAGGAGGTTCTAATTAAAAGGACAAAAGTGCTGCTCACGCTGGGACTTTAACAAGAGTGCAGGCTAATCAAGGTTGATTGTAATTAAGGTTGGCCCCCTGGCAGATGTTCTGTGTTCACAGTAGAGAAGCTCGGCTTTGCACTCCAGTAAAGTGCCTGCGTACAGTCGCCTGCATTGCCATTGAGTTCCATAAAGCCACAGCAAATAGTCTACTGTAGGCTATACAAACAAAACTGTCTTGGGGTGAAGCTGAGAAAGCCGCGAAAGGACCTTGCTTCGGCCTTATGCTCCACAGGGAGCGAAGAGGAGTAACAACATTACGTAATACACCAAACCCTTCTCTCTCGACCTCCCAGTCAATGCCCTGGCCTCACTCACTGACTGTCCAGTTCAGTGTCCACACACACACCACAGGTCCCAAGAGGACACATCCCGGAGCATGAGCAGGAAGAGTAGAAGATGATATATTATGAAGCCCTCAACCCTCCCCTTCCCGTGGATAATCTGCTCTCTAGCACTACTGCTAAAGTTACCAGTCAATGGCTGCCTTTATGGGACAAAGCTATTTAGGAAGCAGGTATAGGTATTGTGGTCCCGTTGTCTACTGCTCAATGTCTCACCACTGTTGAGGCCAACCAGAGAAAAGGGATGGGACCAGTTTGTTTAGTAACATTTTCCCTTTCCATAGTATATAGACCTAGATCCCATTGATTCATGACCTCATGGTTGTTACCATTGAGCTGTATTTATGGACCTTATGTCATAGATCACGAGCGCAGTCTAACCTGCGGTATCTAGGTATTGGGATTTCAGAGACATGTATTCAGGTTAGCGAGAATCTGACACTAGTGATTTATGTACACCTTGTCCCCCATTGAAGATAAGGAAACACACACACAATGGAAGCACTGAGTCAGGGATTTCAGCCCTTTCCCTTGGCTTGTTGACATCAGTGTGTCTGTTCTGCTGTCTGATTGCTAGGCCTACAACTAGGATCTGTGTGGGATGGTAGAGAATGATAAAGAATAGAAGGGAATGTACCGGATCTGACATTACCTAGTTGACCTGAACATCAAGAAAACGAAGCTATCTTTCACAAAGCAGCAATGCATATAGAAGTTATGGTACTTGACTAGTGAAGTAGTAAGGAGCAATTACCCAACTCGGCCTAGCAAACCAGCCCCAAGAACAGAGAAAACATTCATTCAACCAATGAAATCCTATCAGTATCAATGCGAGGTCTTTCAGGGAAAGGAATGTTAGAATATGAGGTGTCTCTTACTTTCCCCTCCAGGAGTGTTTGGTGGTGTAGAAACAGGCCAGGTCTTTGTTGTCTTTGACGACATTCATCTTCTGGCAAGACCTGCAACACAAGAGAACAAGGTCAGGGTAAGACAGACACAAAGGGATGATGAAATGGGATTTTTAGTCTCGCTTTAGTATCGCTTCATTGAGTACATAGAGGTCAGAGCAGTGGAATTGGACACCAGGCAACTTTCATTTGAGCGAATGGCAGCAAGCATAGAATTAGGCCTACGGTTTGCTAATTCAATTACGCGTGAAGAGCACAGGTCAATGAGAGGGATGGATTCCCCTCCTACTGCTATCTGAAGTAGTCATGTGAGTTGGGAGTGGAGTACAGGCATCTGGATAAGCAGAAGCTTAGTTCTATTGAGAAGTCAGACAGGATCCACCCTGCTCTTAAAGACTTCCATTACTGCACCTTATGTCACACACTGTCCAAAAGAACCTGCCACACACACACTTCACACTGGCGGATCACATTCTACACCTCGCATGGAAATCCTTGTTGACACTCCCTGTGCTGGCTGGGAGAGTCCTGTCGCATCGCTGGCAAACTCTGTTGTGCTAAACATGGAATAAACAGTGTTGAACAGCAAATTAGAGTGGAATCGACACAACCGATAGATGTGATACTCTTTCTGACTGATTCCTTTTCTAAAGCCATCACAGCAACTATTAGAATCAGAGTCACTGTGGATGCCCTCAACTTTCACATACAGTTTACATTCATCTCTCTCCATCTCTTCGTTGACAGCTTATGTGTGCAAATATTCACTGACACTCAGTGGAGACTGAGGCATAGTCTACTTACAGGCAATGGGGGAAATAGTGCCAATACAGCAACATGGGATGGAAACTGCATGCAAGTGGTCAACAACATTGCAAAAATAAAAACGCAGCCTTTGAGCCGGTCATCTCAGCATACCAAGAGAATTTATTGATCATCATGACAAAACAATGAAACCTGAGGGAACCGTTTTTTCAGACATAATATATTTAAATCTCAATCCTGATTTACCCTCAAAAACCTCCATATTTATATACACTAAATTTGACTCGTAGCAGAAGATTCCCTTAGAAAGTGGAACATTGGCCATGTGTCATAACGAGACGGCAAACAGAGGTTTCCATATTTTCTGTACTTGTGTTGAGAATACTAGACCTAGGCCTATGTGGATTGTAACTACAGTCACACAAAATCACAAAGAAAGTCACTGGATAAAAAAAGAAGTAAAACTAGTAGTAACTAGCAGACAGACAGACACACAGCACAGTGAGAGTAGTAGTAGACTAGTAGTAAATCGTGCCCAGAGAGCAGTATTAACCTCGCTCTGCTGGCCACTGCATTGTCAGTGTCACATGGGGAACCGTAGTCAGCACTCTGCTCAGATCCTCCTGGAAATAACAGACTTTTATTTTCCTTCCTCTCCATGTCAGCCTGCAGCAAGGGGCAGCGAAATAAATCCTTATGAAAGGCCAGTGTGTCCCCAAGAGACGAGTAGAACCCTTCTTAATGGGAAGATTCAATCACGGAGAACTGCATCATTCAAACTTCCTAGGCAACGTATTTGATGGGTGTTCTTCCCTCTTGACTCACTACTGACACATAGCCTATAGAAAACCAGACAGGAGCTAGCTGACTAATCCTAAAGTTAGTTATCAAACTTCCTCTGAAAGAGAACCAGAGCTAGAGTCATCTAAGCTAAAAGAAACATTTCTGAATCTGTGCACATTATTTTTTATGCATCAAACCATTCCTCCTAATGAATTTAATCCATCCCAGACGGATGTGATTTTATAATAGCGATGGACGTTTCCAATGGGCATAAATGTGACCACGTGCCCTGCACTCCTCTCAACTCAAAGGCCATGCAGTTTAATTATGTTACCGTGATGAGGGGTATTAAGAGAACGCCCAGATTCCAGGATGTGGTCATCTGATGGCCCTTCCCAGCTCTTCCTGTGGATCAATAGCTGCAGAGCTACAAGCCATCTCAGACCAGGCAGAATTATAGAGAAAAGTACTTTGGTCCTGGAGAAAATAGTTCCTTAGCTTGCCAAGGGATGGTATACACACAATCAACAAGGCAGAGCTGCAAAAGGATTGTAAGGACACCTCACAGTAGGGGGGTTACACGACCTGTGAGGCAGCGTATGGTTTCCAAGCAGTGAGTGAACAGTGCTGACTGCGCAGAGCCTCTCTGAACGTTGGGTGACTGTGTAACCTGCTTTCATGTGACATGTGACTGTGCAATAACACTAAATCATTGGAGTTCTGCACAAGATTTTAAGATAACAGCAACTGCCACAGATAACACATAACAATTATGTAACAGTTATGGGAATAAAGAGTCAAATCGTATTTGTCTGAGAGGAACACAGTTAGCAAGCCAGGAGCATGGTGTAACAACACACGTTTCCTATGTTTTTATCATCACTTGCTAGATTTATCTTACAAACAGCAGACAGTGCTTCCCTGGATGGAAATAGAAACTGTTTAAAACAACAAATTAAACTTTGGGGAAATTCTAAGATAAGTCCATGCCATCAAAGGGGAAAATAGATGCATATAAATAACACAGAAGCTAGGTTTCCATCCAATTGGCGACAGATTTTCATGCAACTATTCTCAAATCCGCATAAAAACAATATGCAAATGTTTACATCAAATTACCTTGTTGTGGAGAAAACGCTGTGTGTGATGACGTAGTGCATAGAAAAATAACTTGAGGTTAAATTCCCATGTACCGAATTAAAAAAACTAGTTAAATGGGTTTCCATCGCATTTTCAACTTTGATGGTTTTGTCAAAAACAAAATTGTGTTATATAGCGAATGTGCCCACTATGGTCTTGGCATGTGCGCTCTAGCCAACAGCTCACAGATACAGCGCAGGTAGGCTACCTATATGATGAGATTTTTATGGACAAAATATCATTTGTATTTGTCAAACGGCAGCCAAGCATCGATCATCATTTCACCAGAATAAGACCCTTGATATTGATTGGAAAGGAACATCAAACTCATTACCGTGCACAGCACTTTCACCACCCTGTGAAGTTCATTATAACTTATTTCATCTGTAGCCTAATAAACTGCATGCTTTCCCCCGAGTCGTAGTGGGAGGACCACACAATATCATTGCGTGATTCCAATTTACTCAGATATGATGGTTATTATGTCAATATTTGCTAATAAAAGTGTTTCCACCGCCATTTCTCACATAATTCATTTTAAAGACACAAAAAGATCCCATCTAGCATATTTTGTTTTGTCGACATTTGGAAAGTTTACCGACAAATTTGCTGTTTCCATCATGCCTGTGGTAACGTTATTTTATCTGAAATGTACTTCACTTGTATAAAAAGGTTGGATGGAAACCTGGTTAGTGATAGCTAATATAATAGCACTCTGCTACTGAGGAAGAAATGCCTGGCTTTACACACTTGAGGTTTGATAATTCTGTGCCTCAACATTTCCACTAGGGTTCTTTAACATTGTATCAGTTGGTAATATTGCTGCAACTGATAACTTTAGGGAAAGGGGTCTTGTGATCTGTTTATCGTTACATAGCGTCCATGCAATCAATGACTAGGGGCAATTCCATTGTAACAGAATGATGCAGAGACTCAGATTTCTCACATTAAAATGTATGTAAAAACAAAAAACATTGAAGGTTAAACAAAGCATACAACTCTATGCACAAGGACTACTTTTAACAATGTCCACTGAACATTTTAGAAAAACACATTTAGGCCTACTTGAAGAACAGTGCAGATGCAAAGTTTGGTAACAGAATGACGGTTTGTGGAAATTCTTAAAAGTAGTCCTTGTGTATAGAGTTGTATGGTTTGTTTAACTTTGCAATGATTGGTTTTTGTTTGACATACATTTTAAAGTGTAGAATCTTAGTCTCAGCATCATTCTGTTACCGTGGAATTGCCCCCCCTAGGCCTTGTGGATCTCAGCCTTTGTAGTGGACATTAGTCTTATTATGTGTCTGATTGAGCACTGACTAATTAATTAACTGACTAACTAATAAGGCTACTTCCAAAGCTTCAATCTTGGATAAATGGTGGATGGAGTTGCCTAGATTATCACATTTGTTGTAGACCGAATGAAGGTATCGACAGATATTATTCCCCACATGTTACCACCACTCATTTAGGAAGTAAAATCCCCTACACGTACTAATAACACAGCAGAATAATGAGCATTGTTCCTGAAATTGCTTCCCATAAATAAAGTTAATTATTTCATGTAGCTGTAGGAGCACAATAAATCCTATTGAGAATGTATGCCAACCACAACACAGTGCAGTCAGCCTGATAATGTAGATGCCGCTTTCAAATGTACAGTATGATTGCAAAATGTCTTGCAGGTAAGCATTTCGTTTGTCGGTGTATACCATGTGTGTCCTGTACATACGACTAATAAAATTTGAAAATGTATTTCACAGTACATATCACACAGGTTATGACCAAAACAAGGCTCTTCAAACACCTTGCTATAGGTTGACATAACTAACTTCCGTTAGAAAAACTAACTAGGTAGATGCTTTCGCAGACACAATGAAAGATAATGTATATATGGGTTTCTGCAATTTGATAAAATAACTGCCGACTCACTTTGATCACACCCCGTTTGGCAGCCGCTGTGTATCTGGCTCTGCTTGGGTAGCAAGCTAGCGGCTAGTAGGGCCACATTCAAGTGCAGCTCGAGCGGGCCAAGTTGGGAGGAGTCTCGAGACCGAGTAAAGACGAGTCGAAATGGCCATTCCCGTGATGAACATTGTAAATATCATGACAAGCGAAGCCTAGAACTGTCACAGTGTTTTATGTTATTATCAACACACTTTAACTGGATGTGTTTTTCGCAAAAGGGGGAAGCTAGTAAGCTGCCTAGCTAGCTAGGTTAGCCACGCTAGCTAGCTTAGCTCTGTCTATGAGCTGAAACATGAAGGAAATGAGTTGTGCATTGTGGCAATCGCAGATGAAATTACCTGTTTGTTCGCTACCCGATGCAATTATTTTCCGACCCTGAACCCCCACCCTCCAATGTGCGTGGCTGTTGTGTTTCTGTTTTTCCAATCCGATGCTGTAGCTGCTTAATTGCGCTATCTTCACTCTGGGCTCAGGACGCTGCCATATTCCTGATAGCCGAAAGTGCTGAAAGCGCACGCGCGAAACCTGTCGGTCATGAGTGTTTCAACTGATTGGTTTGTCAGGAAGTAGCGCCTTCTAAGCTTAACGTCTATGGTTCTAAGCAAAGTTGCCTCTACGCGCAGATCTAGGATCAGTATCATATCAAATAGACTCAGTCTTGGGTAATGAGAGTAACAAATGCATAGATGACCTTAGATCAGCCAATAATCAGTGAACCCAGAGAATTAGCAGATTAATATAAAATGGGATAAGAAAGCTGCCTTCCAAAATAAACACCTGCATAAATGTCTCTCTACCACAGATTATCCATTATATTGACCAAATACTGAAGTGGCCGCTCTAACAATGAAAAGAAACGTCTTCAGAAATGGAAGGCAGTCGGGAGGAGGCAAGATCAAGTGGGACCATTCTAGCCAATGAGAGGGCAGATACGCGTGTGGACAACAGGCAGAAGAACTCCGCTATAAAGTGTTTTTTTCTCAAAGTTGCCGGGATGTCACGTGTCATACTTATGTCAGTACCGTCGTAACAACCTAAGCATTACAAAACGTATATTCGATCAAATAACCCACACGTAGCAAATAACCCATAAAATGTTTTGTTAACCAAATTCGACACTCATTGACCTCCATACAAAAACTCCTCGCTTGATGAGCGAAAAACTAAACAAAAAAACGCTACCTGCTGAAGAAAGACAGATTTTGGGCCGTTATCACTCTCGCTTCGCCTCTTCCTCTGTCTCTTACCAGCAGAGGTTACCTACACATTAATTACAATTATATTATTATTATTAATAATAATAATAAGATACTGTACATCTCGATACATTCACTCCCTGTCATGGTTATATCACAATTTATGAGGAGGATCAGTATAGTGGTCACATTCAGGCGCAGATTGTTTTTGTTATTTCTGAAGGGGAACAAAACACAAAATAGGCAAATAAATGATAAGAAATAGAATGGAACTAAATAATTTAGTGCAAATAAAGGCAGCTTTATAATTGTTTTGTTTTTGTTCTCTTCTGAAAAAAAGTTATGTAAACTTTGAACTGGTGCAAAATGAACGAAGTCTTGCCCACTACAGTGAACATTCCTGGAACTGTAAAATTCCGTTAATCAAGAGAGTAGTAGCGCTACCTATAGACAACATCCTGACCTTGCTGCACAAAGCGAGGAACGGCAGGATCCTGTCTATTTTCACCTGACATAACCTATAGGTTAGGGTTGATGGCATCTACTTGCAAATTAGTAGGCTATGCAACTGTATCTATTATCTCAAAATGTAACACAAATATTAAATAAAGTAGTTGAAGCCTCCACCACCTCCCTATTATATTTAGCAGACGCTCTTTTCCAGAGCAATTAGGGTTAAGTGCCTTGCTCAAGGGAACATCAATAGATTTTTCACCAAGTCAGCTTGGGATTCGAACCAGCAACCTTTCAATTACTGGCCCCATGGTCTTAACCGCTAGGCTACCTGCCACCCATTACAGTGCACTTTGGTAGAGACCTCATTTGACTTAGATATTGCACATCACAAGAACATCCTCAACAAATGTGCATTTCCCCCTCCCAGAGTAGATAAAACAAAATAAAAGAAGAAGCTAAGTTGAATGTAACAATAAAATTACACTTGTCTGGTTTTGACCTCAGCTTGTAGAGTTATAGGCTAAAAACCAAGTCTGGTCACTAATATGGTAAAGACAAAAATCACATGAACTTTTAAACTCAGGTCACAGTCACCAATAGCCTTGTCAAACAAAATAGAAATGAGCAAACTAACAAAGTTTCTAGAAATGTGGGATATTTCTGTCTAATGTGACTCAGACAGTGAACTGACTGCACTCAATCAGCGTACAGTTGATCTGGAGTTCTCAAGATGTTGTTCTCTAAACAATACAACACAGTGTAGGAGTGTCCTGCCAGCTAGTTCCACAAACTGAGAGTATTGATTTTAGTGACACCTGGGTCCCTGCCTGGCATAAAGTGTAAGAACTCACCGCGCTTGAATGTAGATGGGAAACATCTTGGCCTCTGTGACTGAGTGGCAGAGTGATGTTGAGAGTGGGACAGGGACACAGAGTGGTCACGTTATGGAGCATCTGATTCAGGGGCATACTAACCATGTGCTGCCCATTAGCTACATTTAATTATAGATAGACACAAGAGGAAAAGGGAGCATTTGGCTTCCCTACGATCCTGCAAAACAAAACATACATTGATATCTACCAGCTTCAGAGAAAGGAGGCAAAAAGGGAGGCCAAATGAACTAATTACTAACTTTTTATTTGGTTCACATGGAGTCAAATGGGAATGAAAGCCCACACACATTGTCTATTTATATATCATATTCATTTTTTGTATCAGATATTGTCAAACAAACAGATAAGGGGTTTCCGATCTGCAGCAACAAGTTAACAGAGTCAGGGGCCTGTAAAAAGGTCACAGATCACATAATTAGCTAGTTAACATACCTTCTCTGAGCCATTTAGAAAAACAGGGCAGCATAATATGCATCCACACATCAAGAGGTCAACATGTCATGTAATAGGCCTAATGTATACTGTCTTTATGTACTCTATTGTATTGTCATGTATGTCATCCTTGAACAATTAATTACACAAATTCCAAAGTTGTATGAAGACGGCATACTGTATACATAATATAGTATTTCTTTCTGATTAAAAAAGAAGAATAAAGCCAGCGAAAGAGTAGAAAAATACTTCACAATTGTATAATCTGATAGTTTTCCTTCCCATGCAATGTGATGCATCCTCTAACTAACATGCAGCATCATCGCCTAGCTCACCCCTGTATACAGTACCAGTCAAATGTTTGGACACACGTACTCATTCCAGAGTTTTTGATTTTTATTATTTTCTACATTGTAGAATAATAGTGAAGACATCAAAACTATGAAACAACACATATGGAATCATTTAGTAACCAAAAAAGTGTTAAACACATTTGAGATTTGAGATTCTTCAAATAGCCACCCTTTGCCTTGATGACACCTCCTCCTCCATGCTTTACGTTGGGAAATACAAATGCAAAGATAATCCGTTCACCCACACCGCATCTCACAAAGCCACGGCGGTTGGAACCAAAAATCTCCAATTTGGACCAGACCAAAGGACACATTTCCACCGGTCTAATGTCCATTGCTCGTGTTTCTTGGTCCAAGCAAGTCTCTTCTTCTTATTGGTGTCCTCTAGTAGTGGTTTCTTTGCAGCAATTTGACAATGAAGGCCTGATTCACACAGTCCCCTCTGAACAGTTGATGTTGAGATGTGTCTGTTACTTGAACTCTGTGAAGCATTTATTTGGGCTGCAATTTCTGAGGCTGGTAACTCTAATGAACTTATCCTCTGCAGCAGAGGTAACTCTGGGTCTTCCATTCCTGTGGCGGTCCTCAAGAGAGCCAGTTTCATCATAGCGCGTGATGGTTTTTGCGACTGCACTTGAAGAAACTTTCAAAGTTCTTGAAATGTTCTGTATTGACTGACCTTCATATCTTAAAGTAATGATGGACTGTTGTTTCTCTTTGCTTATTTGAGCTGTTCTTGACATAATATGGACTTGGTCTTTTACCAAATAGGGCTATCTTCTGTATACCTTGTCGTCACAACACAACTGATTGTCTCAAACGCATTAACTTTTAAGAAGGCACACTTGTTAGTTGAAATGAATTCCAGGTGACTACCTCATGAATCTGGTTGAGAGAATGCCAAGAGTGTGCAAAGCTGTCATCAAGGCAAAATGTGGCTATTTGAAGAATCTCAAATCTCAAATATATTTTTATTGTTTGAACACTCTTCTGGTTACTAAATGATTCCATATGTGTTATTTCATAGTTTTGATGTCTTCACTATTATTCTACAATGTAAAAAATAGTAAAAATAAAGAAAAACCCTTGAATGAGTAGGTGTGTCCAAACTTTTGACTGGTAGTGTACATTGACTTAATTGCTTAGACACAAATACACTGATAAAGTGAAAGATACACTGCTACCTGGACCCCCTGACTGACAGCCGGCTTGACCGATCAGCCTCCAACTCATCAGATTACACTGGCCTGAATCCTCAGCATACATTGCATTACTATCTGGTCCAAACACCTGTCCCTCATCTCTACACCTCCTCCTCCTGAGTGTTCCTCCTGTGGTGCAGCTGCAGTTCCCCTCTTGGTCAGCGGGGAGTAGAGATGAGCTGGAAGCGGCGCGGCATGTTACCGAAGCTGCTGAACTCTGGGCTGAGGTCAATGCTGTCAGGTCCTCCAGGGCAGGAGAAGGAGAAACGCTGCAGCAGAGACACCAGGAACAGAAATATCTCCATACGAGCCAGAGATTCCCCCACACAGGCACGCTTACCTGCAGAGAAGGCCAAGAAAGCGGGGTTCTTCTGGAAGTTTCCGCTCTGATCTAGGAAGTGATCGGGGTTGAAGGTTGTGGGCGTGGCCCAGTGGTCCTGGTCTCGCAGAACAGAGTGCAGCAGGGGAAGGATCACGGTGCCCTGAGGGATAGTGTACCCTCTGAATGAGATATTCTTGGTAGCGTAGTGCGGGAGGCTGAACGGGATGATGTCCAGGAATCGATGCACCTCGTGGATGACAGCGTCTGTGAAGGGGAGGGACTTCCTGTCCTCCACCCGAGGGACGCGGTGTCGACCAATCACTGTGTCGATCTCCTGCTGCATGTGGTCCTGAATGTTAGGGTATTTGATGAGAAGCATGAGGGCGTATCTGATAGTGGTGCTAGTGGTCTCTGTTCCTGCCAGGAAGAGGTTTAACACTGTGGACACCAGGTTCTCATAATGGAACTCAGAGGAGGACACATCCTTCTCCTGGTTGAGTCTGGTGAGGAAACAGTCTATGAAGTCTCTAGGGATGCCTGGGTCCATGGTCTCCTGGTGCTCGTGGATCTTCTTCATCACAAAGCCTCTCAGCTCGTCCACCTGGCTGAACATGACATGCTGCCGACCAGGCAGGCATTCCATCAGCCAGGGGAAGATGTTGTAGAGCTGTCCCCAGGGGGTGCTTCCAAAGCGCAGTATGTTTGTGAGGATGTTGAGCAAGCGCAAGAAGTTGTCGTCCTCGTAGTCGAAGCGCTGGCCGAACACCAGAGAGCAGATGACGTTGGACACGGTGCGACTCAGGAAGGGATGGGGGTCAAAGGGCATGGCTTTAGTGTCGTCCAGACTGTCTATGAGCTGTTGGCTCTCCTCCTGTATCCACTCCTCCATCCTCTTACGGCCCATCCCAAAGTCTCTTAGCGTGGTCAGGGTGAAACGACGTAGCTGGCGCCAACGCTCCCCGTTACTGATGACCAGGCCATATCCCCTGGTAGCTCGGACCAGGAAGGGGATGGGAGCTCGTCCTGTGAAGTCCTCAGCCTGGTCCACCAGAGCCTCCTTGACCGCCTCATACCCCACCAGCACCACGGCCCGCTGGCGCCCCAGATACACTGTCATCACTGGCCCATACACACCACTCCACTTGACAAGGCTCTTGAAGGGGGCCTGTTTGTCCATCTGAGGCAGGTTGCCTATCAGCGGCAGGGCGCGGGGTCCAGGGGGTAGATGGACTTGTCTCTTCCTCCTCAGCATGAACAACCACAGTAGAACCAACACCAGGCCTCCCAACATCACTTTACTAAATATCTCCATTACTCCGGCCTCCAAAACAAACAGCGTCTCTTGATCTTGTTGTTCTTCTTTTTCTTTATTCTTCTTTTTTAACCCACCTCTCTTTAGTGTTTACCTTCTCTCTGTGCAGCAGTGGTTGTCTGTCTATGTTGCCTGCCTGACTGTTTGTGTGTGTGTGTGTCTGTGTGTATGTGTGTGTGTGTGTGTGTGTGTGTGTGTGTGTGTGTGTGTGTGTGTGTGTGTGTGTGTGTGTGTGTGTATGTGTGTGTGTGTGTGTTGCAGATGTTTGCAGGCATAAGGGGTTATGTTGATAATTGTCTGGGACAGAGTTGAACAACGGATCAGTGATTGGCTGCTGACATTACGTTATTGCACCTTGCACCCACGTAAACAAAGCAAATGACAGTGCAGAAAACCCAAGGAGTGGAAAGGACTGATATCTGTGTCTGTCTAGGTTAAAAAAAAAAATAATACAAAAAATTACGAAATACAAACAAGACAATGACAAGACATAAAAAACTGAGGAAGATGTACACGACACAGACGATAGGCCTACTATATAATTACAACTGTATATAAGCAATGCCATGTGATCAATCAATTATAAATAAAGCAGACATGGAACGTTTTGCCCTTATAGTAACGTGTATTCATTTGAATTCAATAACAATTTTGTGGACTTTCTCAATAATAGTTTCCAAACCACTCCCTATTGCTCAGAATATCCTACTTTAATGCTGTTGAGTTTTCTGGTTTGTAGTGTACTTTCTAAGATTAATTTGTGCCTAACAAATTGTATAAACAGGTTGGGTGTTAGAGATAAAGAACTTTGTGTTTTGAATATTAATATTTGACCTAGCAGAAGTATTATGTTATTAATTGAGCGAATATGGACTTTGAGGTCTCTCAATATGATAATTGGGGGTAATATGTAGTTTGATGGAATGATGGGAAAGCCAGTCTTGAACCTGTAACAATGGAACCACTGTCGGACAGTACCAAAAAAAAATGCATTAGTTCTATATCCTCCTCCTCTTCATTACAGAACCTGCATTTTGACTTTGTTGACAAGATTTTGTAGAAAATCTTTAAACTGAGAGGCTCTTGAATATGTATCTATTGAAGTTTTATATGCAAAATTGAAGTCCTGCTTCCATGGTATTAGGGTGTCAAAGACATCTTCCCAGTATGCTTGAAATTTGTATGGAATTGCACATAGGTTTTGGATATTCAGAGTTGATTTAGGCTTTTTGTAATCATTTGTAGTTTTTTATAGTAGGATGGTAACATTCCTTTCGTCATCATAGCTTTCCATTAAGGGGGTGTAGGGTCTAGCAGACACTAATTGAGCATATATGATTTGTATAAACATTACCATAGGTTCTACAATATAATGTTCCAAAATCTAACAACTTTCCGCATAGCAGCAGGGAGTGGCTATGACTTTATGTCCTTGTCCACAATGTCATTTAGAAAATAAATGAAGGTTGCCAACTAGGATAATGTTCTATGACCATATTATAGACAGGAAAATAAGTATGATAAAGACCTAGCCAGTCAAGACACTCACTCCAAGCTCTATCTGCAAGGTTGTAAACGTTGGACTATTGAATGCATAGAAATAGAATTGCCAACCCATCAAGGAGCATTGACTTAAATGGGATTTCCATTCTATTTATTCTATTTCTATAGGTGGATCCATTACACTTTTTGTTTGTCTGAATTAGTGGGTTTTATGCACCAGCCAAGCTTCTGGGAGAGCGCAATGGTCCCCTGAAGGTGACCCATGTTACCGCTGTGAAGCAGGCGTGAATAAATAAGTACCTATGGGTAACACAGATTTTTGGAATCCTTCAGAATAAAAGTCCCATCCTGTATACTTTGTAAATGAATAATTAGGGCGAAAATGATGGAAAATGTGCACAATTATCGATATATTTTATGCTAGTTATCATACAAAGAATAAATTAAAGTATTTATATAATATATTATGTAATTTATTTGTTTATTTAAAAAAATGTCAAGCCTAAATGGTAAATGTTTTTGTGTGTCTCTCCAATGTGGTCCTCGTAGCTCAGCAGCACGGCGCTTTAACGCTAAGGTAGTGGGTGTCCGGACACCCAACACAAAATGTATTGTTTGTTTGGATGTGTCTACTCCTATCATTTATTGCACCATACAAAATTATCTGTACGTTGTATCAGAGAAAGGGTCCATTCTACTCAGGAACACTTCTAGTTTCCAAATCCACAGACTTTACACCCAGAGGAGCGTCGCTGCTCATTTGGCGGCCCTTATAGAGGCCCATCAACTTAAATCCAATAGTTTTTTCACATTGGACATACACATTGCACCATACAAAATTATATGTTTGTTGTTTGGCAGTAAAAGGGAGCACTTGTAGTTTCCCAATCCACAGAGTTTATACCCATTCACAGTTTGTACCATGGTACAATACATATTCACGGTTTGTACCATGGTACATAGACAAAGGAGATGATTGTGGACTACAGGAAAAGGAGGACCGAGCACGGCCCCATTCTCATCGACGGGGCTGTAGTGGAGCAGGTTGAGAGCTTCAAGTTCCTTGGTGTCCACATCACCAACAAACTATCATGGTCCAAACACACCAAGACAGTCGTGAACAGGGCACGACAAAGCCTATTCCCCCAGGAGACTGAAAAGATTTGGCATGGGTCCTCAGATCCTCAAAAAGTTATACAGCTGCACCATCGAGAGCATCCTGACTGGTTGCATCACCGCCTGGTATGGCAACTGCTCGGCCTCCGACCGCAACGCACTACAGAGTGTAGTGCGTACGGCCCAGTACATCACTGGGGCCAAGCTTCCTGCCATCCAGGACCTCTATACCAGGCAGTGTCAGAGGAAGGCCCTAAAAATTGCCAAAGACTCCAGCCACCCTAGTCATGGACTGTTCTCTCTGCTACTGCACAGCAAGCGGTACCGGAGCGCCAAGTCTAGGTCCAAAAGGCTTCTTAACAGCTTCTACCCCCAAGCCATAAGACTCCTGAACAGCTAATCAAATGACTACCCAGATTATTTGGATTCCCCCCCCCCCCCCTCTCTTTTTACGCTGCTGCTACTCTCTGTTTATAATCTATGCAAAGTCACTTCACCTCTACCCACATGTACATATTACCTCAATTACCTCGACTAACCTGTGCCTCGGCACATTGACTCTGTACCGGTACCCCCTGTATATAGCCTCGCTACTGTTATTTTACTGCTGCTCTTTAATTATTTGTTACTTTTCTATTTTTGTTATTTTGTTATTTTTACTTATCTATTCCTTACTTAACACTTATTTTTCTTAAAACTGCATTGTTGGTTAAGGGCTTGTAAGTAAGCATTTCACAGTAAGGTCTATTACACCTGTTGTCTTCGGCGCATGTGACAAATACAATTTGATTTTGATTTGATATTCATGGTTTGTCCCATTTTGTTTACTGTTACCTTATTGTCACTCATTGCAGGATCTATAGCTATTACAATCACCTCTAAGAATAGGCCCTCTGTCCAATGACTGCACTTGAACTTGGTGCTGATTCCATTTCCTTACACTTAGCCAAAGGTATGCCAACACATTTTCTATAGGATTGAGGTCAGGGCTTTGTGATGGCCACTCCAATACCTTGACTTTGTTGTCCTTAAGTTATTTTGCAACAACTTTGGAAGTATGCTTGGGGTCATTGTCCATTTGGAAGACCCATTTGCGACCAAGCTTTAACTTCCTGACTGATGTCTTGAGATGTTGCTTCAATATATCCACATAATTTTCCTTCCTCATGATGCCATCTATTTTGTGAAGTGCACCAGTCCCTCCTGCAGCAAAGCACCCCCACAGCATGATGCTGCCACCCCCGTGCTTCACGGTTGGGATGGTGTTCTTCGGCTTGCAAGGCACCCCCTTTTTCCTCCAAACAAACGATGGTCATTATGGCCAAACAGTCCTATTATTGTTTCATCAGAGCAGAGGACATTTCTCCAAAAAGTATGATCGTTGTCCCCATGTGCAGTTGCAAACCCTAGTCTGGCTTTTTTATGGCTGCTTTGGAGCAGTGGCTTCTTCTTTGCTGAGCGGCCTTTCAGGTTACGTCGATATAGGACTCGTTTTACTGTCGATATAGATACTTGCGTACCTGTTTCCTCCAGCATCTTCACAAGGTCCTTTGCTGTTGTTTTGGGATTGATTTGCACTTTTCGCACCAAAGTACGTTCATCTCTAGGAGACAGAACGTGTCTCCTTCCTGAGCGGTATGATGGCTGTGTGGTCCCATGGTGTTTATACTTGCGTACTATTGTTTGTACAGATGAACGTGGTACCTTCAGGCGTTTGGAAATTGCTCCCAAGGATGAACCAGACTTGAGCAACAGGAGCAACAATGGCTCTGCCGTGAAGTGGTAGGCCACACAAGCTCACAGAACGGGACCGCAGGGTGCTGAAGCGCGTAACGTGTAAAAATTGTCTGTCCTCAGTTGCAAAACTGACTACCGAGTTCTAAACTGGATTTGGTAGATGCCAGGAGAATGCTACCTGCCCCCAATGCATTGTACCAACTGTAAAGTTTGGTGGAGGAGGATTAAGGTTCTGGGCCTGTTTTTCATGGTTCGGGCTAGGCCCCTTAGTTCCAGTGAAGGGAAATCTTAACGCTACAGCATACAATGACATTGTAGACGATTCTGTGCTTCCAACTTTGTGGCAACAGTTTGGGGAAGGCCTTTTCCTCTTTCAGCATGACAATTCCCCCGCGCACAAAGCGAGGTCCATACAGAAATGGTTTGTCGGGATCAGTGTGGAAGAACTTGACTGGCCTGCACAGAGCCCTGACCTCAACCCCATCGAACACCTTTGAGATGAATTGGAAGGACGACTGCGAGCCAGGCCTAATCGCCCAACATCAGTGCCTGATCTCACTAATGCTCTTGTGGCTGAATGGAAGCAAGTCCCCGCAGCAATGTTCCAACATCTAGTGGAAAGTCTTCCCAGAAGAGTGGAGGCTATTACAGCAGCAAAGGGAGGACCAACTCCATATTAATGCCCATGATTTTGGAATGAGATGTTCGACGAGCAGGTGTCCACATACTTTTGGTAATGTAGTGTATTTGCTCTGATTCATGTGCAGTGTTGAGTCTGCAGTCCTTTAACTCACGTAGCAGACAATACCTGCTTTATGACGATACTACAAACCCATGGCAGGGTTAGCCAGATGGGTACACAGACAAGATTTACTTGGGTCCCAGCCCATGTGGGGATGGAGGGGAACGAGGCAGTTGATGTACTGGCTAGACAAGCAGTTAGTAGTGGGGATGTTGATGTTGTAGTTTCAATGAGCAAGGCAGAGGAAAAAATTACTGATATGGACAGTGTTGGTGCAGAGATGGTAGGAGCAGTGGAATAGAGATACTAAGGGCAGGCATTTTTTCCAAGTACAGAGGAAAGTCGGGGAGGGGACGACGGCAGGAAGAGACAGAAGAGAGGAGGCTATTTTTTACAAGATTAAGGGTGGGACACAGCCGGTTGAATAAGACTTTAAATGTGATAGGAAAGCATCCAACAGGAAAGTGTGATTATTGCCAGGAAACACAGACAGTGGAGCATGGACTGATACAGTGTGGACAGTATGAGGGGGAAAGAGAGAGGCTGAGAACCAGTATGAGGGAGAAGGGGCTACGGGAAATGAGTTTAAAGAGTATACTGAGTAGAACGTAATTAGATACAGTCTCAAACATTTTGTTATCTTTTTTAAGAGAAACGGGGCTGGCAGGTAGGATTTAGATTCTCCCTGTCTCACACTCCAGTACAGTATGTAGCGGTAATGCACCATAATGTTGGATGCCAACCGCCGATAAACCCCACAGAAGAAGAAGACGAAGAAGAAGGTCCCCGTGGTTACCAAAGCAATGACGCTGTTCCGTATCCAAGAATCTCCACTCTGCACTGAAAAGCAGGGCTCGCTGATAACGTTATTAGATAATCTTCTCAGATATCACTATAAATAAATACATATAAGTCGTACTGTACCTGTTAGTTTGTGCATTGTGGCCTAGCCAGTTAACCTACAATTTAGCAGTAAATGAGTTCGGTGTTTGCCGTCACAATGGTGAGTAACATTAGCCAAATGTTGGCAGACAGCTTGCTAGCTAGTTATAGTAGCTAACAGTACTGTAAGCTACTAGTAACGTTTAGCCACAGATAGAACAAGGAGCAGTTACTAGTGGGCACGTTCGAGCGGATCACTTTTGTCAATGGTCACCGCCTTTCAAAGTGTGTTGCATTATGGGGATAAAAATTGTCCGACGTGCGCCTACATGTCAACTGCATGAAAATCATGTGATTAAAGGTTATTAACTTTTGACTGCAAGTTTCTGCAGGTGCTCTTAGCCAACTTCATGCTGCAGCCATCGCCTTCATTGTGGGAGGCTCTATTCAACCAATCATTAGGGTGTTTTTGTTAGACCCACGCGAACGTGACCAAAGACATGACTGAAACAGGAACCCACTTTGCTACAATTCATGTATACAGTGGATATGTACAAGTGAAATGTATGTGATATTTGAGGCTCTCTCAACAATTGAATGTACACACATATTTCCAGTTTGTGAGTGTGGGATATGGGGGTTGGCGACATGTTTATTTCGACATGATAAATAACACAGTTTATCAACAATGGCAACACTGCCATATGGCACTGAGCCTTACTGTTCACAAAACCACATCAGTGTCCGACTTTCGACTGTCGCATATGCACCTACCTCGACTTCACTCATCGACTCTCGTCGACAGTCGGTTAAGTTCGCCTTACCACTCAAACGAGCCCAGTAGCCTATCCAGCAGTATATTTGGCTAAGCTAGCAACATGGTATGGACAGTTTGCTGATGTGGATTTAGCAAGGGCTGTTGCTTTGCCATTAGTCTAGCGAGTGCTCGACCAATCACTGTAATCGATGCGGTCTACTGCACGGATAGTTAACTAACGTTAGCTAGTTTAGTAGCTAGCGAAGTGCTGAATATGAATTCAAATCGTAAACGTTAGCTAGCTAGCCAACAACTAGGCTCGCTAACGTTTGCTGCCTAGCTAGAAGTTACATGGTATGATGTTTCCATGACAACGCAGCGCTCTTTGCTGGTTAGCTAGCCATCCATCCATATAATAGTTTAGTGATTGCAGCCAGATAACCTTGCAGTACTGTACATTTATTGAATAGGAGGACCCCTCCATTGCCTTGTTCGATGTTGTGCTTGAGACAATAACTAGGCAGTTAACGTTAGCTAAGGAACAAATCTATAGTGAATCAATCAAGAGGGCCACTGCCACTGATTAGATATTCTAGTTAACGTTACTTACCTGCAGATTCATTGACCCTGTTCCTCCTTGTCTCTCCTTGAAGGCTGAGTTTGGTTTCAATAAAGGCCATCAGAATGAGGCGATCAACTACATGCGCTTTGCACGCTCCAAGAGGGCCATCAGACTCAAGACCATTGACTCCTGCTTTGAGGACCTCAAAGACAGCAGGTGTTGTGTCACACAATTGTATAATTTTTTTAATCACAGCTAGCCAACAATGTTGGTCGGAGGAATGCAAGTCCGTCTTTTTAGGACTGCATTTTATGGTATTTGTGTATTATTGTTTTTCTCTTTAAAAGAAGTTCCCCCACGGGGAAATCAAGTTATTCTATTCTATTCTAGGCTAGTGGATGAGACCTTCACGGTGGACGAGGTGCGGGACATGCTGGACGGGCTGCAGCTAGTGGTGCGAGGAGAGGTGGAGACAGAGCTCATCAACACAGCCCACACCAACGTGCTGCTGCTCCGGCAGCTCTTCTCCCAGGCAGAGAAGTTCTACCTCCATCTGCAGACTGACATCTCGGAGCTGGAGAACAGGTGGGCTGTGGGGTGGCTGTGAGGAGGGGTGGGATGGCTTGGAGGTGGGATGAGGGGTGGCTGCGAGGGCAGGCTGAGGCCCACTTTCAGATTTAAAACAGATGGAAGTACATGATAGACTCCCGAGTGGCGCAGTGGTCTAAGGCACTGCATCGCAGTGCTAGCTGTGCCACTAGAGATCCTGGTTCGAATCCAGGCTCTGTCATAGCCGGCCGCGACCGGGAGACCAATGGGGCGGTGCGCAATTGGCCCAGCGTCGTCCAGGGTAGGGGAGGGAATGGCCGGCAGGGATGTAGCTCAGTTGATAGAGCATGGCGTTTGCAACGCCAGGGTTGTGGGTTCAATTCCCACAGGGGGTATGAAAAAATAAATAATGTATGCATTAACTGTAAGTCGCTCTGGATAAGAGCGTCTGCTAAATGACTAAAATGTAAATGTAAATGTAAATCTCAGTGCTTGAGGCGTCACTACAGACCCCCTGGTTCGATTCCAGGCTGTATCACAACCGGCCGTGATTGGGAGTCCCATAGGGCGGCACACAATTAGCCCAGCGTCATCCGGATTTGGCCGGTGTAGGCCGTCATTGTAAATAAGAATTTGTTCTTAACTGACTTGCCTAGTTAAATAAAGGTTAAATAATAAAAAATAGCAGTAGGTAGTACTGAGAATTAGGCAGTGTGTGAAGGTATATGGGATTTCAAGGGTTAATAACAGGGTGAAACTCAGGTGGGAAGCAACCTTTTAACCCCAACATGCCTCTGTGTGTAGCCTGTCAGTAGAGCCACTTATTATGTATGTATCAAGTGTTTGAGCAGTGAGCCCCCCCCCCCCCCCCCCCGCATTCAAAGCAGAAGCCACTTCCTTCAGTGTTTTTCATGTGCACTGTGTATGCAAGGCACTGAGGTCATTGCCGAGCCACTCATTCTTATGCGAATGGTACCCTGCTTTTCCATTTCTGTGGTTTCTTACTCTCACTGAAATGTAGCCAGATCCAACCACAGCTTGTGTGACCTGTGCGGGTGGAGTAGTTCATATGATACGATACCTAGGTGATGTTTGTTTGGGTTGATGATGCCTGCCTTGCCTGGCATATATTGTCAGGAAGTTTGCTTTTCTCCACATGCAGTGTAGTGAATTTTTTAAAAAAGTTAACATGTACATTTCTGTATTTTGGCAGCTACTTTTGTCCAAATTAATGCCATTAAGAAAATGTAAATGTACTAGGCTACGTGGAGACAAAACAAAATGTGTAGAAAAAACTGCCAATGAAAGGTCCCTGTTGCATCCAGGGTTACTAAGCATGGCTGCCAAGAATGTCTTACAGCAGTGCTTAATAACAAGCCTGGACACAGAGGGATGTGGGAATGTTCGCTACCGTTAAAAACGGCTATATATCTCATGGGGAGGTGTTGTCACATTTTTACTTTGCCCCTCAAGGGCATACTGACACTGTGCCAAAAAACGTATTAGCGCATTCCCTTTTATCACGCTGAATTTACCACAGGATCATTCATCATGGTGCCTCAGACCAGAGTTGCTAAAGATATAACAGGGAACAATACAGTCGGGTCAGCAGTGAAACGTTGGCAACTAGCTGGTCGCGCAATTAATCTCAATGCCTCCCTTCCGAAATCTAAACTCTGATTTAGGGCTTTTGGAGCAATTACGTAATGGATTATCAGGTAACAGTTTCCCGCACTCCATTCCCTCTTTTCCCCACCAATAAGATGAAATGGGAGGATGAGGCTAAGGACTTTTCCCTCACACTCACTCACTCCCCCACTCTGTGGATGGATCTGAACTTGTTACTGGGGCACAGGAACATGCCACTGTGAAATGTATAGCATAGCTCTGTGATGTGGAGGACAATTCCAGGCCCATGGACTGTGTTAATGTGTCTTTTAGAGAGGGAGGGGAAAGCCATTCCTTTTACAGCCCCAACTTTTTGATATTGAAAAGCTGGCAGTCCATCAGCACGGTAGAATGCTGTGGTTACATGGCAAATTGACCGAGAGAGACCATTTTTGTACTTTACAGACAATACTTTGATTTGCCTATACTGTGGCTGTGAATATACTGTAGTTGCGAGGTTGGTGCATGAGTGTGAGGGGATGAGCTATATAATGCTGCACAATTCACTCCAAGGGACTAGAATGACTACTGTGCAACAAAAGCCATGAGCCCATATGGATTCTATTTGAGTTATGGCACTGCTAGCAGGTCTTTGTTTGTATTTGACATCTAACAACTAACATCTGCTGAATTGAGAATATTAGCTAACGGAGCTTAAACTCCATTTGACCTTTATTACACTGACACCAGTCAAACAAAAACAAAACATAAAAAAAACAAGGCCTGTGCTTTTGTAGATTGTTTTTGTTGAGTTTGTAGTACGCCTACAGTCACTTGATAAGATAACCAAGCCCTTGAAAGTGTTAGGTAGGCCCCAATCCTGTGTGGCTGTTAGTAGGGCGTCAGAAGCAGGGAATACGCCCCTAGTAGCCACATATCTACGTGCGTTCTGCAGCTTTTTCAAACCACATATGCAGTAAGCGTGTAGGTGCTTTGTTCTCCACAAGCATTTCATGTTAAACTGTCTTCAGGAGGACAAGTGTGTTTTATTTTTCTTAAAGATACTTAACTATCAGTTGGCTGCTCCGCTATACTTGACGTCAAATGTTTTGCAATATGTTATACATCAATTTCATAATGAAACATGTAGCTGTAATAGGCCAACAAGTCAGTACACTGACACTCACTGTATGATATCAAACATTCTGTCATTACTCTGCTTTGTTTGTATCCCACATGGGGTCCTGTGTGGCTCAGTTGGTAGAGCATGGCGCTTGCAATGCCAGGGTTGTGGGTTCGATTCCCACGGGGAACCAGTATGGAAAATGTATGCATTCACTACTGTAAGTCACTCTGGATAAGAGTGTCTGCTAAATGACAAAAAAATTAATTAAGCCATAAATGTGCTAATTGTCTAATTTACATGTCATAATTTTTAGTCTTTCTTTTTCTCTCCCCCTTTTTTATTTTAATTATCTGCAGAGAGTTGTTAGAGCAAGTGGCGGAGTTTGAGAAGACTGAATTTAAAAACCTAAATAAGGTGAGTGCTAACTGTAAAGCCCAACCACTTAGACTTTTATGCAACCATTTCCCCTATATAAAAATAAGCATGAATTTATTACATGTTTATTCATACTGGTTAAGCTGAATTATTGCACTTACTTTAAATACACAGCACTTGAATCGTATCACAATTGGAAACTGCAGACCACACAATGTGACCATAGAAAATCAACAATTTGTAGTCATCAGCCCTCTGATAGGAACATCTCTTCTAGCACTTCACGCCCACCCCATGCAAAACATTTCTATCACTTCACACCCATGCAACACATTTCTATGAAATCCAGACTTCAGGCTTGTGGAGGTGTGGGTTTTCACTTGAGGCTGAACAACAACAACAACAACTACTAAGTTTCACTTAGTTTATAAGTTAATGTTTTAAGTCGATGTTATCAAAGTCATTGACAGCTGAAATCACGCATTGAAAATAAGTGTGAATTTATTACATGTTTATTCATACTGGTAAAGCTGAGTTATTGCACTTACATGAAAAAACTGCATTGTTAGTTAAGGGCTTGTAAGTAAGCATTTCACTGTAAGGTCTACACCTGTTGTATTCTGTGCATGTGACAAATACAATTTGAGTTGATTTGATACACAGCACTTGAATCGTATCACAATTGGAAACTGCAGAACCACACGATGTGACCATAGATAAAGAACAACAGTGTGGTCATCAGCCCTCTGATAGTAACATCTCTTCTAGCGCTTCACACCCACCCCCAATGCAAAACAATTCTATGAAATCCACACTTCAGGCTTGTCGAGGTGTGGGTTTTCACTTGAGGCCGAACAATTCACCAACAACAACTCGTGTGTTTCACTTTGTTTTTAAGTGAATGTTTTAAGTCCATGATATCAAGGTCATTGACGGCTGAAATCATGCATACATGCCATTTATTGATGGGAGAGTATGTGCTCTACTTTACTTCATTTTATAGTACTACTGATATTGATTACTGCATTGTTGGGAAAGAGCTTGCAAGAAATGCATTTCACTGTACTTATGCACGTGAAAATGTAATTTGAAACTTGAAACATGCCTTGCTTCCTTACCTAGACTAACCAGGAAATTAGCAAGCCCAAGTTAGCACCGCTGAATGAAGGTGGGGGGGTATCTGAACTTCTCAACAAGGTAAAGAACTCAACTCTCCTGTGGTAATATAGAGTTAGCAGAATTAACACCAGGTCATTGTATGAGACTCATGCGTAATTGTTACATGACATTGGTTTTTCATCAGGAGATATCCAGGCTACAAGAGGAAAACGATAAGCTCAAAGGCAGGCTCCGGACTTTGGAAACCCAGGTACAGTGGCTTGCGGAAGTATTCACCCCCCCCCCCCCCTTGGGATTTTTCCTATTTTGTTATTCTTACTGAAATGCACTCTACTTCTTGTAACTTTCATCATATTTTGTGCTCATGTTTTCATCTAACCTACACCTGACCTTGCTAATTGAATGATCAATGTTGGTATCACTTTTATGAAGTATCTTGCAGTATACTGATTGTGTTTCAGGCCATGGGTGTGTTGGATGAGAAGACCAAGGCAGAGAGGGCTCTCAAAGACCTGCAGAAGGTCCAGGGGGAACAGCAGGTACTGTAGCACTATAAGGTCATGGATTAACAATATAACAGACAAACCTGGGCCAAAGGAACATAAGATGACTATTGCACTTTACTTTTCACTCAGTAGTATTTCCTGTTTCCTTCCTATTTTGATTTGTACATTGTAGTATTTTTGCCTTTTAACTAAGTTGACCCCTTGTATTTATGATGTTGAAGCTTTTGTCGTATTTTTTTCTGAACAATTACTATTATTTTGTTTGCTTTCATGGAAAACAACTGGTATGTATCAATCCGACACTATGTTTTGTGTGTTGAATACATGTCCATCTAAGGGTGCATCCCAAATGGCTCCCTATTCCCATAGGGCTCTGCAATGTATAGGGAAAAGGGTGCCATTTGGGACGTAGCCTAAAAGTCCACCCACTGAAGTGCTGTGTTTCTTTCCCCAAGATGGCCACCCGTTCTCAGGAGATCACTAGTCTCGAGGACACGGTGGCAGCACTGCAGGAGGACTACCAGAAGTCCCTGAGTGTCAATGCTGCCTCCCAGAGAGACCTGCAGGACAACCTGGTCTCTGCCAAACACGACCTGCTCAGGGTACAGGAACAGCTGGCCCTAGCAGAGAAGGTACGTCCCTCTACCCCATACTGGTACCTTTCATAGAAATCATGCATTGATGGCAATCAATGGAAGATTGGGTGAACTTAGGTGAAGTGTCTCAAGTAAGCATTTGGCTCAAGAGCTATGGACCCAATTATATCCGCTATATTTGCCAATAAGAGGTTATCATGCAACCCTGTTGTGTGTGTGTGTGTGTGTGTGTGTGTGTGTGTGTGTGTGTGTGTGTGTGTGTGTGTGTGTGTGTGTGTGTGTGTGTGTAGGAGCTGGATAGGAAGTTCCAGCAGACGTCTGCCTACCGCAACATGAAGGAGATCCTCACCAAGAAGAACGAGCAGATCAAGGACATCAGGAAACGCCTTTCAAAGTGAGTCGGTTGATTATTATAAGAGATTATCATGAATGATAGACGGATTGATTAATTCATCTTCTGCTGAATGATGATTGTTTGCAGTTCCTGTCTAACAACCTTTTTTGCTAACGTTTCCCATATTTAATTTCCAGATACGAGTCAGATGAATGAACCCTTTGCCTCACACGACAAGACACAAAATGGAGGTTAAAACGTATGGCAAGAGGGTGGAAATGGCCCAAAACCAGGGATGGTCACGGTGGAGAAGGTTTTGGCCCATTCATCATTCATTCTACCCCACTGCAGGAGCAGGAGGTTTGGAATTAAAAGTGGACTTGAGAATATCACAGTTCACCAGTAGTTCAGAACCTTCCAGAAGAATCGTATCATCTCGCTGATCCAGCAGCTTTTGTAGTCATTAGCTTTAGGAGAGGATTGTGGGGGATTAAGGGTGGGGGGCTAATCGACAGAGCGTCCTATGGTCAGTCTCACTGGGAGAATAACCTTGAATGTCTCTGTCCCTTTGCTTCTCTATTCTGTCCCATATCTAGGAGTTGGAGTCCTATATCTAGTAGCTGAAGCTTTGTGTGTGTAGTAGTAGGTTTTCCTCACTGCACTATGCAAATACTTTCACATCCTTGACTCGCTGTCTAAAAAGGAGGCCTTCTGAATAAGAGAGATATGCCTGAAGCTTTGCAGCCATATATATTTGTCTGATAGTGATGGGTAATTTTTTCCATGACACCAACTCATGAATTATTGTCCTTTCAAGACAGTATGTTCTTTTTCATCTAGTTCTTTGTACATGTAGCAAAGGCATGATGCAACGTCTATTTATATGTATTCAGATGGCGTAATTCAGAGCTCCATGTTAGTGAATAGAGTCATGGCTAATGGTACATATTAGGAATCATAGCATATAGTATAACATTACAAAATATCTTGAGGGAAGTTAGTGAGGGAAATGTTTACATAGTATGATTGACATATTTTCTTAATTTTCTTACCATTGTATCCTGTTTTAGCATATCAAATAATTATTGGAAAGATCAGTGTTTGGACCTTAGAGAAGAATGCAAAAAAATATACAGTACCAGTCAAAAGTTTGGACACACCTACAGTCGTGGTCAAAAGTTTTGAGAATGACACAAATCCTAATTTTCACAAAGTCTGCTGCCTCAGTTTTGATGATGGCAATTTGCATATACTCCAGAATGTCATGAAGAGTGATCAGATGAATTGCAATTAATTGCAAGGTCCCTCTTTGCCATGAAAATGAACTTAATCCCCAAAATACATATCCACTGCATTTCAGCCCTGCCACAAAAGGACCAGCTGACATCATGTCAGTGATTCTCTCGTTAACACAGGTAAGAGTGTTGACGAGGACAAGGCTGGAGATCACTCTGTCATGCTAATTGAGTTAGAAAAACAGATTGGAAGCATTAAAAAGGAGGGTGGTGCTTGAAATCATTGTTCTTCCTCTGTTAACCATGGTTACCTGCAAGGAAACACGTGCCGTCATCATTGCTTTGCACAAAAAGGGCTTCACAGGCAAGGATATTGCCACTAGTAAGATTGCACCTAAATCAACCATTTATCGGATCGTCAAGAACTTCAAGGGGAAAGGCTCAATTGTTGTGAAGAAGGCATCAGGGCGCCCAAGAAAGTCCAGCAAGCGCCAGGACAGTCTCCGAAAGTTGATTCAGCTGCGGGATCGGGGCACCACCAGTGCAGAGCTTGCTCAGGAATGGCAGTAGGCAGGTGTGACTGCATCTGCATGCACAGTGAGGCAAAGACTTTTGGAGGATGGCCTGGTGTCAAGAAGGGCACTTCTCTCCAGGAAAAACATCAGGGACAGACTGATATTCTGCAAAAGGTACAGGGATTGGACTGCTGAGGACTTGGGTAAAGTCATTTTCTCTGATGAATCCCCTTTCCGATTGTTTGGGGCATCCGGAAAACACCTTGTCCGGAGAAGACAAGGTGAGCGCTATCATCAGTCCTGTGTCATGCCAACAGTAAAGCATCCTGAGACCATTCATGTGTGGGGTTGCTTCTCAACCAAGGGAGTGGGGCTCACTCACAATTTTGCCTAAGAACACAGCCATGAATAAAGAATGGTACCAACACATCCTCCGAGAGCAACTTCTCCCAATCATCCAAGAACAGTTTGGTGACGACCAATGCCTTTTCCAGCATGATGGAGCACCTTGCCATAAGGCAAAAGTGATAACTAAGTGGCTCGGGGACCAAAACATCGACATTTTGGGTCCATGGCCAGGAAACTCCCCAGACCTTAATCCCATTGAGAATTTATGGTTGATCCTCAAGAGGCGGGTGGACAAACAAAAACCCACAAATTCTGACAAACTCCAAGCATCTGTCAGGATGTGGCCCAAAAGTGAATTGACAGCATGCCAGGGCGGATTGCAGAGGTTTTGAAAAAGAAGGGTCAACACTGCAAATATTGACTCTTTGCATAAACTTAATGTAATTGTCAATAAAAGCCTTTGACACGTATGGAATGCTTGTAATTATACTTCAGTATACCATAGTAACATCTGACAAAAATATCTCATAACACTGAAGCAGCGAACTTTGTGAAGACCAATACTTGTGTCATTCTCAAAACTGTACACATTCAAGGGTTTTTCTTTATTTGTGCTATTTTCTACATTGTAGAATAATAGTGAGACATCAAAACTATGAAATAACACATATGGAATCATGTAGTAACCAAAAAAGTGTTAAACAAATCAAAAAATATATTTTATATTTGAGATTCTTCAAAGCAGCCACCCTTTGCCTTGATGACAGTTTTGCACACTCTTGGCATTCTCTCAACCAGCTTCACCTGGAATGCTTTTCCAACAGTCTTGAAGGAGTTCCCACATATGCTGAGCACTTGTTGGCTGCTTTTCCTTCACTCTGCGGTGCGACTCATCCCAAACCATCTCAATTGTGTCGAGGTCGGGTGATTGTTGAGGCCAGGTCATCTGATGCAGCACTCCATTACTCTCCTTCTTGGTCAAAAAGTCTTCCATTCCTGTGGCAGTCCTCATGAGAGCCAGTTTCATCATAGCGCTTGATGGTTTTTGCAACTGCACTTGAAGAAACTTTCAAAGTTCTTGAAATGTTACGGATTGACTGACATTCATGTCAGTCAATGTCATTTTCAATGTCATTTTTCTTTGCTTATTTGAGCTGTTCTTACCATAATATGGACTTGGTCTTTTACCAAATAGGGCTATCTTCTGTATACCACCCCTACCTTGTCACAACACAACTGATTGACTCAAATGCATTAAGAAGGAAATAAATTCCACAAATTAACTTTTAAGAAGGCACACCTGTTAATTTAAATGCATTCCAGGTGACTACCTCATGAAGCTGGTTGAGAGAACGCTTTCTCGTGTACAATTGCTTCGTTCAGTGTCTGCTTTTTTTTATTTTTACACATCTACCAATCAGTGCCCTTCTTTCAGAGGCATTGAAAAACCTCCATGATCTTTGTGGTTGAATCTGTGCTTGAAATGCACTGCTCGACTGAGTCATTCAAAAATGTCCAAGAGTGTGCAAATATGTCATCAAGGCAAAGGTGGCTACTTTGAAGAAACTCAAATATAAAATATATTTTGATTTGTGTAACACTTTTCTGGGGTACAAAAAGGTCAAAGGTTCACTTCACAGGTACATACAGTGGCTTGTGAAAGTATTCACCCCCCTTGGCATTTTTCCTATTTTGTTGCCTTACAACCTGAAATTAAAATAGATTTTTGGGGGGTTTGTATCATTTGATTTACACAACATGCTTACCACTTTGAAGATGCAGAATATTTTTTATTGTGAAACAAACAAGAAATAACATAAAAAAACAGAACTTGAGTGTGCATAACTATTCACCCCCCCAAAGTCAATACTTTGTAGAGCCACCTTTTGCAGCAATTACAGCTGCAAGTCTCTTGGGGTATGTCTCTATAAGCTTGGCACATCTAGCCACTGGGATTTTTGCCCATTCTTCAAGGCAAAACTGCTCCAGCTCCTTCAAGTTGGATGGGTTCCGCTGGTGTACAGCAATCTTAAGTCATACCACAGATTCTCAATTGGATTGAGGTCTGGGCTTTGACTAGGCCATTCGAATACATTTAAATGTTTCCCCTTAAACCACTCGAGTGTTGCTTTAGCAGTATGCTTAGGGTCATTGTCCTGCTGGAAGGTGAACCTCCATCCCAGTCTCAAATCTCTGGAAGACTGAAAAAGGTTTCCCTCAAGGATTTCCCTGTATTTAGCACCATCCATCATTCCTTCAATTCTGACCAGTTTCCCAGTCCCTGCCAACTAAAAACATCCCCACAGCATGATGCTGCCACAACCATGCTTCACTGTGGGGATGGTGTTCTCTGGGTGATGAGAGGTGTTGGGTTTGCACCAGACAGTTTTCCTTGATGGCCAAAAAGTTCAATTTTAGTCTCATCTGACCAGAGTACCTTCTTCCATATGTTTGGGGAGTCTCCCACATGCCTTTTGGCGAACACCAAACGTGTTTGCTTATTTTTTTCTTGAAGCAATGCCTTTTTTCTGGCCACTCTGTGGAGTGTACGGCTTAAAGTGGTCCTATGGACAGATACTCCAATCTCTGCTGTGGAGCTTTGCATCTCCTTCAGGGTTATCTTTGGTCTCTTTTGTTACCGCTCTTATTAATGCACTCCTTGCCTGGTCCGTGAGTTTTGGTGGGTGGCCCTCTCTTGGCAGGTTTTTTGTGGTGCCATATTCTTTAAATTTTTTAATAATGGATTTAATGGTGCTCCGTGGGATGTTAAAAGTTTCGGATATTTCTTTATAACCCAACCCTGATCTGTACTTCTCCACAACGTTGTCCCTGACCTGTTTGGAGAGCTCCTTGGTCTTCATGGTGCCGCTTTCTTGGTGGTGCCCCTTGCTTAATGGTGTTGCAGACTCTGGGCCTTTCAGAACAGGTGTGTATATATACTGAGATCATGTGACACTAAG